CAAGTTTCTCAGAAGCAGTGTCTACTTCAGCTGCAGGACCCTTGACAGAGGCTGCTGCTTTCTGTTTGTTGCAATCCTTAGTCTTGTGCTTGGCTCCACAGAACATGCAAAGTGTTATGATTTTTTTCCTTTTTTTCTTCTTAGTTAACCTCTACTTATGTGTAGTCAGAGCACTTAGGCCAGTGCTTAGGACCATGAGACAGGCTTAGTCACTATAATAAGCCAAGTCTGCCATTGTCTTCTAACACAATGATATCTCTTGATAACAGACAATACTCTTTTATAGACAGTCATGATGCTCAAAGACAATGAGCACTATAACTTAGAAACACACAATTAGTAGGAATATAATTATCTATAGACAAATGGTATATAAGTAGTCTAGCTCTCACTGTATATCCTTAGTTTTAAGCTAAAGTTTATTCTTCACCACTTCATCTTGAGCCAACTGTCTTTAGCCTTGAAGCACTAGATCAATAAGCATCTATAGTGAACTCTGATATGACTGTACAAACTTGATACAGTATCAGTTTATCATGTGTTTAGATCATGTGCAACTTGAGCTTAACAATTAGCTTGAAGCTTCTTGCTTTCCTTTCTTTATGTGCATTAAGTGTGAAGAAAACTGAATACTATCTGCATCAACCTCTGACATCACCAGTAATTTCTTTAGGCTTTTAGCCTCTGTAATAGAAATCTTATTAGGGCTTCTCACTATTGTCTATTTTTGCTGAGGATACCAATCCATAGTAGCATGGGTAGTCCAGCACTATCATGCTTTCAGAACTATTCAGCAAATTCTCTGCAATATCACATCTGATCTCTCCTTTTATGATATCCTAACAACTGCCAGAAACTCCCACCAGCCTATGACAAGAACCATATCAGAAACCCAACCTGGCAGCTCAAATTTGGGAGTTCTTCCAATGGAGGAAGAACACTAATATCTTTCTTAACTCTTTTGACCTCTAAGGAATCCTCTTAAAAACAGCAACAGTAGAATCCCAACAAACTTCCCTCCAGTCCTAAACTATAAAGATGAGGATCTCTCCTCAGACTTCTTCAACTCAGTCCTGTCCTCTGACTCTTCCACTGCCACAATAGAACCTGAAATTGGCAGTCAAGCTAGAGACTCCCTTAATGCCTCTTGGATAGCTACAGGCTCCAGACACAATTCACTCTATGTGACTCCAACTGGAAGCCTAATTCTCCAAACCCCTAGCCTACTCCTGTTGACACCCAGTGATCTCTACCTCATGAGTTTTGAGATAAATGTCCACTGAGATATTGAGCACATCAAGTCAGAAGATTATTTTCCTGCCACTCAAGCTGAGCAGAAAAGACAAGCAGAAGAAGAGAATGACTGACAATTTGAAGAGTATGAGGCTGCTCAGTATGATGCCACCTTTAGAAGAGAGCAGTGTGAGTGAGACATCATTTACTGGGACTTCAACAATCCCAGATGATATGGGCTCTATGCAGACTCTCCTGACTCTGATTCTTCTCTCTGATCCCCTTTCAGAAAACTCAAAGAATCTGACCCCTGGACTGGGCCAGCAGAAGTTGTCATAGCTGATAAAGCTAGATAATGAACCTCTGATCCCCCTCCACCTGTCAACTATCAAATTTCTCTAGATCCTAATGAGTTTCCTGAAAGACTCTAATTAACTATCAAAATCAGCAGGTGATCTCATCACTCTCTTCCTCAATCTATACTTCTACAGCTAGTTTTGCCAGTATCACCAAAGACTGAAAAGAGCAGAAAGTGATAGCAGCAGTAAAAGAGACTCTAAGGTTTGAACCTACTGACTTTGATCTCAGCCTTCTCCTGAGGCTGGATCCAGTATAGAGCCTGGAACCAGAGAAGAAGAGAAGCTCTCTGGCTACACTAAAACCTCATGCTCCATCTATCTTTGATCAGCTCAGCAACTTCTCTGCCAAGGACAGTGAGAATGAGATGGATGATGAGAATGAGAAAGACAAGAAGAGTGATCAGTTTGACCCAGTAAACAAATCTTGTACTCACAATGTTTGCATCTGTGAGAACATCTTCTCTTTTCATCATCTCCCATACTTTCTTCTTCTCACACTGCCTTATCTCTGCAAGCATTGACTCATGCTATTCTCTTTCATCAGAACCACTCAGTGCCTTCTTCATAGTTACTGGTTCAACATCTACCATTATGGTATAGTTGACTGGTGAATAGCTGTCTGGTTCATCATCATTATCTGATTCTGACTTGTCTTCAAATGCTGTTGCTGCAATTTCAGCTGTGGTGGGATATTTGTGCAAGTCTAGGAGTGTGAGTTAATCAGGTTTTAGGGCTGCAGATTGCTTAGGGTGGCTGGGTTGAGGGATAGGATCAGATTCTATATCTGTGAGTGGAGATTCAGGACACTCTAGATGAGTTTCTGTGAGTGATTCATCTGGCAGGTTTTCAAAGGGTTTAGAAGTGATTGATGACTTTGGGATAATAGGGTCAGTATCTTTATCCTCTCTCTCAACTACAAATGGTTCCAGAGTTAGATCATTCTTGTTGAAGTATATGTTATGTTCAATGCTGAATTTTTGCTTTTTAGACCAGTAAACTCTCTAGCCTTTGGCTTCAGTATCAATACTCATGAAGTGAGTTTTGATAGCATGCTCCTCAAGCTTCTCTGGTGCTTTTACTCAGATCCAGCATTAGCATCCCCAAGGGCAAAGATCTGAGATGTTAGATTTCCTGCTGGTTGCCATCTTGAATGGGGTTTTCTCTAATGGTATTGCTTTTATTGAGGTGCAGTTGTAGATCCATTCAGCATGCCAGTGAGCTTCAGCCCAGAGGTATTTTGGTAACCCTGAACTGATCAAGAAAGCTCTAGTTGTGTCCATCAGATAGCCATTTGAACATTCAGCAATCTCATTTAACTATAGGAAATTATGTATATTAAGGTGTCAAACAGTTCTCTTTGATTTGAGGTGCTGACCAAACTCTTTACTAGTGAATTCTCCCCTTTGATCCATACCAAAGATCTTGATGACCTCTATACCTCACTAAATCTTGATTCATATCTTGTAACATTTATATGACCCAAAGGTATCTGATTTCTTTGATAAGTATTCAGATTTCAATTCATGGGTGTATAGGTCACAGAATATGCAGGCATAGCAGACTCTCCCTAGTGATGCCACAGACATTGGGCCTATCAGATTTCTGACAACCTTATCACCACTATTTTTGACATATTCATATTAGTCTTGTTTTGAGAATGGCTTGCACTTTGCTTTGGCCTTCATACAGATCTCACAAAATTCTGGTTTGAAGTTAAGATCAAGCTTGATTCCTTTGATATGATCATCAACTTACATGTGGTGAAGGATGATGTGACTTCAATGAGCACAAATATTATGTAGCTTGGTGATATTCATCTTGAGCTTACCTGCTGCTATAGCAACATTTAGGTTGGCTGCTGTAGTTTGCTGTGCATTTGAAGTTGGGATTATATATAAGCCATCAGCTTTGAGGATCTTTGCAATGATCTTATCATCTGGCTGTGGTGTGCAAATATACATAGTGTGGTCAGAGGGTTTGATATAGATGGGAAATCCAGTATGACTGACTTATGAGAGTGGTATAAGAATGTAAGCCATTTTTAGTGCATGATATGCATTTTGAAAGCTCACAATGGTGGGTTTCTGTCTCTTTACCATGGGAAGTGGTAGTCAAAGATCTCCTTTTCCTATCACATAGAAAACTTGGCCATTCACAGCTTTGATGGGCTTTAGTTTGATTTTGGTATAGTTTTTGAACCTCTGATGTTCAGATGAGTATGTTTTTGATGCTCCACAATCTGCTAATGCTATAATGTTCTCTCTTTTTGCTGCATAGACATCACCCTCAGCTCTATAGTCAAATGTGCATATCAATGCCATATTCTTGTGATCATTGTCATCAGCTATGACAATGATAACATATTCATCATCACTTTCATCAATAGCTGCAGATGCTGACTCTTTTGCCTTTTTCTTTTCCTTAGCCTTGTTCTTTTTCAAAGCTGAGTCTTGTTCTGCCTTTTCACTGCCTTCACACTAACAATCTGCAATGAGGTGGCCAGTTTTACCACATGCTGGGTTTGTGCATTTGAGATGAGATCGATCAGGTTTTTTCTTCAGCTTCTCTCCAGAGCTCTGGCCCTTTTCTTTGCTCTGCCATTGAGCAGACATTGCTATATTTTTGGCAGTAGTTTTCAATACAATCTTCTCATCCCATTCTTCATGCAGGGCTGCAACTAGGATGTCTGATATCAGAGTCTTTCTGGTAAACTTGCTGGTAGCAGAGAGGATGCAATGGATATGATCATAGGAAGGTGGAAGTGATTTTTAGATCATCAAAGTGTACTGATTGTCTTTAATCTTCAGACCTATCCTTTCAATTCATTCATGGAGGATTTTCACTTCAGCAAGGTGCTCATGTATATTGCCTTCATCAGAGCATGCCATGTTTCCAAGCCAAATAAAGAGGTGCTCTCACACAAGATTGCTCTTGCCAGTCATGACAGTGATGAGCTTCTTCCAGACAAGAGCAGCTGTTGCCTCACCTTTGATCTCATTGAAGGTAGAGTCAGAAATGGCTTTATAAATGATATTATGCATCTTTGCCTCTTTCTGCTCATATTCCTCCAGCTTATCCTTCAGCTTAGCTAGATCATCATCTGAGAGTGGATGTGAAAATGCAGTATTGGAGGACTGGTAGAAGTTTCCCTTGTGCTTGACAGAGTGCAGGGGTATGTGAGCTGTTCCTTGGAGGCACTGGCCAATGCCCTTGTCCAGGAACTTGGTGGTGAGCTTCTCTGAAAACACTATCCAGTTCGATCCATTGTCCACAAGCTTTGTCATGCTAACTAGCTTTATTTCAGTTGTCATGGACATGCTGGTAGCGGGGCCCATAACCTGTTGGAGTTAACAAGATAGAAGCATGAACATGGTGAACAAGAAAAAAAAGTTTCAGAAGAGAAAAAATGCTAGGATAAAATGTCATAACATTACTACATAGGTGATAAGTAAATACAGTCAAGGATAGATATGTATAGAAGGTACTCACATCTCAGCATTATGGTTGAAAGCTGAGATGTGTGGCAGTGTGACATGCCAAAAAAGGAAGGAATATCAAATAGATAAGTGAACGTGTGCATATCATACTATTCCTACGTCTAACAACTGATTTGATGATAGATAAACGCAGATAAAAACGAACTAATCCTTTCCAGGTGAGAATAAGCACATAGGACAGGGCAAGCAAAGGCAATCATACCGAAATATATTGAATACTCATTTATTCGATATATCTGTAACCAACGCGGGAGCATGAAAGCCAGAACTCTTTTCCGCCCTCTTCACACCAACCCATTGGACCAAGGTCACATTCCGCACACGAAAGCAATTTAATCTTCTTGCCTGATAAGAGATATAAGCAAAAGGAATACTCGTTAGACCCGGATTGCTCACCATTCGGAGAGAGTGGTACAGAATCAACGGCTTTCGAGAATCCGATATTATCAAACTCCATCGGTGTCGGTCCAACAAGCCACCAAGAAGATTTCTCAGGAGGTTCGGGGATCGGGATCATCAACGGATGTAACTCCAAATGACCGGGTTGCATCTATAAACTTGTCGGTAGTTTTCAAGGAGACAGAAGTTGATTCGACTGACCTGGACAGTACCCCGTTCTTCAAGATGAGCAATCCCTTCCCTCAGGATGATACTGCGGCATTCATCCCTAGGGCATACAAGCTGATATCTGTTTGTCAACATATCTGGGTAATCGCCGATAGCGTAGTGCTTGTGGGAAACGTCGGCTACCCCATTCTCAAATGTCGTGAACAACCTCAGAGGCGGCTTGGTTCGACTGGACCGACCTTGCAGAGCTTCCAATACGCCTGGAGGAATTCCTTGGTCCAATTTCTCTGTAAGTTCGACGGTCGGCTGTTCCGTAATTACTGGCTGAGACATAACAGATGGTGGTGAAGAGCAATCTTCCGGCAATTGCTTCCGTGGGTCACGGTTGCTGTCAGTGTGACAAACGCGTGACAGGCGCGTCTTTTCTTCTGCCAGCTTCTGCCATGGTGTCTGCAACCTCCTTCGTACCCAATGGTCTTCTGAGCTTCTCGAACGTGGCAAATATTCTCCCTGATGAAAATGAAGCTCCCGTTGCGGGACCCTCGTCTCCACGAACTCCCGCTCCAACCACGTTCGGCCCACCGGTAGAGGCATCGTTGCCAGCTACGAAATCAAGTGCAGAACGAGCCCTACAAGAATTAGTTGATGATATTGATGTGTTAAAGGACATGGAATCTTTTTTGGACGTTGGTGGAACGAGTATGTTGCCATTACGACCTATTTCCCCCTTGCTGTCTAATTATATGTAGACGCCAGTACATCACTACCGTTAGAGCCACCAATGTTCAAATCTAATGGACTTCTGTCTTCTATCAATAGTAAAAACTCACTATCTGGTGCGTTATATTTCTTTTCACTTAGTTTTGCTAAAGAATAGCAGACCCATTCATCTGGACTGGACTTCTATCTGACAGCTTGAGCTCACAAGGTGCGGTTCGTGTCTTGCACAATTTTCAAGAAAGCCTTACTATTTTTCTTTTATAAGATGACGATCTACCGCAAGTTTCTGAAGCATTTAGCATTCCTCACGCAGTTTCGAAAAGCACGGCGTCTTTTCCTAGTTTCGACCAATCCACATCCAAATTCAATCTTAAAGCAAGAACTTTCGACGGTCGGACCATCTTCATCAGGCGCAAACATAAACCCTCTCCAGACACACGAGTAAGCAGATTGAAATTTCGTCCTGTATTTTCACTGATCGTTGTTGCCAGAAAACGGCGTCTTTGTCTACCAGAGGAATGGGTAACTTGCTTGACGTGCCCATACACCGACTTCTCGATGACATCTCCAGGGAGCAAGCGATGGAACTCAGCCAGCGGTGAGTGCGCCAATCGGAACGGCTAGAAACATCTCACAAGACCATCTTTCGAAGCCAACGGCCCTCACACACGAAACACGATGTCGGGCACATCCTATGGGTAGACCGTTACCGACCTCAGCGGTTCACAGACCTCATGGGCAATGAACGCGTGGCCAGGGAGATATTATCTTGGGTGAAGCAATGGGATTGGTGTGTATTTGGAAAGAGCAAGGAAAGGAAACGTCCACGAAATGGCGATGAGAATGTCGACTTTGAAGACGAGTATCATCGTCCCAAAGAGAAGGTTTGCCACCTGCCTTCACCTATAACTATTTCTTGACAAAGACACAGATCCTGTTATTATCCGGTCCTCCAGGTTTGGGAAAGACCACAATGACCCATGTCATTGCCCGTCAAGCCGGATATGAAGTCGTAGAAATCAATGCCAGGTAAGCCAACCTGGCTAGCTCACGCTGCCTTCTTGGTTTAAATGATTTTAGTGACGCTCGTTCCGGACAAATTGTCGACGACCGAATACGACCAACTCTTGAATCTGGTTCAACTGTCGGCAGCTCCAAACCAGTACTAGTCGTTATTGATGAGATTGATGGGGCCACGGGCGCGGGAGAGAACGTCAGGGGCTTTCTTCTCTGCACTCAAATCTATGCCCATCTAAATACTGTCTACAGACGTCGAATTTCATTTACAAACTTATTCAGTTGACCTTTGACAAACCACGGAGGAAAGGTGGGAAATTTCGGTTACCACTTGCCACATTTCTTTAACTAACCCTCTAGCTAGTGCGCGCAGGACAGCAATGGGATCCAAATGCCAAACGACCGATATTGCGCCCGATCATATGTATCTGCAACGATATCAATGCATCCTCGCTTGCGAAACTGCGACTACACGCATATCAGATTAGACTGCAAAAACCGGCCGATGTACACACTGTAAAGCGACTTCGGCAGGTCTGTGAGCTTGAAGGGCTTCAAACTGATACCCGAGCCCTTTCTGCCCTTGTAGGGATTGCCAGAGGCGATCTAAGAGGATGCATCAACACTCTTCAGGTGCGTGAGCGATCTTGCAGGAACATTATCACTCACATCGTCACAGTTCATCAAAGCCCGCAGGGAAGTCGTCACAGAGGATGTCATTCGCAAGGCGACTGTTGGAATGAAGGAAGCAGAGATGTCAGTTATCTCTGTCCTAACTGACCTTTTTAGTCCGTTGTCGAAAAGACGAGTAAAAGAGCTCGGTATGGGAGACGAAGAAGAGTCTCGTTATGTCGGACGCCTGAGTCGTGTTGTCGACTCCTGTGGTAGGGACTCCAGTATTGCCATTGGTAAAGGTTTTCCAGCCATTCTACGAAGGAATGGACTGATGTCAATGTGCAGGCTGTTTTTCTCACTACGCTAATCTTCGTCAGCATGATGCCGATTTCTCGCGGTATCAAAAAGCCAATGAATGGCTGATGACTTTTGACCGTTTCTCCGCGGCGATGTATGCAGAGGGAGAGTTTGCGCTAAGCCAATACTTGCCGTACACTCTTGTTCCGTTCTATCCTCTGTTTCAGGAAAGAGGCGGCCCAAGGGTGGAAAGGGATCAATCAGATTGGGAGGTGCGCTAATTATAAGGTGCTTGACTTGTCGTATTCGTTTTAATTTCTGAATTAGAATATGCAAACCGTCAAAGCCAATGAGGAGATTTACAAGTCTTTAGGACGTGGTCTACAGACAGCCAGCACTCGCCTCGGAGGAGATTTCCGCCACCTTGTTCACACTCCTATCATGCAATTGGAATTTGCTCCCCTCATAAACCGGATTATATCTCCCCCTTTGCGTCCAGTAAGTTCCATCATTGTCATGGCAAGCTCAACTCACAATCTACCATCAGGTCAACTCTCAAGTCATCAAGCCCGAGGAGCGAGCACTACTATCGCGACTCGTTCAGATTATGACGAGGCTCGAACTGCGCTTCGTGCAAGAAAGAGCAGAAGATGGACAATTAACCTATCGACTAGACCCGTAAGCTTGTCAGCCTCTCCGACGGGAGTGTGTATTTTGATGCCGAACTCTACTTCCACAAGGCCTATAGATGTTTTTGTCACCTACGACGGGAAACGGACAGCAGATATTGCTGTCTCGCGTTATGCCGTTCGACACCTTGTTGCTCAAGAAGTTAGTCTAGGGCATGTTTATGTATCCTGCAGACACTGATACCCAATAGGTCGATGCCGAATTGACCGCTTTGCAAACCGATATTATTGAAAAAGGAAAGAAAGGGAAACACGCCAATATGTCTGACAAAACGTCAGTGCTGGCCATTCCTTTGCTTTGGAGGGCCGCTGACAGATCGAATGCAGGTCAAAGGCGCGGACGGATGACCAATCGTCTGAACCGAGTTCTGCTCGTCCCACGAAACGTGCCAGAACGGAGGAGGTTGATATCGCAGACCGGGTATGTTATTTTGAATAACATCTTGCGTTGACTTGAATCTACTTCTGCTAGCCGCCAACCGACTTCTTTGGGCGACCAATTACTAGCTTCGCTGGTGCTGTTGGAAGCACCGATAATAAAGTCGTCGAGAAAAAGTACCGTGTAGCGTATAAGTTCATCGAAGGCAATTCGGCCGCTGTTCGCAAACCTATCAAAGTTGAAGCATTCTTGTAATAGCGAACTCGCAGTGTTGAGACATTCCGGCGATGTGCGCAAGCGAAGATAGTTTATCTCATAGGATGTGATGTACAACTTAGATTTAACTTATGCAGAATCTTATTATGAGGTTAGGAAGGATCATTGGAGTAACATACGGCAAGTGAGCTCAAGTGACTGGGATGCCATGATCTCTTGCTCCATCAAAGAATCGGAACGCGAACTCGGTTGAGACGCCTTCGATGTAGCTCACACCATCAAAAGACACAGAGAAACACTCGAAAGTAGGCGGCATTGCTGCTAACACAGACGAAATAGAGACATTAGCACATACTCCGCCGCCGCATTATGGGTTTCCTTCTCGCTTCATCAAACCAAACGCACCAATCGCATTTCTATGTCTACGTACCCACCGAGGTCATTTTCGGACATATGATCTACATAGAGCACCTCGGGGTCTCTTCTATGATATGAAATCCGTGACGAGCTTTTTGAATTCCATCGGCCTGGATAAGGAATGATGAGCTTTTGTCAAAAAGCAAGGCGTACAACTCACCGCTCAGCATGAACTAGAGGAATATTTGCATTTTCATTAGTCATGTAAGACTATGGTGAGGAGTCACATAACGCACCCCAATGTCCAGTGTCCAACATCTCGAGCGCCATGTCGGGGAAGAACGATTTGGCGATCGGAATATTATGCCGATTGATGTAGCTTGCCATATGTCAGATTTATACCAGGGCAGCCAGCCATACGTCTAGACTTACGCGCTCTTCTCGCCTTTGATAAACAGAGCCTTACCGTCCCACTGTCGTTCCCCACCTTCATAAGGGAACGACCCAATGTCTTGAATTGAACTTCCAAAGATGCTTATCGGGATCCGGAAATGTGCATGCCCGTGTGAAGTGTGCGGAGGGACTACAAGATTCGTGAGTAGGAACATTATGATGCTCGGGTCCTATGCATATATCAAAAGGAAAGGCGATAGCGAAGCGTTGAAAAGGCAAACTTTTTCTGTTTCATGCAAAATATCGACGGCTTCCTTTCGTGTCTTCACCTTCATGGCCTCAATCTTCTTCATGGACTCAACGTACGATTTAAATTCGTTGGAGAGATTTCCTCTAGCAGGCGTTATGTCCACGGAAATGAGGTGAGAAAGCGTCGACATTCCAAGGTTGGGAGCCAGTGCTACAGCAGCAGCGACTTTACCACCCCTACTAGACATCAGAAATTGCCTCCAAGGTGGTGTCAAGGCGTACATGGAATGTCCGAGCAAGGATACGTTTGTTAAGTGATGCTTCGAGATGAAGTGAAGGACGTCCGAGGCCATGGCGGAGTAGGTCATAGGCAAGGCATGAGGCGACGTTCCATGATTCCGAAGGTCCTGACATATTTTATGATTTTCTAAAACTATAAGAGGGAAATAAACAGACCAAGGCATACACGGGTCGATTCAGGTCACGCAAGAAGGCTTTGGTGAGAGATGTCCAGTTCCGTTTAGAACCGCTGTCCAGGTATCAGATGCTACTCATCACAATATATAGCAAATCGCGTACAATAACCCATGAAGTATAACGAGCGCTCGATCAGTCTTATTTCCATCTGGTGGTATAAGCTCGGTATAGTGAAGCTCGACTGGTGAAGTGGTCACAGCTATGTGGTGCCGCCGAGATCCTGCTTCAGAAAAGATAAATAGCTGGCCAGAATAAAGGCCAAAAAAACGCACCTGTTAGTCGCCGCAGGGACCTTTGGAAAGTGGAGGTGTTGAAGAACGAAGACCCCAGCATGGACGTTCTAGGCCAAGCTACTTGACAATGACGGGGGCTCCGAGTCGGGCCGTCGGACCTTGCGTTCACCGAATGTGAATTATTTATGACTTCGCTCATTCAAAACGCGCAAAAGGGCTGTTAAAAGGACTAGGATTTGACTGAGAGCACGCAGAAAAATAGCAGCCATGTGACGGTTGAATTTTAGGAAATATAACTAGCAAGTACTACGAAGAAATACTTGAGTTTTCTTCCTGGATCCATTTGCCAAGTCCATTTAACTTGACAAGGCTTCAGACTTTATTTAACTGGGGATGCAGACCAAGTTGCCACATGCGTTGGTCTCACAGGCTAATAAAAACAATCAAGAACGTGAGTACGACATATGGATGCAAGAGACGACCGCTTACTGCCTTGAGATTCAGCAAACGCGCATGAATGTCCCACGCCGTAGTTATTAGAACCATTGCACGCGTCGACTAGGACGATAAAGATAAGTATAAATTTTGGATACGCGGATAGAAATCCTACCAGCGTTGTCTGCAATGGCATCGGCTTGTCCCGCGGATAGGAACATGGCTGTCAAGGTGATCATGGCAATGGAGGTGAATTTGAACATCATTTTCGAAAGACGATGGATAAGATTGTAGTGGTTGAATGTGAGCAGTAATATCTGTGTGGAAGAGGTTGTCTGTTTGAGAAAGATGCTTGGACGGGGCTTTATAGGCGACGAATGCTTTTTCCAGAACTATCCTTGAGTTTCAACAGGTGGAGCTCTCGAACCGAAGGAATCTTCAAGGGAAGGTTTCAAGGGGAACTGTGGTCAACGGGACGTAACGTAACCAAACGGACATAGCCTGTACGAACTGAGATGAGGTGACTCAATGTCGCATTCTGGACCCCAAGGAGCCACAATAATTCAGAGTCATAACAACGCGCTCTGCCAGCCTGAGCTATCGTCCCGTCTATATGAAGCACGTAACAGATATTGTCATATCAATGAAGTTCGTGAAACCAGCGCCCCAAGGCTTCACTACATTGAAACGGTCAGCTATTATCCCTAGTACAAATTAGCAATGGAAACTTCACCTACATAAAGTGACAATCGGATGCTTATCCGTAAAATCGCAAGTATAGAAGAATATGACAAACTGTCGAGCGACGACAACCGATATTGCTCAAGTTATCATCTGAATGGGAGAAACTATTGCTCAGAACATGTACCAGCTTCTCGTTATGGCAACTCTTCTCGTAACTTCGTATAGAAATAGATACTTCGAAACGACACGGCAGGGGCCTGGGAATTCTACCGCCGCAGCAGTAAACGGATCAGACTGTAATATTTCGTGGTTCGAAGGGCTGATGGAAACACAAGAAAATGAATCTCACTTACCCGGGTTTAAGTCCTTGAAATCTATTCAAGCAGAGCCAGCAACCTTACAGAAGTCAATGACAATTGTTCCATAATTCTTGAAACAATATGTCAAAAGCTGGTTTTAGTCTCAAGACTCCATGATGCACCAAAAGATTTGGTCCATTTGGAAGTCAAAAAACGGACTGTGCGTATATTCTGATGGTTTCAACTTCGAATCCATGGACAGCCTGTGCGTCCAGCGCCCCACCAAAATATAACGTTGAAACTGGTTACTTACGACTTGATGCCCGACGGATCAGAGAACTCAGAAAGTATTTTCCGACGCATTTGCTACCCTTGAAACAGCATGCAAAGGCTCTATCTATTTACGCTTAAGGACTTGGAAAAAAACGGACTTCATTTCTCGCCTATAAAAGCCAGTCAGTTCCGGTTACTCCACCCAACAACCACACCCGCACAGTTATAACCACCACGCACATACCATTCCAATCATCCAAGTCATCTAAAAATGATCTTCCAAATCAAGTTGACCATAATGGCATTGGCCACCATGTTCCTTTTCGCAGGACAGGCAAACGCTATTGCAGCTAACGATGGTAGGCATAACATCTCCATGACGATGACAATCTTCGCTTACCGTGATGTTTTCACAGTCGACGCGTGCAACGGTTCAAACCATTACTCTGTCGGTCACTCCTGCGCCTTTCAGGAGTCTCAAGGCAGTAAGTGGAAATTTTGAACATGTACATTCTGAGCCTCACTGCGATTTCGTAGTCTGCCAAACCAATAGTTGCGGCGTGCTCATCTGTGTCCCTAACTGAGGCGAACTACGATGAGCTGAATACTTCATGGGGGAGGGAAATAGCAGATACATCAGTTTGTAGATTTCGTGCAAATTGGATGTGATTTTCAGAGCGGAATGAACGTCATAACTTATCCTGGAAGTAAAAAGGTATACTGTCCCACAAGCCGCAATTGACTTTGAGCTCGAGAACTCGTCGTGCTTCTGTAATTTTCGGGTAACATAGCCAGGATTACATGAAAGTGGACTATATCCTATAAGGTCGCAGGGCTTGATGATCAGCACCGCAGTATGACAAAGATAGTAGCAGAACCCTACCATGAAAGCATCTACGCTCTAGACACAACATACTCTAAGAACTTCTGCCACTGCTTATGCCATTTCTCCAGCGCGACCGCCTTCTGGTCCGATTCAAGCATAGAGTGCTAAGTTCCTCCCGTCAAATAAAGATTCGTAAAAACGATTAAAGTACCTTTATGCTGTCTTTAGCCATAGCGCCTAGTTGAATAAGGCCAGTAACGTCGCTTGATACAAGCACCTTTAGAAGAAATCAATACAGCATGGGTTGGTATACTTCGAGAGCCACACCTGAAAGAAATCAAAAGAAAGCCCCATGTTGCCGAAGACCGAAGGATCGTCAGAGCAAAGTGCTACGGGTATCCCGTGGTTGAGAAGAATCGGTAGCGGATGCATGGGCATCGATGATGTCAGTCTCTGTGAGATATAGTCAGGAGAACTTGAAGGTGGGCAGGAGAACTTTGGGGGGATATCACCAGAATTTCATTTCTAGGAGGAACATCAGTGAGAGTAGCAATGTGCAAAAAAAAGCCTACGAGATTGGACACACTTCGAGTGCAATGTTCTTTTCTTTACATATATTCATCAGCTCAGGGTGCTTGACTAGAGAAAATCTACGAGACGGTGGGTAAGTTCATCAAAAATCAACTATGACCTGGATTACCCATGTCCGATCCTTTTTGTTCCCAGCAGAATAGCGTCGTAGAGATTCATGTCAGCCTTGGAACCATCACCAAGGGTCTCGCCGGCATGGAGAATGAAAGGAATATCGACACCTGCGTCTTTCTGCATATGACGAAAGTTTAAGAGCTTCTCCGTGTAATGTGACAGCGGGTATAAGACATTTTCATCCCCTACAAGGTCGAAGCCTTACAGTGCGAGTCAGAATGAGATACTAGATAAAAAATGATACTATATATACCTGCAATTAAGTGGGGGAACTCTTTTTTCAGAGCAATACAATCCTCAAAATACCAGTCCAGCTCGTCTGGTTCAAGGAATCGAATAGTAGTGTAGATGATCTGCATTGCAAGTTCCAGATTCTTAAGCTCATCCTAATGAAAAGAAAGAAACCTTTGCCCCAACGAACTCGTCTTCTCTTCCTCGAGCTTTCAAGTCAACGATGGTCTCCTCCAAGATCGACTCGAAGATCATGAGAAGCTCTCTGTGTGTGACATTCTCGACACCATCAGCATTCACCATGGTCCTGTGTACGGAAATCTGGTCAACAATATACAATGCTCTCTATGGGTACGTACTTGATCCAAAAATTCACTCTCGGCTCGACATATAAAATCCCGTCTTCTATAGAGCTTCGGATGAACTCGCGAATGTACTTGGTAAAAATTGGCGTGTACTGTATAAGACCCTAAAGCAAGTTTAAATCGAAACGTTCAAGATGAGGAGGAAACAGAGAACCCTACGTCGGCGACTCGAAATGTGCTCACAAATTTTTGCCAGATCTAGAGAACAAAATAAGGAACGGAAAACTCGGCTCCAATCACTTTGATGACGACCTTGGTGACGGTGTTGTGTGTTCCATACGCCTCTGCGGGATTGATCGTCAAGCAGCCAAGAACCCATTGGTCGAATCCATCTGGACCTCCTAACTCTGAGTCGAATTGCTCTCTGGCCTGGGTAAGAGAAAGCCAGGAGTCCGGGACATAGGATGGTGAGGTAAGGGATAATGCTTCGTTGTTGTGAAGCTCTGCAGGAAGTGCCTTGAACTTTGGGAGCACGGCGTTCAAAGTTTGAGCATTGATAGCTTTTGGAACCTGCACATGCATTGACGGTTCTTGCAGTCCAAGGTCATACAGGAATGATGCGTTCACCGTCGCGTCTAGATGGGCATGGAGAAGCGCGCCCTTGGGCATCTTGAGGGACTGTAAGAACTAGGATGATCGTAGACAACATATTACACGCCCTACTTTGCATAGAATCTTGTATATTTCGGTTTGGACAATGATACTCCTGCCTGTATACGGACTCGGATAAGTGGAATCCCGGGACAAAGAACCAGAGACCAAGTGTCAGCTCACCGGTCAAGAATTCCATGCCAGGGAATGGATGAGGTATAGAAGGATAATCTGCACTCCATACCGACTCAGCCTCAGTTGCACGAATGCTGCGAATCAAGTGGTCTGCCTGTATTTCGAGAGTGGATAGGTTATCTTGATCCAAAACGTCCAGTCGAAGAGATCTATCCCTGGATATCAATTCCTTGCGCTTGACTTGGTATTCGGCGAGCTCAGTGATTAAAGACGACATCGTGGCAGTGTGTAAAGACACGAGGCGAACTTGTGCCGGTCAGTCGCGACAGCAGTGATCGATCTCGACGATCTCGGTGACCACCACGACAACAGCAATGGCGAAGACACTTGGTTGCAATTACCAGGCGCTATCATCGCTTTCTGCCATTGCAGTGCCGCCACTCCACAAGATGTTCAAGGAACAATTTCGGATTTCTGTCCTACAGTCTGCCGCGAGTCGGCTACTGCGAGAAAATCCATCGGACCTAACTTTCAATCCCACTCGACATGTATGACATTGAAATTTAATAGGAAATCCGAGTCCATCTTCCGCCAGACGTATTAGAAATTGTCAGCTAGAGATTATCTCTTCCAACCATTTTCTTGCGGTTTTTTGTATCTTCTTGCCAGCCTGCAGACAGGAATTCTTACAAGGACGATAGAGTGTTCAATTGGCTTCTCGAAGTCATCGTTTGTCTTCTTCCGTCGTTCGTGAGTCAATTTCCCACCGCTTGGAATCCTCCCAATACCCTCCAAGTTTTATCTAAAGCATTTTTCACAGAGATTCTTCGCGAAGGTCGATATATATCCCTCGTGTGCGAGTAAAACAATCGTCGTGCCTAGCATACAACGCGATCGCTAAATGTTGATCGATGAAAACTGAACATGAATGTTTCGATTTTCGAAACGCTCATTTCTGATAATTGTTGAACTCAAGTTTGTGCAAGATAGTTAAAAAAAAAAAAAAAAACATTTCGGTGAACGACGCACATAGGAGTTGAACCTACGCCCAAGGTGGCCTTAACCACTTCGCCACAACGTTCTAAGGATATAGCTGAACCATGTAGATTAGATCCCAATTCCTATTTAGACAGTTTTTAAACAAAAAATTTGATCGCGTCCTCAAGATACCTCTTAGCTAGGACATTCGTCGACATCCAACGTCAAGGTTTTCTAGAGGACACAAAACCCCTTGTCAGGACTTTCTGACGTAAATCTCTCCATTAATGAATCAGATCATTTCCCAGCGTATTCATGAGAAGGCTATTGTTCGATGGTAACTGTCTTCATGGAGTGCCACGCCAAAGTTAAGCGACTTCATGTAGGTTACCGTCGCAGGTATATTGACTGTGCCAATGAGATCAACAAACGAGACATCGAGATACTAACCAGCGCAACCCACACCCGTCCACTATCTTATCTCTGCAGGCCTGACTTAGGGGAGGAGGGTCGCCGCCAATAGCTGGAGATGACATGTTCATGGAGTACACGATCTCATCGATCTTATCTTCGTTGCCATGGCTTTGCATTTTCTTCTCGCAACAAAGAGGAAAGTGTGTACCGATATTCCCGTCGGCCCTGTGGTACCTCCACACTATACGAAGATGATGAGTCCCAAGATCAGCCCAAATAGGTAGAGGGACGCACAACGATTCTTCGGACGGAACAGGTATAGTCACGGTGGGTCCAGAAATAACCGTCCGCTGCACCCCCGGAGGATCTTCAATACCTTCCCATTTGGCGAAACTCACTTCACAACCAGCAATTGCAGAAAGCAAGTGACCTCCCTTCTCAAGGCCAATGAGAGCATTCATCGCGGCATATACATCCGTAAAGAAGACGACAAGTGATGAATAAGGCGCTCGACTAGAAGGTCATTAACGTTTACCGTGCAATAGCATATAACCAGCACGAACACTGATGAGCGGTGGTGGACAAACATCACTTCGCCAAACTGCGACAAGACTGTTTGCACCAATAGAGCGGTGGCATCCTTAGCCTTTTTGTTCCGCAAGCCTATCCATAATGCCCGTCTTGCACCCAAATTTAGAGCAAGCACCATCATGGGATGAAGGTTAGGTGTCTCGACTGCTGTCGCAGTAAAAATTTTCTGCTCTGCTATTGGCTGGAAATGTGACAGGAAGGTATTGGCTTCGTCTTTTTCAAAGAACTCGATATCCTAGAGGAACCATGAGAAAGCATTCTAGCACGTACTGAAAGACGCACCATCGTCTCTTTATCCGCATCGTGACGAAGACTTAGCCCCGTGGAATGTCTCACGGCGCGTAAACTCGACAAGACGTAATCCTCGACTTGATTTTTTTGAATCCCAGTTATATGTACGGTCCGCGGTGTCGTCCCTACAGGGTTAGGATCTCTACGAAACGCGACGTTATGGTGTTGGAGAGCCTCGTACGCCTAAAAAGTGAATATGAGAAACAAGAGATAGACAGAACGACAGAATCAATCACCTTGATGGCATCCGCAATATTTAAAAAGTCCACGAGTCCTCTGTTCTCCCTGACGCCTGTGAAGCAAAGGGCTCCATACGGAGTAAAAAGATCTTGTAGCGTCTGAATAGTCCATTGCCCCGGTATTTCGAGTCGTCTCGATGCATGCCATGCACCAATTCTTGCAATGATCCCTGCATCCACCATTGGACGAGACGGTCCCACAAAGCTCATTTGCTCGTCCTTGTATCGTTTCGTCTGTTTCCAGCGCCCTTTACGTTCTTCAGCGTCGATTGGGCGAAAAAAGCGCAAATCCACAGAGTTTGGTGAAAAATTAATCCGTTCAATCATGTAGGAGCTAGAGACGAATTCGGCAACATCGTAATCTTTTGGTAGATGGCGCACGCGGAGAACGCATCTTCGCCTGCGTCGACCGTCACCAGCCTCAGGACTAGGTATTCCCGTAACAAAGCATCGTATTGAAGGTCGCGGACACGATGTGACAAATAATAATATCGTTGTTGATATCCTGGGAGAGAAAGACAACATGGAGAATTGATTTGAGCTTTCTGCTAAATCGAGCAGGAAATGAAATACCCATTGTCAGGGTAAATAAGTAAATAAGTAAATAATTAGTTGTGTTTGCGGTCCGCTAGCTAATTTCCCAGTCCCTATTAATATACTTCAAATTGCCGACCGTGCTTGACTGGCCCACTGGAAACCTGCAAGTTGTTGGACTCGTTTGCCTGGGATGTCTTACTCTCGTTAGACTCCTCCGACGCCGACGCTACAATGCTATATACGAGAAATATACTCCCAAATACAAGGCTGGCGTGCTGCCGCTACGGGATGCGCAGGAAATCATGGGTCTTTCCATGATGTATGACATGCAAGCCCTGCTGAATTATTCTCTAACAAAACCGACTCTAAGATTGGGGTGGGGAGGAAAACGCCTCTGAAAAGCTGCGCACGGACACCTGGTCTTCGCATCGTCCACTGCTTGTACAGTACCACATATCGGACTGTCCTCGCTTTGAGACCCTCTTATAATGTCCTCGCTCTGCGTCCCATTGCCTGCACACTACGACATTCCCGCACTTCATGCCACCCTCCTCTACACCGTACTTGACACTTGACATGAACCCGTGACCCCCGCGAACATGCGACCTCAAGCTCCTGGCGGCTCCTTCGCAACCTTAAGCTTCCAGGTTACTTATATCAGTGCTAAAATGAAGAGTCATTAGGATCGAAATACCCGAAACACCCGCTTTTTGTACTACAGTTGTCGATCTGCCCAGCTTCGGCTATTTGTACAGCGCTTCTACTCAAATAGCCTTGTCCGAATCGGCCTTGGAGACATTATGACGCGCGTGGTGTAGTAAGACATTTAGTGATATCAAACAAATGAACGAAACCAACACAAAAAGTTGTTGACCGTCAGCAGTAGTATCTACAATCCAAATCAAAACATAAATATCTTCGTCTAGAGTAGATATCTGAAATCTTTGTTCTGGATATCTGTAAGATCAAGGAAAGCCTAAGAGCGCGTGTATATCAGCTAAGCTCGACAAAAGAGAGAATGAGACACCAATACCTTATCGACTTTCCTCTCTTCAGTGGTTCCATCGGTGTTAACATGTTTCACATAAACATCGTCGTAGGTATCATCATGCCGATCCATGTTTCGTCGCTTGTTCTCGGCAGCGAGCATAAATCGGAGAATGAGAAGAAGTATCCCGGACGTCAAGTTGGATGCCGCAATCAAAGCCCACGGAACATGATTCCTGAGGAACAGTTATTGTCCGAGTCGGAAAGCAAACAGGATTTATAGGTCATACCTCGGCTGGTATTTCTTTTTCCACACAAACGGGCCGGCAAAGTTACCTACGCAGTATCCAATGAGGACTAGAGCATTAGTGGTTATCCCTGTATCAACGCGCTTCAATTATAGGACAGACGTGGTAAGGAGAGGATCGTTCACGTTTTGTATGTCCCGACGTGAGACCGCTTACCCATCCGAGGAAGATGGGAAACGGAGCAATGGCGAAAACTAGAAGATATGAACCAATGGTCTTGAAATGACAAGCAGATACATACTTGAAACCCAATAGGAGAATAACAGACCAACTTTATTGCTCGAAGGGAGCAGATTCACTAGCAGCGCCCCTAAGATCGCAACGATATACATCAAGACCCCAGCGTAGCCACGTCCAATGGGCTTGAACGAAGCCAGGGTAATCCCTAGCCATATTGTCAAGACTGCGCATCATGTCAGTTCACAGCTCGCTTCTACGAAAAGTATGTAACCTACTTTCCACAACACCGTCTACACAGCCGATCAAAGTGGTCTGGATGGTGCTAAAGCCAAACTGGCTGACAATAAGCTGCCGCTGGTTCGTCAGCTAAGCGTGAAACATGTGGATCAGTTGCTTTCAGCGTTCCAGCGTGTGACACATGACCTACCGAGTTCACGATATTACTGAGTCGGAGAAACAATAATAGATCAACGTCCGGTTAGATAGAAGAACAGAAGAAAGTGCGTACCCAATAGCAGCGAACAACACCATGATCCAAACTTTCGGATCTTTGAGCGTCTCAATAAACCTATGTTCGTTAACTAATGCATACGGGCCATGATGATGATGCAAAGAAAAACGCACTGATCACGTTTCCACGTCTTATTTTCTACACCCGTCTGATTGACCTTGATCCTTTGCACGACCTTGACACGTTCATCGGGAGTAAGAAAACGTGCAGTTGTCGGAGAATCCGGGAAGAAGAACCTGGCGAACAGATGAGCTGCAGTCCCGAGATCGTACCTAACAATGCCGCTCACCAGAATATCACAGACGAGATAAGTGTCATCAAGCCGGTAATGATCATTAACCTGCAATGATCATTAGCGTGTCAATTCAGACCGGACGGCATTTCCACTGACCATTGCCACGGCAGGAAGCTGCCCGTCTAAAGGGTTGTGAACGATCAAAAAGGGGGGTGCAATAATTCACAATACCGACCCTGGTGTGCAGAACGCCAAATGCAATGAAACCCAGTAAGATGACGGCAAATCCATTCATTAGAACTGAGAAGAAAACGGAAATTAGAAGCCATCGTTCGTTTGCAAGAACCGATCAATACTTACACCAATAACCGGTGCGCTTTGTCTGTTCCTCCCGCGTGTAAAACATGGACGTCACCTAGCCGACCTGATTTCAGTCCCTCTGGTCTCGGAAAAGGATAATGCGACGTACGATCATGAATCCTGGAGTGATTGCGCCTTCACATACGCCAAGGATGAACCGGACAGCTAATAGGCCACCGAACGACGAGCATGCAGCGTGGCATATGAGAGTGATGGACCAAATGAAGATATTTATACTGTCGCGAATCAGACAGCGCATGGGAGACGGTCATAAGGCCTGCAGTTACCTCATCCATTTTCCTACAGGAAATCGTTGCAACGCGAGACTTTGAGGGTACTAGAGGGATACGCCTGTTGGGGTTGAGTAACTGTAAGAAGAGTAGGACGCACTTCAAAGACGAGGTAGCTGAGATAAAATACAGAGCCCAGCCAGTTAAATTGCGTCTGGTTCATGTGGGCACCCTTTCTGGAATATTTTGAGGAAAACTTCAGGGTAACGAGACTATGTAACGTACAAAATGCCGAGAATGGAGGATTGCCCGAGCGTTGTCTTGTCGGCAAATGTCATCCTTGGCACATTAGTCCCTTGTTACGAGTAGCACCAGTGATGGAGGCTTACAGATACAGAACTGCAATGGATATCAGCAACTTGACGTTCAGAATGATGAGTCTAGTACTCACGACACATTAAAGGTAAAATATTCTTGTCAATCTTCCACCTCAAATCAAGTCAATACGTATACGAGAACATCTTCAATAATACAGCATACCTCAATTTCGCAGCTTCCCTGGGATCCAAGCTGACCGACTCAATAGCGAGCTGAGCAGCGACATCGGCCTCGGTTTCGTTAAAGCCTAGATGAGCGCGTTTTTCCCACTGCTCACTAGCGGTGTCCATGTAGGGGATAACGGGGGGAAGGAAGATGGGAGCGCGCGTGATGCGAGAACGAACATTTCTTTATAAATGAGTCCGTGAGGAAGATAAAAAGAGGTGTAGACCCAAAATGGGTTTGAAAATCATCTGTCACCCACGCTGATGAGCCCTGAATTCGGGTTTCCACATTACGCAATGTGATCTTCCGATTCCAATGTCTGCCGATGAAGACGCGGAATACATAACAGCCCATACAAGGACCGTAACACGTTCCTGACTTCATGGGAAGGGGGGGCAGCGTTCCCCAGCACCTCAGTTCTCCATCGACAATTCCCAGAATACTTCGTGGGACGGGGGAAAACCGGAACATCTCGACCTTTCTAGTGCCTTTTGTGCTGTTCAGGCGATCCAACAGATTCCAATTGGGTTCTAAAGCCTTACTTGAAGCAGGTCACTAAGGATACTTGTTCCGCCTTCGCTCTGGAGCCTATACACCAGCGCGGATGCTGCATTATTCGAAGTTTCACTATAATTTGTTCAGGCCAACAACCTTTGATGAACCTGAGAGGGCCACGAATACCGGACCAGTCCTTTCGTTAAAACTTCTCTCCGCGTTTGGAACATCACATGCATCACAGCTGGACTTACTTGGTGACTTGGGTCTATTCCCGAGATCGCTGTACTACACTCACCGCTAGTCCCGGGATAGCCGATACCACTAGCCTAATTGTTCCCATTTGGTACATAGTTTATGCTACCATGTACCACTATTACTCAGGAGTCTACGGATCCACGCTTTAGCTATGTCTCGTTATCCGGTGATTTCATCTTGGAATGAAGCATACTATGTAGTCGTATCAAAGTTTATCTGAATGAAAGTCATCCTGTCGCCATGATTCCCTGAACGGAGCTGGGACCTGTCCAGACGCCATAACCTTTGATGACGGTTGAGAGGCTCCATGCGAATTTCTACTCTTTCATAGGACACGGCATGGGTGAATGATAGAAATATCAATGACACAAAGAGTGCCGTATAGTAGCTACAAATAGTCAAAGGTATGCGTGTATTCCGCTCTTCCTTAGAAGAAGAACGGATGGATGTATCACGAAGTTGGCGCCGTGCCCGGGAAGGAGAGGCCAGTGCTTGTTGCACCATCTAGAGTGTGAAAAGTGAAATTGGTGTGTTACCGCAGAGCCGACTTCGTAGCTGCGACATCGTATCATTTTAACGATGGCAATTAAACTTGTTGGCGAAGGCCAAATGCACCGATCCTCATACGATTGAAAACTTCTGAATTACGGCAATATGTATGTCTATATGCTCTGCATCACGAGCTGCCGGTATCAGACTTGCATGATGCGGAGGAGCATGTGAATATTAAGGGTGCAGTGTCAGTAATAGCTGGTGTGTGTGTGAGTAATTGGAAGACAATCACGCCCAGGTTCAGCAAAAAGCCTCCGACTAATACTGTCCCGGGCGCCTGATGATGGTATCGGCAGCAAACGACTTGAGGCAGCACTGTTGACTTCGCAGGCGCAGTCAAATTGTTGTTGGGGCCAATCGATATCACTAAGGTTCAATTACGGGCTGTTCTCCGAAATGAAAACGGGCAGAAAAAGCACCGGTAGTATTGGAGACTGAGTTGCGATCGCGGTGATCACATGGGTAAATGATATTCGGCCAAGTTCAAAAAGATGGGTTCGGGTCTCATCAGAAATTAACCCGTCGCCGTCGTCTGCCTTGAACGACATCTGGAACTTGGGCTAATAGTAAACCAGTTGCATCTTCTTCGATAAGCGCGTGAATATTTGGAACTTGAATAACGAATAACAATTGCGGCCAAAAAAAATCAATTGGCTCTGGGGGTAAAGGCAAACTGATCGAGGACTAAGTTATAGCATTGTCAGCTATTGATCCTGCCACTCGTACGAGCCAACGATAGCAGTCTTGCCGATAACGGACCCTTGATTCGGCGCTAGGACGGTCATTTTACGCTGAGGGATGTCCAGCTTTGTTCTGCAGAGGAAGATCAGCGAAAGACGAGCAAACATGCCAAAGGCAAAATGCACATCACTAGAAACCCTACCACAGTGAGGTCGAGGATCTCTTCGTCGTATCGCTCGTTTTCGTCCGGGTTGAAGGGGGAAAGAAGTGCAAGCACGGCGTTCAATAGACCAGAACCCGGCTGGCTGGGGCTGACGAGCACCGGCTGCGTCTCTGAGACTACACGTTTAGCGCCTACGGGGAGTGCATCTGAGGGGGCCATAGTTGCTGTGGAGGCAAAGAATGAGGGTTGTGTTATTTGAGATGAAAAGAACGACGAGAACCTGCACCGATCCGGTATATAGTGAGGTCATCAAAACTGATGACGGAAGACGATGGAGAGAGTATTATGTCTGTGAAAGTGTCGGCGCTAACGGAAGAAGCTGGTATCCCTGCGGGGGGTTGTATGACTTGGCCGTACATGTAGGTGTGCATTTGATAGCTGTGCACTCGTTCCCGGTATCCATGATCGAGTTCAACAACCTAGGAAGTGTGAGTTCGAGTGAAGATATGAAAACGGGCCGTCGTACACCACCAGACTTTGGTATCTTCACCACAGTAAGGAGAGATCCATAGGTGCGTTGCATTTCAACATTCAGTTTTTCGTGCCCCACCACGAGAATGACGTTGACTGCTCTATATTAGATATGACACTTTCAAGGAAATAATGAGAATATTCCTCACTTCTGAAGGATTCTACGCAAGCTTTTATCAGTCTTTGTCGGTGCTCAGTAGATGACGCAGGGCCTGAACCCAAGGAAGAAGGGGTGTCGACAATGATGCCTGCAGCGCTTCCTAAAAGACATTCATACAGATGATACACGATACTTAACCGATAGTACCTCTGGGATCGTTCTCCTGCCGTTCTCGAACATTTTCACCCAGGTTACGGATGAGTCTGTCCATCAACAGAGGATTCTTCCTGGTTTCCGGGTGCCCATACCAGTATACCAGTGGCAGCAACGCGTTTGAAGACAAAGATGTTGGCGCAGAAGTGGCAGCCGTACCAAGGGTGTTTGCGGGAGAAGATGTTGGCAGTGGACTGCTCACGGGTGCAACTGACAGAGCACCGGGCGCGGACCAGCCGCCCTGGAAGACGCATGGATGAGCTCATGCGAAACAGCGTATACGACGGACCGACCTCGTTTGGATCGAGGTTGATCAATAGTGGGGTCCATTCCTGACCGGCACGAACTGTATAGTTGACTAAGATCTTGCACACACTCGTCTTGCCGGAGTTTTCGGGTCCCAGTATTAAGACACGAGGCGGCTCCGCATTGACATCGGACTTTGTATCCGGAGGAAGCGATCCACTGAGGGTCTGCAGGGCTCGCACTCGCATCTGTTCAAATGCTACATGTAGATTTCCGTAGGCATTCATTGGTGTCTCTTCTGACACATAATCCGTAGATGGATGGCCGGTGACGTGAAAGTAACAGTTAAGCATGATGTGTACACTTTGTATGAGAAAAAAAAGGACTCATCTCGATAATACAGCCCTGCCAGGTAAATATCGCTCCTTTGCATTCTGCGCCAAAGACATACGTCTGCCCCTCTACGAGCTCAAATCCGAATATTTCTGCGTGTCCATGCGACAGCTGGATGCCTTGTGCGTTCAGAGAAATGCAAGAAAAGCATTGGCGCGGACCTGCCTTGACTGCGAGGGAAGTACCGGGATCGAGTTCGAATCTGTACTCCGTCTCGGGCTCCAGCACCCATTCTTTTGTTTCAGGCGTATCTTCGGGCATGATGAGAAACAGATTCCGTTCACAATGGCCGTCGAGAAACGCAGAGTCAAAAACACCGATTAATTTTCAGGACTGTAGAGAGCATAACTGTCCATGAGAATGACGTAATTTGTTCCAACACACCGTGGGAAACATTTCTATCACGTTACCTCTAACTACCTCCTCCTTCCAACGTCTATCTAAAGTCTTGAGAGATCACGCCCCCATACACCTCGGATGATCCAATCAATCATCAGCAGTGCCCGTGTACGTACGGAGACTTGTTCGTTCCAATATATACTTCTCCATGCGTACATTGCTGCCAGACCCCCCATGAACGAGTATTTACCTAGGTCAAAGACAGCTGCATTCCCAATGTAAGCCAGACTGCCCAAATGCTTGTACCGGAAGGGTCCAGAGAGCTTTTCCTCCGCTGCTCTGGGATCAAAGTCCTTGGATTTAAGGTCTTCTTGTTGGCGTGCGAGCTTGTGGAGCTTTTTGCCAATATATTTACCCTGCTGAGAAGCCACCTGGGCCGTCTAAAATTGAAATCAGGATGGGTTATCTTGCAAAGTAGATAGCTAAGAATACCGCAGGTAGAGAGGTAATCTTATTTCCGATGCCTTCAAGCAATTGAACCACTTCGTTGAGCGAAAGACTATTATCCGCGTCCGTATCGTACATTTCGAACAGCTCCCTGACCTGCGAAAGGGTCAGCACAACAGAGCACTAGCCGCCATGCATAAACACCTTGGTGACGTGATCCTCCGCCATAGGAATGCGCTGCTTTATCCTTGACACTAGACACAACTCCGTTATAATAGATAGGTAAAAACAATTTGTTCGGCGTACCCATGATCTCCCACTCCTCAAAATCGATTTTCCCATTCTTGTCACGATCTGCGTCGTCCACCAGCTCCATAAAATGGCTGATAATGGACGTCTCGATCTACAGATAGAGGAGGTTGGCGACCTCAAAAGATGAGAAATCGAGGCTTACCGTCGCACAATCGCCAACGGCATACACGGTTCCCAGAGGAGCGCCTTTCACCCTGAGATGGGCATCGACTTCAATGGCTTTTTTGTGCACTTGGTTAGGTAGTAGGTCCGTTACGCGCTTCGTAAACGGGTTCATCGCTATACCGGTCGACCATAGTACGAAGTTGTGGGGGATGGCGTGCTGTTCCGTCTCCCCATTAGGTCCCCGCTTGCTGTAAAGAACGTACTCAGGATTGACAGCGCCGACTCTTCATGCTGACTTCAGATATGAAGCATGGCAATGACTTCACTTAGACTGACCGCGCATTGGTAACAAGATCGACACCATCTCTAGCAAATTTGGCTTCTGCGTATGTGGATATAGCTTCCGAGTACTGGTATGCTTTCAATGGAAAGAAAAGACAGTAAAAAATCCAAAAACACGGACCGTATTCAAGATATGCTCCCGAGATTGAATCACATGGATGGATACTTCTTCCCGGCAGATTTTTGGAAACTAGAGGTAAGATCAGGAAAAGAAATCAAGGTGACAGTACTGCATCGTACGAATTTCATGATATCTTCCTGGCAGAAGTCATAGATTTCCTGTCTACGATGAGTGTATTGCAATGAGTTGAAAGAGAACAATCTTACCGCAGCAGTTTCCACGCCAGTAGGGCCACCTCCACAGATGACAAAACTGAGTAAACGCTTACGCTCTTCCGGAGTTGTTGTCGGCAGACTCGCAATTTCAAAGTTATCTGGCAGGACATTAGCTCGAGGGTAGAAGATGGGACATGGAGCTCCATACCCATGACACGTCTCCGAATGGCCTGTGCATCACCAATCGTTTTGAGTTGGAAACAATGCTCCAATCCGGGCACACCATGTGTACTTGAAGTTGATCCAACGGCAATGATAAGCTTATCGTAACTAGACCGCCATGAGGTCAGTGGGCTGCCTCGAAAGTATCTGAACAGTGAACGCACGGAATATATATGTGAGACGGCTTTCCACTGGCGCTCAAAGTCTCAACCTCCAGCAGCTGTTCAGACATACTCAGATCGACCGCTTTGCCCTGTACAAAATGACCTCGGAGACGAGCAATGATCTTGCGAATGGGTTCGACCAAGGACCGCACTTGAACGGTACCCACTGCAGCAGCTGCACACATTATGAGAAGGCAGTCCTGCAACAAAGCGCGCCTGACGCACAAGGAAGAAGGGGCGTAAACGTCGTAAAGGTCTCCGATGAAACAATGGTTATATTGTAGTCTCCGGGGTACAATTTTTGTAAGACACCCATCGCCTAGGAAAACTTGAGCACTGTGGGCGCATATGAAGGTGGCAAGGACTCACCCCCCATCCTCCGCCAACAATGACAAGCTTAGGCTTTTCGGCTAGCTTCCTGCGCTCCTCATCATCCTCATCATCGACCTGTAGACTCACAATGGGCAGATTATTTGGCCCACCGTGCTCCGGGTACAAAGCGAGGGGTGAACGCGGCACCCGCTCGGCGTGTTTTGCGGTGTACGTAAACGCGTCGTGGACGAAGATGCCAGCACCAATGGACACGATACCAAAGACGGACGACAAAATAAAATAAGTTGTATATTTGGCGTACTTCCGTGCTCGATGTAGAGCTCGCCGACGTTCTGTTGGAGCTTCAGAGGATGCGTTCCTGAGACTGCAAAGCGGTAGTTTCACTATGCTGGGAACGGATAGACTGCGCGACGTCGCACAGCAGCGCCGTACCAACATGGTCCAAGCAACTACGGGAGATAATGCTTAGGCTCAGGCCGAGAGGCAACGTGGTGATGGTAAGGAATTAAGCTGGGCCCCAACTATAGTCGGTGATGTGACCGGCTAAAGTTACCGCATTCAATGTGCCGGGATGTACAATCATTTTGAGGAATTCTGGAGTTTTCGCGAATGATATCAGCCTTTGACAGAAGGGCAGTCAACGCCCTTGGAGAGAGCCCGAGTACTTGCCGAAACCCAACGACAGGTCCCGGTCATCCCTGGCAATCCCCTAGACTGTCTTGATTTGAGTCTGCCTAGGGGAGACTACATAGCAAAGCGCCCTCCCCCACCGAATGACTGGTAGACAAGTTGCCCCCATCGTGTCCTTTATCGATATGTTAATACCTGCAGCTGAACTTCACGAAAAGAAAATGACGTGTCCAGTGCTTATACAGTAGACTTGGACCAGTCTCCATTCTGTATGAGTAGTACTTAACCTTGCAGGAGTCAGACTGCGAGAATGTTGCAGGCTACAGACACAGATCCTCATCCAGCAGGCACGGTCTGCGCCCAAAGACAACCTCCCATCTGGACGGTGCTCCGTTGATTTCCGTCGTTCCGACGGCATTTTACAATTTCCAAGAAAATTTCTACTGGATCGCCATTACGATCCCGGAAAGCACCTAACCATCCATTCCACCATGCAACAGCATCTCAGTCGATTGTAAGGAACCAGGAAAAAAAATATTGTTTTGATTTGAATTCACGTGAAGAGCCAAAAGTGTAAGATCCAAACATCATCATGCAAGTAGGTTGTAAGGTATAGCACCGTTGAGCTCTTTTTACGTTCAGCGGTCCCATTTAGTGCGTTTAATTGCCCATCTCCTTAGCGAGTTGCTCTGCCTTGGCCTTGACGTCCTCGATCGTACCAGCCTGAGGAAAGTCATAAGATGGATACCGTACTGGGTTTATAGCAAACGTACCATGTAGAAGGCAGATTCAGGAAGCGAATCATGTGCACCAGAGAGGATCTCCTTGAACGACCGGACGGTGTCCTTCAATGACACCAGTTTTCCCTCGTAACCAGTGAAGACTTGTGCGACCTGGAAAGGTTGCGACATGAAACGCTGGATCTTACGAGCACGCTCGACCTATACGGACGACATCAGATAAAAGGCAAAGACAGCAGCTAAAACATGACGCACGGTAAGCTTGTCCTCTTCTGACAACTCATCCATACCCAAAATGGCGATGATATCCTGGAGCGACTTGTAATCCTGCAGAATCTTCTGAACGGCGGTGGCAACATCGTAGTGCTCCTGTCCGACCTGTTGATAAATGCATGAGGACTACGACACCAAAAACAAAAGCAGAATACACACAATACGAGGATCCAACATACGGGACTTGGAGTCCAGTGGGTCGACGGCAGGGTAGATACCAAGTTCGGCAATACCACGAGACAGCACAGTGGTAGCGTCCAAGTGAGCGAATGTCGTAGCGGGGGCAGGATCAGTCAAATCATCAGCGGGGACGTAGACGGCCTGAACGGAAGTGATGGAACCCTTCTTGGTGGTGGTGATACGTTCTTGCCTAGGGAAGAAGCCGCGTCAGTACTGAGAAAAGAAACAGGAAGCTGACGTACATGCCACCCATATCAGTAGAGAGGGTAGGCTGGTAACCGACAGCAGAGGGGATACGACCGAGCAAGGCAGACACTTCAGAACCGGCCTGGGTGAAACGGAAAATATTGTCGATGAAGAGCAACACGTCCTGACCCTCCTCATCACGGAAGTACTCGGCGATGGTTAAACCAGTCAGGGCAACACGGGCACGGGCACCAGGGGGCTCGTTCATTTGACCGAAGACAAGGGCGACCTTGGAGTCACCCTCGAGGTTGATCACACCGGTTTCAATCATTTCGTGGTAAAGATCGTTGCCCTCACGAGTACGCTCTCCGACACCTGGAGTAGCGAGTATATAAGAAGAAAAGTTTCCGATAATCCATAAACATACCACAGAAGATAGAGAAACCACCATGGGCCTTGGCGACGTTGTTGATGAGCTCCTGAATCAACACGGTCTTGCCGACACCAGCACCCCCGAACAAACCAATCTTTCCACCGCGAGCGTAGGGAGCAAGGAGATCGACAACCTTGATACCGGTTTCGAGAACCTCGGCCGTAGTAGATTGCTCGACGAAAGCAGGAGGATCGGCATGAATCGGAGAGAGCTTTACGCCCTTGATGGGACCACGTTCGTCGATGGGCTCACCGATGACATTCATGATACGACCAAGAGTGGCAGTTCCGACGGGGACAAGGATAGGTGCGCCGGTATCAACGACCTTTTGGCCCCGAACCAAACCCTCTGTACCGTCCATAGCAATGGTACGAACGGAGTTCTCACCCAAGTGGGACGCGACCTCAAGCACAAGACGACCTCCATGGAAATCCACCACCTCCAGGGCGTTGAGAATGGGGGGAAGGTTTTCAGTCTCAAACTGAACGTCGACGACGGCACCAATGACGGTTTTCACCGAGCCGATGGCACCCTTCGCCTCGGTCGCATATAGGCGAGCTAGGATGAAATATCGGTATCGAAAAAAAGGGAAAAAAAGATAGAAAGGGCCAACAGACCTTCAGTTGAAGGCGCAGCCCGCTGGGGACGGGATAACGACGACAGCTGCTGACGAGAGGAGGAAGAGGCAGCAACCCTGGAGAAGCGGGCAGCGGTGGAGAAGAACGCGTTTGTTTTGTTGGCAGAGGAAACAGCTCGCCTCGAGAGACGGGAGACGGCGCCGCGAGAGGTGAGCATGATGGTGGTTGGGGTTGAGGACGAACGGGTCCGACACCACGTAGAAATTTAACGTTCACACACTCCGGCTCCTTCCGCATACCGACGCATTATTTTATTTATTTATTTATTTCGAAAGTAATATTAATTCTCAGGAAAATCATCGTATACATCCTCTACATACGGTGATACTTTCTGGGACACATAGATCAACTCTGCGTATGCTCGCATACATCGCTGATCCCGCACCTCCTCTCCAAAGGTTTTTCCGCTTTCGGCATGCACCCGTTTTGTACTCATCATCTTAACTGGTGTCCGATTCTTTAATGCCGCGAAAAAACTGCCTAATGATGGTTTCGTAGTACCGTCAGCCATTGAGGCTATTTGAGAATGCGCTGAAGAAGCACGGGTCACAAAGTAGTAGATCCCGTCTCTGCATTCGAACACAAAGTCGTCCTTAGCCCTACCCTCTAGACAGTACATGAGTGGACGGTAGGAGGAAAGGCCGTGGGTATGGCGAATCATCAGGTCAAATCGCGACTTGCTATAAAGGCCTGCAGAGTCGGGAAAGAGATGATGGCGTAGCTTCCACTGTCCCCAGTCTGAAGACCATCCTGGTGGCAATCGTTCAGGCGGCAATCGGTAGCAGTTGTCGAATGCCTTTTCTCGACTGACGAGCCAGGGCGGGAGTTTCTGAATATATATGGGTAAGACGAAAAGATAAACACGGCTAGTCCGACCTTTTGATCTATGCATTTGAGTATCGTCTCTTCCTATAGCCGTTGCATGAGGAACTCACCAGGCGCGAAAAAAAGAGCAGCTTACAGTGTTATACAATCTATCCAAAGTCCCCATCGAGCGAATAGCCACTCGATTTGTACTTATCCTCGCTACCACTTCTTTAATCTGGTTCGCCACTTCAGCGCGTTGGGGCGACGATGGGAACTTCTCGAAGAGACGGCGGAAGAAGGTGTCTAGGCTCTCTGCATGCATCTGAAAGGTAATCGTCTTGATGGACCCAGGATGAGCAGGGGGAGTGAAGGCGTACTTTATTAATCTTCTCCTTGTATCGTTTGTTGGCACCCCTTGACGAGCCGGCGTATCGAGCCGGACTAGCATGCATGCTCCTAACATGTTCTGCTGGGACAGCGGTGGTACTTGGCTTCCGTGAGGCCCAGGTTATGCACGCTTGGGCAGATACGCGAGGTAGAATAGAGGATGTAGCAATCGAGGATTTCAACATCTAAGTTTCGAAAGTACTTGAGTGAGGTGAGCGTTCACTATTCAGCGTTGTTGGCTGAGATAAACAATGAGCAAAAAACGGGCGCTGACGACGCGACGGAAGATGTGCTTGTTCCAGTGGAAAATGCTACGCAAACTGTGGTAAGCGAACGTGTGAAAACAAGTTGCAGGTTTCACTCACAAGCGATTACGCCGTCACCGTCGAGGAAAAAATGAAAAAATGTATGGTTAACGATCACGGGGGCAGATTGTCTTAGCTAAGCGGAACGGACTGTGCGGCTCTGTGCGGCTCCGTTTCGTTTCGCTTGTAGCTACAAACAGGCGCCTGCTGACCCAGGGCACTACAGATGGCACCTTCGAGCTCGACGACGACCTCAGGGCCACAAGACATGTCGTACCATTCAACCCTCTCCTACGAAACGACGCAACGCGGTACTTGCATATAACCTTTACCGACAACTTGTTCTGACAAAACGTAGAGCATGGGGCGCGATATTACCCACTCTTCTCAATCTGGTAGAGGACGCTCGCGGGAAAGTACTGAGAAAGAAGTTCAAAAGCCATTTTCCAAACCAGGTTAAACATCCTATCCAATCTCGTCAAAGCTCACGCTGCGGACACCCTGGACAAGATAACTCCATGAACCAACAACCGTTTCCTGTACTAATTCCGCTGGTGAGGTACGACAAACCTGAGGTTATTCAGCTTTTGGATGTCGATGCGGAAGGCCCTATCGTCATTTCAGATTCAGATGACGACGAACCTCAAATGGGTAAGAGCAAAATGGATTGCATAGATGTGGATGGCACGGAATCGTGCGATAAAGGCGAAAGAACGATATTGATAGATGATGACTAAAGGGATGATTTCTACAAGAAGGATGTACTTATAGGACATTACTGTATTCATTAAATACTGTTTTGCTTTTGCTCGTCAGAATCGAGTACAGCGAGGAGAATAATCGAAAGAACCTAGTAGCTTATGGGGCCTAGATTCTGGATTGTATGATAAATAATATATATTATATATTTTGCATTTCCTCGATTATCACGATGAGAGAGGTACAAAAGGCAGGTTACAACAAACAAACAATCCTACATCCGTGAATACAGTACATCTCTTTACACCATTGGTACTGACACGTAGCACTCCTGCGGTAGTAGAGTTAGGATCAAAATTCCTCAAACATATCATCGGCTCGTCGTCTCCAACTTTAAAAAATGAATTCAAGCATTGGCCTCTTCGCTGACAGACTTTTTCAGCCTCACCCAGCTTGCCGTCGACCCTTCACCTGAGTTGCTCTCCACATCGGCCTCAGATCCGCTTTCGTTGTCGTCTTCACCCTCGGTCTGGGACAGAGCGGGGACATGCGGCTCGGACTGTGGCTCAACGAAAGCATCCATAGTAGGAGGGGTACGGATGAATGGCTGAGCAGGAAGGAGTGCATTGCGCACGGAAATAAGGAAGTACGGGATATTCAATAGAGTATCGAGAATCAGAGATGGAAGAACGGAAGCTAGTTTGTACGTGTGTGCTGAAAAACCATATTAGAAAAGCAGCGACTTGGCGGAGAGAAAGAAGCTCACCACCAGCCCCTACTGAAAACCGTTCTCCACGAAGCCAATTTTTTATGACCCCGAAACATAGATTGAAGCCCAGAAAGGACCAACCAAATTGTCCATTGGTTACGACGTCGACAATGTTATCCACAAAGATTTTAACATCCGTTGGCTTTCGGGCTACTCCATATCGAACGTCGTTCTGGAAATACCCTGTAAATGTGTCCCACTTGGACTTGGTCGTGATGGATTGCTGGGCCATCGCAGCAAAACCGGGACCATATGTGATCTTCTCGGAAACACTCCAGTCCTCCATAGTTTTGTAGACGTCCTCCGGTGGTAAGAAGTGCATGGGCACACCGACATTGAACGATCCAACATCTGCAACGACGACACTGATGTTTCGCATGGCCTCAGTTTTTCCAGTGAGGGCAGCAACTTGTATCTCACGACGAAGAACTTCAACGGCACGAAGGGTGCTGGCAGCGCTCATACTCTGCAAGGATGAGAAGGGAAGCCCAACGCGCGCGTCTGTCGCAGGAAGGCAGATGACGATGGGTTTCTTGCCTTTCGAGGGGACATTCCGGAGGAGGGGCAGTAAAGACTGGATGACCTGTAGTGGAGTAATCTGAGTAGATGTGAGGTAAGGAAGGTAGTCGGACTGGAGAGAGATGTGCTCAAAGGGAGCGTGGAGCGCCGGGCCGGCTAGCGAGAGCAACGAGACGACAGCATGGATGTATGGATGCGACGCAGGAGAGGTGAAAGGATCTCCTGGTGCATTCAATGGGAAACGTCGGGACAGGGTCGAGGATAATGAACGCAGGAACACCGGTATTGTGCTGGGCTGTATACCTTCAGTAAGGAGGAGATCGCGACTGAAACAATGCATACCTCAGTAGGATCCAGCACCAAGGCTCGAACGAAACCATGGCTCTGTCGTTCCAGCAGATCCGCCGCTTCTGGGGTAGAGACGCTAGCAATGACAATGTATCCTTTCTGTTCGAGGTCGCTGATGAGTGGTAGGCCGAATGGAGTATCGCCGCCGAGGACCACTGTGAAATGTCAGTGCTACTTGATATCATCGAGAGCCCATCTGCTGCTCACCGACGACTTGGCGCTTCTCAGTCGCAAGGGCCTTCAGTCTGCGTGCACGGACCGTGCGCATGTAGACTCCACCATATCCGACCAAGAGCCCGGTGCTGATGATACCAACGGCAATCCCCCCTGTTGTCCACGGATTCCGCTCGATCCAGTCCGTCGTATTCTCCACCCAGGTCGCAGGCGGGGGAGGCGGGGGAGGAGGAGGCGGCACCTCAAAGTCGCCTAGGCCCGGGATGTGTTTAGGGATACCAGGCCCGTATCGACTAACGTCGGTCCAGAGCTGGTTGAAGCTGTCACGTATCCTTGGAATATCAGGTGTTGCAGCCGACAGTGACGAGAACAAGATCTCCTCGAGGGAGTCGAGGTAGTCTTCAATCATGTCCATGGTCTTGTCCATGGTGGTAAATATTAGAATTCACGGATCGGCGGAAATGAATGTGAGGTCACGGAGGTCGCCGGCACCGTCTCCGGTGATTTTTCTCCAGCAAATCACAATTTCTTGTTTTCTATATATGGTTGCCAACAATTTGTCGGAATGTTAAGTCCTGTATTTCTACTAGTACTATGCAACAACCATCCTGTTCCATTTTAACTTCTTATTCTGCTTCGCTTCTTCTAACATTGACCAGTGGTGACCAGTGACCATTGAACTCATTCAAAGATATTCAACTCATGCATACCGTGATTCTTACTTCCAGTCTGTCAAAGTTTAAAGGTGTTTCCAGTACGACATCCGAGTCACGGTGACTATCATGTAAGTCCTACGGACTGTAGATACTATCCACCTTGTACATCTTCGTATCAGCCTCTGGCGTAACATTAGACCCATAAACACTCTCCATCTTATACATCTTAGTTGGCGGCTCTTCTGCGACAGGTGTCGCTGATATGGGTGTCGCCTTGCTAGCTAAACCCGCAGCCTTCCCATCCGGAATTTTGATAAACTCCAACCTCCCATCTGTCCCTTCACCATCAAAGACGAAATACCCCTTCCGCTCAAATTGCATGTAATCGCCCTTCTTCAGGTCTTTGACGTTCGCATCAGCTACAGCAGCCTCGCGGAATTCGGTTACGGGCGTGATAAAGTCATTCACGTCGTCGTTCTCCTCGAGCTTCTTCTTTGTGATCAGGTAGTCGTAGTCAAGGAGTGTGACCGGGATCAAAGGGTTCTCGGAAGTAGGTTGGGAGAGCCACGTAATCTTTTTTTTGGTCTTCTTAAAGTCACCATCGAGATGAAGACCCATTTCGATGGAGATGACCTGACCTGATCCGCTGGTCGTTTTCGACCGAACGATGGCATTGCCCCAGTCCATAAGAGTAACCTGGATGATAATCAGAAAAATACACAGGGTTTCATATGTTCGGATTGCTAACCTCCTCCTGGTCTTCGAACGAGCGCGCGTCCTCCTGATCGATAAGGATATTTGACGAATATACCGTCTTCTTTTCGCCAGCGGCAAGGTTCTTTTTGTGCTTTGGCAGACTTTTCACCTCGGACGCGCTGGGTCCGCCTTCGATGGTGACAGGAACGCTAGCGAGATATGAGCATGGAAGTATAAAACATCCAGAGAGCGACATGCCTGCCGGCTTCAACAATTGCCCAATGACGCGGAGCAACTGGATCTATGACTTTCTTGTTCATAGCCCAGATGGAATCCCATTCCAACGAAACAATCGCTTGGGACGGGCCTTGCAGGAGCATGAACTGCCGAAGGGCCTCGACAGTCAGTCCACGACGTCGTATACCGCGGACGGTCGGGAAACGAGGATCATCCCATCCGCGCACCAATCCAGTATTGACGAAACGGTGCAGCTTCCGTTTCGACAGCAAAGTGTAGATGAAGTTGAGACGGCTAAAGTCCCAAATTTGGACGTTACGGATGCCTAGCGCTTCGGTCATCCAGCGATACTGCGGGTTTCGATCACGGTATTCGTTTGTCCTCAGCGCATGAGTAACGCCTTCGATGGAGTCTACGATAGGACAAGCGAAATCGTAGGTGGGGTAAACTTTCCACTTATCCCTAAAAATACATCAGGATTGATCAAGGAGTATTGCTGAGGGACTCACCCAGTACGATGATGAGGCAGTGTGTTGCATCTGTATATGACTGGATCGCGTAGGGCCTTGTTGGGATTATCTACACTCAGTTTGGCTCGTAGACACCATCGAAGACCCTCGGGAGACGCTGCAGTCATCTCGGCGAAATGCTTGAGGTTTTCTTCAATGCTATCGTCACGATGGGCTGAGGCTATTCCATTCATACGCTCGTCGCGCATCTGCTCAAAGCCTGAGTGCTAAAATAAGAAAAACAAACGCGCAATTCTTACCTGAGCTTGTTCAGTATCGTCGGTATATGCTCTACCAGACTTGATCATTTGGATGGCCAAGCTATACAGGGTATCAAAGTAGTCAGAAGTGTGCGTGACCACGTCTCCTTTGATGTCGAGAAGGGAAAGATCTTCAAGGATGGTATCCTCGAACTCAGTCTGCGCGTATTTGAGCAAAAAACGGAACAACGCAGACAATTTCTTACGGTTTCCTTGGTGGGGTTAGTATCGTCAAAACGAATGATCAACTTTCCCCTGTACATTTTGGCAAAATACTGATTTAACATCGCAGCCTTGGCATGACCAATGTGCAAGTAGCCGCTTGGCTCAGGAGGAAAGCGAGTAACCACTTCACCCATCTTTGCACCTTCGAGACCAAGAGTAAATCCAGCTGCGACTTTGGTAGATCTAGCCTTGTTGGCTTTGGCGGCTGTCAAGCCTCCGAGAGCTGCTTGCGTAGATTCTAACGACTCCAGATAATAGAACCATCGATTCAGGTGAGTATGCTTGTTGTTCTTGAGAAGACCAATGATCTTGATGTTGCCTGACGTTGTTAGCTTTTCGTCCTTTAGCAGAAGCGACAATAATCACCTTTTAAAGTCCCCCATAGGATCCAATCCGATGCAGTTATATCATGTCCAACAAGAAAGGTCCTAAATGCAAGATGGTCGTCTAGTGAATCCAGGGCCGTGATGATTTCTGGGACCGCAGTTGTCGTGAGCAACGTCTTTGCTAGTGCGAAAAACGCAGCCGTCTGATATATTTGAGTAAATCATCAGAATATAGAAAGCGAAAACACATAATTTACCTTGGAGCTATCCTCAGAGAGACCGCCTGCGTTCGATAACGCATGCACGATGTCTTCCTCGACGGCGATGGTCGATCCATTCAGACCCAGGACAGGTCCAGTAACCGCCTCATCGTACACGATCTCAGCTCTTTGGGTGTACGCTGCTATCGTGACTGCAGCAAAAGGAAAAGGCGATATCTTCGCCGACACGGTCAAGGTCGCCATTGATGATGGTCGTTGTCGAAAGGTGATTTTCAGTGGCGATCGGGGGAGTCGGCCCTATCGGAATAATCGGATTTCTCATTAATGAGTCACACCTGTTACGATATTCTATTTTAGCACACATTCTCTTAAAAACTTTTCTTTACTTCGATCCACCACCATGCCCATGCTGTCTGTACTTTTGCTTCCGCCTCGATCGTGTTGCTGAACATTTTGCTGTTTGTAGAGCTGACCCTTCCCAAAAGTACAAGCCGTACACTCCACTGAACCTCAAGGATCGCCAGTGGCCGTCGAAAACGTTCACCAAGCCTCCCATCTGGTTGTCGACCGATCTTCGAGATGGTAATCAGGCTCTGGCCAACCCAATGTCCATTGAGCAAAAGACGACTTTTTTCAGGGAGCTCGTTAAATGTGGTGTCAAGGAAGTCGAGGTCGCATACCCTGCCGCTAGCGACACTGATTTCTCCTTCGTGCGAGGTCTCATCGAAAACCATGAAATCCCCGACGATGTATGGATACAAGTTAGTTCTATCTTCTCTTTTTTTTACTTTGGATATAGAGTGTATTGAACTCATATTGAGCCAGGTCTTGACACCAGCCCGGGAAGACTTGATAAAACGCACGATTAACGCTGTCGCTGGATGCAAGCACGCCATTATTCACATGTACAATGCCACGTCGCCCTTGTTTCGAAATGTCGTGTTTCGAAATTCAAAGGAACAGACCATCGAACTCGCCGTTACGCACACCAAAATCATCAAACAACTGACGGAGGAATGCACTGCAAAATACGGAACCCAATTCCGCTATGAATACAGTCCGGAGATGTTTACCCAAACAGAGCCGGATTTTGTACTGGAAATTTGCGAGGTTGTCAAGACGGCCTGGGGAAAGGCCGGTACCGATTTCGAGAACAAAATCATCTTCAATCTTCCATCAACAGTGGAGATTGCCCCACCGAATTATTATGCCGATCAGGTGATGTTTCATGATTCCGAGGTTCGCGATTACATCCTGACTGTCTTTTGCAGATTGAATATTTCTGCACCAGGATTTCGGAGCGGGAGAAAATTCTAGTCAGTCTACATCCTCATAACGATCGAGGTACGCGTCTATCTCACTGTAGGATCCCATTTTGCTTATTTTTATTCCAGGAACTGGAATTGCATCGGCTGAGCTTGGTTTCCTGGCTGGTGGTGACCGTATCGAGGGATGTTTCTTCGGTAACGGAGAGCGAACAGGAAATGTCGACCTTGTCAACCTCGCCCTTAACTTGTACTCTCAAGGAATTCATCCCAACCTCGACTTCAGCGACCTACAAACCGCCATCGATGTTGTTACGCAATGCAACGATCTCCCCATTCATCCAAGACATCCTTACGCAGGTGAACTCGTTTTCACTGCATTTTCTGGGTCACATCAGGATGCCATCAAAAAGGGACTCGAGGCTCAGAAGACCAGACATGCGGCAGCCGCAGCGAAGGGTGAACCCCAGTATTGGGAAGTGCCGTACCTACCGGTTGACCCTGCCGATTTGGGCATGACTTACGAAGCCTTAATTCGTGTTAACTCGCAATCCGGCAAAGGTGGTATCGCCTACCTCATCAAACAGAATCTCCAGCTCGACCTGCCCAGAAAAATGCAAATCGCCTTCTACCAAGTTGTCCAAGAGGTTTCTGACCGTGAAGCTCGTGAGATGACCGTGGATGATATTACTACTGCATTCCGAAATGCGTACCACTTTGGTGGATCCAAATACAAAGGTCGTTTATACCTACGAAACTTCAAGATTTCCACCGAGCCCAATCCAGATCCTTCTGATCTCTCTGGGGACGAAGCCGAGGAGCGCCGACGGTTCGATGGCACCATATCTGTCGATGGTGTCCTACGCGTCATCCGAGGTGACGGCAATGGTCCTTTATCCGCCCTCCTCGACGCTCTCCGTACCCATCTACACATCGACCTCTCCATCCGCGAATACACCGAACATACGATAGACCTCGAAGAGGGCCAAAACGCCCGTGCTGCCTCTTACATAGAGGTCGTCCCTGCCGGGGACCGCAAATCCGCACAGTCATGGTGGGGTGCTGGTGTCGACTCTGATATTTCGGGAGCTGGATTACGCGCAGTGATCAGCGCGGTAAACAATGCCATCGGGGATCAGGAACTGCCTGAGCTCAAATTGACGGTAGGGTTCAATGCCAAGTTGGGCCAGGGAGACGTAGCAAGTGTCATCGTCAATGCTCTCGGTTTAGAGCTTCCGCGGAGGTTCCAAGCTTCGTTCTTCGAGGTCGTGCAACGTGCAGCGAGGGTTACTGGCGAAATCTCGGTGGGAGCATTGACAGAGCTCTTCAAGACGACATATGATTATGACGTCCTGACACCGTCCGCTAAATTCTCCGTGACTTCGTTTAACCTGGAACACGTTGATGCGACCAAGCGCGTGTTGACGGGAGAATTTATTCTATTTGGTTCGCAGAGGAAGGTCAGAGGGGAGGGTAATGGACCTTTGTCATCTTCTGTCAGTGCGCTGCACTCTTATATTGAGGGCATGTTGACGGTTCGGGAGTACTCAGAACATTCGATCGGAGAGGGCACTGAAGTCGTCGCCGCGTCGTATGTAGAGCTCCTGTATGAGCTGCTGGGAGAGAAGAAGAGGAGCTCGTGGGGTGTTGCCACGGATGCCGATATTACGGCTTCTGGTATCAAAGCAGTCTTGAGCGCAGCAGCAAAGCTGGAGCTGGTACCTAAAAAAGTTGTTAATGGCCACTAAGGTGGTGTTGGTGGGAGAAGTTGTATGTTTGTGTATTTCTTGAATTAATGAAATTAGCGTTAGTTAACGCTTCGAATATTATTCGTAACGATTTAACAAAAGAACGACAAACAGAAGGTTACATACTGAGTCATTGAAGGCTACAAGAAGAGGTGAAACCACCACGTATATATGTACATGATCTACTACATATCATCAGTACTTGAATGTTATGGGTATTGTCGTGAATGACCTGGGCTAATACGCATGTCATTGATCGTGAATCGTCGCTAACTCCGTAGTCTCTAGAATGGCAAAGACACTCTCCACCAAGCACCTTTCTTTGCTTCACGTGCAACGTCTCCTTCCGAGACGTTGCCCTTGTCCGGAGGAACTGAAACGGCGTCCTCGATAAAGCTGGCACCAGCACCTAGCAAGCCAACAGCCGGAAAGCCAGGAGCAGCAGGCGCGGGAATCGTGGGCGGAGGCAAGTTGACTGAAAGAGTCGTTGGTGGTGGAGCATTTGTGGTAGTAGGAGCACCAGTGCTTGGAGGGGAAGGAGTAGAAGTTGACGGCGCTCCGGTGGAAGGAGTGGTGGGCATGGATTTGGGGAAGTCAGCCTCCTGCCATGTCCCTGGCAGAAGAGCTACAGGAAGCAACCATGTCGCACTGAGGATAACACCATATCCTGCTGGATTATCAGTATGAGACAGCAGAACAGTAGAGACCAGAACGCACCGATATCATATCCTTTGATAGTGCTCCAGCTCCACGAAATGAAAGAACCAATATATCCGAGGTACGGTACAACTTTCTGCAGGAGAAGCAAAGCTGGTTGGATGGGTGGAGGCAGTAAGGAAATAGGGATGTGTGTGAATAGCCAGGTCAAGGCTGCTGTAATCGTTGCAGCACGTTTAGTCGTTTCAAGTTGCCCTTGACTAAGAATGGTGAGGACGGGTGGAGGAAGATAACTGAATCCAAAAATTAGCTATAATTGCCAGAAGAAATTGTCCTGGCACGTACAGACGGTAGCCCCACCACATCACCTGTACAGAAATTTTCGTAGTTGATGGAATCCAAACACGTGTAGGTGTTGGAGGCACAGCCGTCTTGTTGTCGTCGCCATTCTTCTCTTTATCCGCATTGCCATCCGCTGATGCGAGCTTCTTCCACCAGGGCCATTTTCGTTGCCACAACGCTTTCGGCTGCAATGGCGCAGATTCACGTGGAGCAGGAACGATGTGTGATGCTGCTATTTCAACGAGAGACTCTTCTGTAGGGAATAATGGCGAGTACATCATGATACTGTCGTCCGACCAGGTACTGCTGTTGTCGTCTCCATCGTGGCTTGTAGCGCGAAGACTTTCCAGGATACTCCAAACGCTGCCGGATTCACTGCCCTCAGCATTCATGACGTTGGGATTGTACAACTTGGCGATGAGCTTCTTGTCTTTGATGGGAATCGCTTCCGGAGGTGGAATGGGACACCCATCGGCATCTCGAGCCGGAGGCATGGGTTTCGGGAAAGTGCGAAAGTTAGATAGAGTAGATGTAGGTAGCGCGTTAATCATTGAGCGAATTCTCTCTGCGAGAGTTGTTGGCTCGTTGTCGCCGTCACCGCTGACATTGCCAATGCGGCCTACTGCTGCTTCGGGGGTATTCTTCGCACCCTTTCGAATCTTGGCAGGCTGCTTTAGGCGATCCAAAAGGCGAAGTTTCTCAGCCTTTGTAGAATCACCTGGAGAGGTTTCTGAAGCACAGACCGTGTTTACTCCTCCAACTGCTTCAGAGGCTTCTGGCAATTCCTTCGGTACCGTGGGTTCTTGGACAGGTTGTGGGGACGCAAGAGTCTGTTTCCCGCCGAGCGAACGCATGGTCTTTGGCATGGGCCCTGTGGGTGCAGGAGAGTCGGCAGGGGAAGAGATCATGAAGAGCGAGAGAGAAAAACAGTCGAGCACTTCCAACCTGTTCTCAAAGATCGCAGTTGCCAGAATTAACGTCATCAACACGTGACTTGCTGCTTCAATCTGCACACGCACCACTCGACTCACATATATGAAGTTTCGAGTCTAATGCAGTGGCCCTGCAGCGTAAGATATCAGCTCGGGCGACATATGTATCCCATGCTCAATTTACAAAGAGAGCTACTCACTTAGCGACGCCATTCAAAATACGAAGCCACAGAACAAGCCAGGAATGGAACTGATGTACTGAAAGCGCGAATGACTTTCTGTGTAACAGAGGACCGAGTATCATGTACGGATAGGACGATTCAACCCAGCCATCGTCTCAAACCATCGAACGAGACTTTCCACTTTCCTGACAGAAGGATCGCTGACTCCAAGCCTCAGATCTGGTCGAAACCTCGCATCTGCCTGGGTGTACACCAAAGTTCGATAGCATATCTGAAGTTTAGATTTCAGATACGGCGAGGCCGAAAGTGCAGGCGAAGCTTGAGGTTCGCAAGTAGCGGTGACATCTACAATTCACGTTAATCACGAGAAATTTCCAGCGACGCGTACTCACTTTCCAGGAAAACGATATCACCGCGTTTCACCCTTACAGAACCAGTCATCCCTCCCCATATGTCGGCTATTTCTCTCCACGCTGTAAGTTTACACATCTTTCCTTCGTCGTCTCCTAGGATCATCTTTAGAATGCTGATCTCTTTACCTGCATCGGGACCCCTTTTCGTCCTAATGGTGTCAGGACCGTCGACCTCAAGCACAACGAGAAGAAAGTTCATTTTCCTAGAACCTCCACTATGCAAGCCGCCCAGCGCCACGAGAGTATGGAGATTGAAATGAAACGTCGGGAATCGAACTATAGATGAGGTGTCCGAGTAATGCGTTTCTTGCGTCTCCTGAGTCTCCATCAGAGATGAAGATGTTTCCAAGAACGATATAGTCGAAGTCTGTAATCTTTCTTCGTTGTCCACAGGGTTTGTTGGTGACCAGGTTATCATGGTTGATACATCTACATCTGAATGTCAGTGACGAATCTCAACAACTCAATATTGACGCGTACATTCATCATCAAGCTGTCCGGTAATATCCTCTTCATCTCCCTGAAATATCGTATTTTCGTATAGACCCGAAATTCGACGACTAGCGGCTTCCAGTGCCGCAGATGTCGGAGGCAAGCCATCGACATCCAATACCGCTGGCGCTGGTGAGGACACTATGTGTTCCCAACGGTATTCCAATTGGCGTCCACGCGACTCTTGCAATGAAGGTGCGCCTAAGAATACGTGATACATGGTGAACTTGACCGATGACCTGGTGGAGGTTGGGGACCGAGTTGAGAAGCGCCAAGTGCATGAAGCGGGCCGGACATAACCACGTGATCAGGAAAACTTGCGGGCCACTATGTAGACAACGTAGAAGAGTTTTCCACAATTCATAAAATTTCCTTCAAATTACTTGCAGGAGCATCCGACATAACGGACTGTGGGGAAGGAAATTTTCCGAGTTGAAGAGGGAAAAAAACAGTCTGTAAGATTGAACAAAATCTTCCGGGCCTTATAGTGTACGAAAGGGAACCGGAGGTATGCTTATCCCAGGAAGCCCAACGGAAACATCTAGATTCATTATCTCACCATTCTCCACTTCATACACCAGCCGCGGTTGAAGTCGCGTTGCAGTCACGCTACACCGCGTGATATACATCAGCAATTGACAGGACCAATGCACGATATGTTGACACAAACCTCCCCAATCAGCTGAGTTAAAGCAATGTTAGAGACAGCCTGTTTGTCATTTTCTTCCACGAGTGCCCAGAGAGCAGCTATATATCACTGTCAAGTGCTGCGAAAATGAAAGCTGATAAGCCTCTTGCGATCGTGAAGCTTTGGTGAAGGAACTTTGATGGCTCCGGCATATGCGAACTCCGGTCTACCTGTTTGATTCAGTACCTTACTCTAACAAAGATAGCGTTCCACGCGCACCGCGTTGATTTGGTATATAATGATCTTAAAGGGGAGATCCATTCCTGCACGGCAAAATCAGCTACGTCCCACGGAGGAGACGGAGGGGAGGAAATTGCAGCCATAATGACCCATGACGATAATATGCTGGACGCCCAGGTCCTCTACAGCGTATGATAAGACCGCATTACTATAACGAACAGTATGCAATGCGTAAGAATGATAAAAAATATCTTACGCATTTGCGTCATTCTCATGGAACTGGTTTGCTATATTCATTCCCGCAGACAACATACCGGGGAGCGCATCAAAAATTATTCCTTCATTGGCACTGCGTCCGTCCTCAATAGCGCTCTAGGATCACCACTGAGCATAACGTACCGACTATCAGAGCATCCAAGGAACATAAATTCGGGGTCGGTTTCCTATTAATGGGAGAATATTCAAAGGGTGTAACCCGAGACACCCACGTTGTCCCTCCATAGCTAACTCTTCGACCAATCCCGGGTTTGACGACCTAATCTCTGAACGAAAATTCTCGTTTCCACCGGACAACGCAGCCCAGCCATCTACATCGCGCTCTGTGCTCTTCATCCGCAAGTATATGTATGGGTTGCCAAGCGAAAGCCGCCAAAGCTAGTAGGAAGGTGCTCAAAAAGATCATGGATAGGAAACAGAGGAATGTCTGCCGCCCTACTTATTAACATAGATGCTGTTTACCGACGCTAGCCTTAACTGCCCGGTGAAAGCAACCCGACACGAAAATAAATTACGTCGAAACAAACAATGTTCCAGAATTCCGGGGGACCGTACCACTAATGTTGGCTTCGAATGTCCGGTGCATTCCACCGAGTCGCTACATAGGACTCTTCAGCTTCTGAAGGACGTATGGGAATCAAGCTGAGAATCCTGTCAGCCACGACATGTGCTGTTCGCTGAGTGGCATTCGTCCTCGATAAAACCCGAAATGTTAAGTGGCGTAAGTTTATCGGTCCGAACAACCTAGGCTCGTGTTGACTGAGATAGAAAGTTGTTGTCGAGTCTAACAGCTCAAAGGTGATCCGGGTATAAAGGTATTCCTTGAAGGAGTCTGATATACAACATTATCATTAGTAAATTTAATCAAACCTGCTCCTCTAAAGACCCCACTTGAGAAGGATCGACTAGATGCATCACCTTTGTCGATTCCGGGACATATCTCCACGTTTCTATATCGATATTATCCATGCTTCTAGAAGGCCCGTAGCTTTTGCTGACAGGACTTATAGGACTGATGGCGGTGACATAGCTTTCGCGACGGTCGTGTACATTCTGTCCCCAATGTGGAACCACGCCTGGTCGAGTGATAGTAAATAGAATAGTGTTGAATATGCCTGAGCAAGCGAAACAGACGCTGCTGAAAGCCGTGGCTGCGAACGGTACATACGTTCCACTGAACGCACACCAACGGACAACAGATATCGGAATCACTGTTACGATGTAAACAGCAGGATAGCTATGCTTTCTTGAGTACATGATAATGAACTCGGACTTTTTGGCGCAAGAAACGTACAACAGCATATACCTCGCGATGTCATTTGAATGTCTGGCTGCACTGCTAACAGTGTTTAGACTGTAGGCATCGACATTCACTGATCTACGTCTCAATCGCATCTTGTATCCATCCACGACGATAATACCTAGTAAAAATGAGTTTGTTGCTAGTTAAAAGCCACCAGAAAACAAAACCAGTACCTTTGATGGCTAAAGAAATGAATACATAGCATACAATATCCAGGAAAACGGCGATCCAGACCCATAGATATTCCAGAGTAATTCTCTGCGTATTGAAGTCGCTCGTTATCCAGCACCCTGGTGAGTACAGCTATGAGCGAAAGGTTAGGAAGCAAAGAAACTACGCACAATAACCCGTACTTCCATAATAGTCATCGCCGCGGTGCGTAGCTTCACTTATGCCAACAATAAGAGCCATGAATATCCATATCGCGGCAATGACAATAAGAGCGGTACGTGGCCTGGAATAGAACCTGCAAACGAGCACCAAAAAGGTATGAACCGCGATGGCCTAAGGAGGTGTCAGCTCAGTTTCGTAAATGGACAGCGGGGAGCGCGCACCAGCGTTCTAAGTATACCAGGAACCGCTAAGTTTGTATACGTTATGCCAGGGCCAGAAACACATACGATAATGCTACTCCAACGTCTCCGAGCTGTTTAAATATTCCTATTGGCCCACAAAATTAGCTTGGCCGAGAAGAATTCAAAGATGCCGCACCTTGGGTAGTACACAGTGTCCCCTCTGTCACGCTCTTCGATGAGTAGTTCTATTAGTTGTTCTGAAGCGCCAAGGGATGACAAAGATCACCCACAGCATCTACCGCCCACTTGACATTCATTACACCACCTAAAGCCTACTTAGTTCCACATAAACGAGGCAACCGAAGAAGAGAAAAACTGACCGATAGCCTGCACCAAGTCGCACACCAACAGGTTCACAAAGTAATAGTGAATGTGTGTTGAGACTCTCCATGTGCGAGTGGCGCCTTTGTTTATGGTCGTGACAGAGTACTAAGGTTCATATATATATTATGAGGTTTCTTATAAGGTATCGAGCAGAAAAAGTGACTCACAGCAATGAATGCAAGTAAAGAGAATACAGCCGTCGCTGACAGAGATGCACACACCGTTATAAGAATGATTCCAGCCCTGACCCCCGAACTAAAGGTAGAGGACATCGAGAGGACCGACCTCCAAGACGTGGTAACGATAAGGGGGGGGAAAGAAAACGCGCCCCGTGAACTCATATAGCCCTCCATATAGCGTTTTTCTTTAAATTGCTTTCCCTAGATCAACAGAACTCGTTATCAGTTACGCAAGCCGGAGGATTTGAAATCACCACCAAGACCGCATGTGCAGAAGGCTATTTGTATATAGCCGACGATAGCGGTTGGAAAGTTCAAGTATTTTTAATTGCGAGGGAAAGATGCTTCTTAATACGGTAGGAGCATTTTCGGTGCCAGAGGGCACATATGCTTTGCTTCAATGGCAGAGTGAGTGCCTCGATGAAGAATGGCAAAAAGAAGGACGGCGTATGGATTAACAGCGGCCACGGCTTCAAAGATATAGAGAGCTCCTGCTACACTGCCTTCAGACACGATTACCTGCTAGTACAAAAACGGCAGCGCCACTGAATTTCTATGAGTGGGAGAACTTGAGGTCGTATGACTGACAAAAATCGGTGTTGGGAGAATGATGGGCGCTTGAGTAAACGGCGGAGTTCATATGAATTGTAATATGCAGCTGTTGCGAGTATGGATGCTATTTTCGCATTGTGGTATTGGGTCGATCCCGTGAACGTCACACCCAGTTCGAGACGGGGCCATGCTCAAGGTCTTGTGGTCCACGTTGGCAGGCTGATAAGCCTTTCTCGTATACCAGAGTGTGAATTTCTCCAAAGCGCATTTCATCACATCAGCTTTCATTGAGTAGGGGAGAAGAATAGAGAACATTAAATCTCAAAAGTAGATACTCCCCGAGTGTTAATTATATCCAAGGTTATCTCTATTTCCCCCGGACTGGTGTGAGAACGGCATTTCCACCCTTCTCTCTCAATACTATCCTGAGTTCTCGGAGAGACTGGGGTTCGTCTGAAGCCAGTTTGTACGCCGGGGCTAGGAATGGAGCCGCGGTAATCGCAAGTCCTCCGTGAGTTGAAGTGGCCTCGGTTGGAAACTAGGCCCGGTCGAGTGAATGTGAACAGACTGACATTAAGAATACCGGATGACGAGAATAGAATGCGGGCAAACGCGGTGGCGATAAAGGGCATCTCTATCCCACAAAAAGAGAGCCAGCGGACAAGGGACATGGGAAAGATTGCAACGAGGTATACCGCAGGGTAGCCGAGAAGGTTTCTACGTTAGTATATGTGCAACCAGGAACAGATAGTACCCACAAAAGCATCTGCATGGCAATCGTGTTGGATTGTTGAACTGAAAAGCTTATTTCTACGGTACCATCCAGGCTACCGTCGAAAGCTGATTTAACGATACTCGCGTCCAATTTGCGCCGCAGCTGTATCTTGTATCCATTCACTAGAACGATATCTGCCAGATGGCGTTGAGTGAAGCCTTTCGATTATAATACACGCGTACCTTTGAGAACTAGTGCTATCATAGCGTAGCACATGATATTTACTGAAGCGGTAAACCACACCCAACCGTATTCTAGGACAATTTGTTCAATGCGACATTCATGATCACTGATCCAACACTCTGTGAAGAGGTATGAGGTGAAGCCCAGAGAATCCGCAAACAGAGCACAGACAATATTGGGTATTTCCATAATATTCTGCTCTGCGATGTACAGCCAAGCTGACACCAACGAGTCCAGAAACGTCCAGAACATAACCAATACGAGAGGACGACTTTGGGATGCGAATAACATTTGAAAACAAGAACCAAGAAAGTGTGTATGGCGATAGACTGTGCTTTAGTAAAATGTCGAGACAGTCTGCTCGTAATGAATACCATTTTTCGGAAAAATCAGACCATACAGTGCTTGAAGTACAAGAAAAAGACGTACGATAAAGCCACTCCAAGATCGCCCAACTACTTGAAGATTCCTTTTTTTTAATATCTGTGATGATATACAGGGCATATTATAGTAAGTGAAAGCACACCTTGAGCAGTGCAAAATGTTCCCTTCGTCATGCCCTTGAAAAGGCAGAATGAGACCTGCATCTCCGCCGTCAAATTGAGAGTCACTCACCACATCGGCGATCCATCGAATGTCCATTATCTCCATGCCAACTTTCCAGCTTAAAGAAGGGTCGAGTAGAATAATCACCTACCGATAGCTTGAATCAGATCGCACACCAGGAGGTTCACGAAGTAGTAGTGAATATGAGTCGAGGCTACCCAAGCACGAACCCCCCCCTCCTGTCTGAGCCCTGAGGCAAGCACCTAATCCTCAAGGAAAACGAGGTGGCCATGAAGTAAACAAAGACCTAGTAGATACCTTACAACCAGCTACTCGTTTCACTAGATTCGCTCATCACCGTCAAATTTAATCCATGTTTCTCCAGGCTTTGCGAGTTCCTCCTGTGCCCAGTCCGCCATAGCGTTGTGTCGCTCACAGCAGTTCCGTAGAGGATAGATTACTTGCAAATTATTCATATATAGCTGCCTAATGAGCTTCACGTCGACGTGACAGATAGCGGGGGCAAAATCAATAAAGACTGAGGTTCCAGAAGGATCAGGGATGAGGATGATGTTTGACGTGTCAAATTCACGGTAAGCAGCGATGCCAGTCAACGCCTTTTTAAACTGGACGCTGATAAGCATTCTACCGTCGGTTCGATGAAGTAAACATACCACCCATAATAGTACGGCACCGTTGTTCCCTGTAACGACTCGAGCTCCTCATATGCTTCGTCCTCGCTAGTAGACACCACCCACGGTCTGAGATACTCGTATAATTCATAAGGATAGTTGATGTCTGGCAGAGGCAGTAGGGAAGACTGGACGATTTTTAAAACGACCTTGCCCAGATTTCAAGTTGGGACCGAGGAATGGACGTCTGCAATCCAGACTTGGGAGAGTTGCTTATCATGTCGATACGGAATAATGGCATAAGGTCTTAGGAACCTCCATTGATGGCGAATGGAGGATTCAATGAACCACCTTTGTTGCAAAGGATTCTGAATACCTCTTCACAACGCTTCATAACTTCTCGGTTGCTAAGGTCAACCCTCGCTGTCAGCCATTTCTTCTAAGACGACGATGGGTCAATCGCATCAATCATGTGATCAACACGTTCTGTCACGTTGTGACGACAACGGTACGCAATTCGCCAATTCAAGTCCAACGGGGGAGGGGAGGCGCTGTTCCCTTTCCTCTTGCCATCATGATGTCCAGTAGCACCTCTCCTCGCCGAAATCCGAGTTCGAGGTCTTACCAAGGGTCTCTGTATCAGTCTGCGTCGAGCTCTAGGCCCTTCTTAAACATGCTGAATCCAATGAGTAGACCATATCAGGGCTATACGCAAGCAAGCCAGTCTCTGCTGGAGGAAGAGGAAGAGGAAAGAAGAAGCTCAAATGAAGAGGAGGAGGAAGACGTGGAGACAGGTCACAGTCAGAGCACGATATTCCAGAGAGACGCCATTCCATTGTCCAAGTCACGGTCCAAGTCCAAGTCGCATGGCAAGCCTCGTGTCTCGTGGGATGCCGCCGCCTCTAGTACCGATCCGTCATTGCATCCCAATATCCATCAGGAAGATAAGATTCACGACCAGGACTCGGACGACGGCGAGGTGCCACAGAGTTTCATGATCGAGGCCACCTCCCGCAGGCCGTCTAAGAGGGGCAAGGGCAAGGAGACGACAGGTTCCAGTTTTGTTGGAGGACGTCAGCAGCCGCTGTTCTCTATCCCGGGAAGGAAGCTGCCCCCCGTTTTACCTATCCATGCGTCCGTGTCTATACCCCCACGTCCTTCAGAACTGGATACCGAGGACGCTGAGGCGACGCCGCGACCCGACGATATCTCCCAACATTCTCCTAGACAGCACAGGCCCATGCGGGGACTTGATGCATACGAACGCGCTTTATGGAACTGGGTTAATGTGTACAACCTAGATGCTTTTCTGCAAGATGTGTATTTCTACTACGAAGGCAAAGGCATATACAGTATTGCTCTGTCGAGAGGGCTAAATCTACTGTAAGTACCATTATTCACTATTCCTCGGCCCCATTGACATTCAATAGGACTGTGGGTTTCGTCATTGGTTTCTCAACCTTCCTCCTCGGATGTATAGACTATTCGCGGATACACCCCGATAAAACAATGCGGCTGTCTAATGCTATTGTCGATCATTGTGTATCAAAGTCAGTTCCCATACATTCGTCTCTGCATTGACTAACGTCTTTGCAGTTTCTCAGGCTTTACGCTACTATTTTTCATTCTCTTTACCGCGTTTTACATATGGCAAATTGCATTGTTTATCCTGGGAACTATGCGCCTTGTGGATATGTACAACTTTTATACCCATCTGTTAAAGATTCCAGACGTGCGTTCATTTTATGCTCCTTATCACCTCAGTTAATGGGCAGTGCCGACAGGTTGACATTCCAACCATATCGTGGCCCGAGGTTGTTCGCCGGATCAGTGCTATACGTGAGGAGAATCCCCTCACAGCCATCTCCTCAAAGAGTGCCCGGAACACCAATGACACGACAACAGCGAAACTTGATGCCCATGATATCGCGAATCGAATAATGAGGCAGGAAAATTACCTTATAGCGCTCTTCAACAAGGAACTCTTGGATCTAAGAGTGCCGTGGCCTCTTTTTTTAAAGCAATACATAGCTGAGGACAGAGGGAAGGGAAAGATGCTGACCCAGGCGCTTGAATGGAATCTAAGATTCTGCCTGATGGAATACCTATTCGACAAACATGGTCGTGTAAGAAAGGTGTTCCTGAAATCCAAAAATCGGACCGTCTTGATTGAAGGGCGCGTTAATCTTCAACTTATTTCTGAAACGCGAAGCTAATGTTTGGACTATAGACTCAAACGTAGATTCATCTTCATGGGAATACTAAACGCTATTTTCGCTCCTTTTATCGTGCTCTATCTGTTGATGTATTCATTTTTCCGGTACTTCGAGGTGGGTTGTCCCCTTTCTTTGCGTTCATCCACATGATCTCCCTTCCTCAGGAATATCACAAGGACCCATCATCAATTGGTGGACGCAGGTATACATCCTTTGCGCAGTGGAAATTCAGAGAGTTCAATGAACTACCTCATTTTTTTATACGACGACTTGATGAGAGTTGTCCCGCCGCCAGCATGTACATTGGGCAGTTTCCCAACGAGAAGATGACGCTTATCATGCGGTACGTTCCGCGGCTTTAATCCATACCCGAGGCCCTTGCTAATAGTCATCTATAGTTTCGTGGCTTTCATCTCCGGCTCATTTGCGGCTGTACTCTTTTTGGCTACTGTCCTCGATCCTGACATCTTTGTTCATCTCGAAATTACATCTCATCGTACGGTGCTTTTTTACCTCACTGTGTTTGGATCGATATTGGCTGTAGCGAGAGGGATGATACCTGAAGATAACAGGGTATTTGATCCCGAGTTATTGATGACGGAAGTGATCACTTATACGCACTATATGCCTGACGAGTGGAAAGGTCAGCTGCATAGCAAAAGGGTAGGTCGTGGCGACCGTATCTGTTTTGCTGATCTCATCGTTTGTCATTCCAGATCCACCAGGAATTCGGCGAGCTTTACGCTATGAAGGTCATGATATTCGTGCAAGAAGTGCTTTCCGTGGTCTTGACACCCTTTGTGCTATGGTTTTCACTCCCTTCCTGCGCTCCCGCTATCGTCGACTTTTTCCACGAATTCACCGTTCACGTAGATGGACGAGGGTATGTTTGCAGCTTTGCCGAGTTCAACTTTGAGAGACATGGCAATGTCAAAGTATGTTGACGTGTACTTACAGTGAAATGAACCTGTTGCTAATCATTCCCCACCAATAGTTTGGTGCACCAGCCCAGAACATCGACAAACGGATGATCTCGAACGAGGGCAAGATGGAGAAGAGCTTCTTGAATTTCAAGGTATATAATTATTGTAGCAGCGACCTGTGGTTTCTCATCTCATGATCTATTCTAGGCTGCCAATCCAGATTGGAACCCCACAGATCCGTCAGGTTCGTTATACCTAAGCCGCATGGCGGACTTCACAGCAGCACATCTTCCCGGGCGTCGGCGACCCGGCACTGGCGTCATGCCTCTTGACCACAGCAACGGTAGTGGCGAGCGCAAAACTGAGGTCGATCGTGCACAGGAATATGATCGCGCCCTCCGACAAAGTCAACTTGCAGCGCGTCGGCGGGGTGGAAGTATGTTGGGCGCGTCCATGCTAGGTCCTCCAGGCCCTTCGGGATCGTCGATATTTGGTGGAATGTCGACAGCCCAGACAGTGGTGCTTGGAGATTCACAGGGTAGTGTGCCAGTTGAGACAGTGCGTAAGGAGGTGTCGAAGATTACGGATAGTGATTTGGCTGAAGACGGAGGTGTTGGTAGTGGACTTGGTGAGTCGTATGTTGATGGTGCGAAACGGACACGAACTTTTGGAGAAGCGGAGGAAGAGGAGGAAGGATTCGAAGACGGAGGCGTCTTGGGACTGCTGGCTCAGATTTATGACCGGAGAGACGGCCCAACAAGGGTGCTCTAAGGTACCTTGCATAGCCATCACATACTGCTGTACATTCGTAACGCATATAACGACGATCGATGTAAGCTACCGCCAATATTGGGGTCGTTCAGACAGTCACATATCTTGAGCGAATGTTTCTGTTTCGCTCGGCAAACTCAAAGCACAAATCAACACACTTGGAAGGACATGCATATATCATTGACAAGGACACAATTCAGTTATGCAAATATTCAAGGCACTAGAAAATGAATGCAAGTCAGTTGAATGTCCGAAGGAAACAGATATAGAGAACGAAAAAGTCAGATAAAGTATAATGATTCCGGATAGACGATTTCCTCAGAGGACAAGCCTCGGTAGAGGGAGTCTGTTTTGTCATCAAGTGACATAAAGCGAGGCTTGTACTCACGTACTTTAACGGTTCTTGAAGTAATCCAGAACGACGTGAAGGCCCTCACTCTCGACACCATAGTCCTTGACAACAACACAGCTGCATCCGACGACCTTGCGGGGGTTACCCTCACGGTCGATCTTGCACAAGCCGGCCCATGTTCCCAATACCTTGGCGTCACCGACCTTGATGAGGTTAATCTTGTGCTCGGCACAGAGAGCCTCAATAAGCTTGATGTACTCGGCTTCTGTGCAAGTCTCGACGAGAACACAAAGGTGGGCTTGACGCTTGTCCAGGGCCTTGGCACATTCCCGGAGACCGCGAGCAAGACCGTCATGGACAAGAGCGTTCTTCAGGACTTGCTACTGAATTTATGAGCAAATTGCAACATGATAAAGATATGGAATACGCACCTGAAGTGCATCTTCAACAGAAAGCTTGCCCTTGGGCGCCTCGGCGGCAACTTCCTCGACAGGTGCGTCGATTTGAATGTCATCTCCTGCGTCAGACATCCTGAAAATATCATTCAGTACGACTTATTCACCGGAATCCACACAAAGCACTAGCTTTTTTGGTTTGCAACAGTTGGTACAAGTAAAGAAAGTTTCTGGATGTCTTCGTCCGCGTTCGTCGATGTAAGGAAAAATTAAAGTTCGGACAGAGCTTATGTAGATAGAAGTTCTAACTCCGCTTGGCGGCTAGAACGGCAACCTCCGGACTAGGCCTTCGCCAGCGCGCTTCGGTCATTATTATTATAATTTATTTGAGTATCAGACTAACAGGTTGCTGTATTCTTGTTTTCAAAAGGCACCTAGGAGCTGTTCACCACCGGTCTACCATTTTGTGGATCTTTTGCGCTTCTCAAAGCCCTCGATGACGACGAATAATATTCAAGCTAATACCAACGTCGAGTATCTGTTACTGTCGGATAGTATGGTGCTTGCCTCATGGGTCGCACTCGCGTCGACATAGCAGAGTCCGTACTAAAAGCAAGATTAGAGAAAGAGGCATCAATCCCTTCGATTTCTTCGTTTCAGGTTTGTCAACATGAAGACTGATTCGGGCATAACAGGCAGCAATAATGTGGTTGGTCTTGATATTCCTTCTCACTTCTGAGTCAATATAAATTCATGGCTGGAACAAAGTTGTATAAGCTGAGATGCAATGCGACCTTATAGCGTGGGTTGTATCTTGTTCAGCGACATGCCCATAACTCTAAAATGACGGAGGATGATAAGGTGCTTTTGGAGGTGCGAATATCACATCTTATTTTGTGACATTCTTATCAGATTTCTGTCATATACTATGCAATAATCAAATGCAGTTGCACAAACTTGAACGACTCGGAGCCAGTGCTGGGGTCCTGCATCTTAATACGGTTTCGAGTTTTATATAAGCCAGGGCACCTCTCCCACACATAAGTCGAAGATCTGACAAAGACCATTACGGTCCTTGATATGTATTCTAGAATTACCCCGGTGTGGGCAATGGATCCTGGATTTCAGTGGCTGAAGGGTCCTGACCTCAGAAGTAGCAAAAAATTAGACAAATGTTGTCTTTTGTTGTCGGTGTGGGGAAGTGTAACTGGGGACGACTGCCTCGTTGTACGTAAGATACCTTGCTGCTTGCTCCGGCGGGACGGTCGACCAAGTATACAAGACAGCTTCGTCTTTGTGCTAGTGTTGGTGATGTTTATTCTTGATTTTCACGTATTATAAACAAACAACTTACGAACGCTATGCCAAAAAAATTCCCCTGTATCATGCTGAGATGTTTTGTCATTAGTTGCAGGAACACGACTCCTCCGAGTCTAAGTCCAGTTGTACCCCAAGGTCCTATATCTGTTGGCTCGTTGCAGACTCGGAGTATAATTATAAGAGAAGAACATCGGGCACTGAATGGGTGCATATAGGTTGACTAATAGTCACATAGAGAATGTTCAGTAAGGTTTGGTATTTTTGGTCCGGTGGATATTTATAAACTGTCCGATTAGGACATGAACGTCAATGCTAAATCTAAAAATAGGCAGATCTAAAAGTTAATCCTAGAGCTGGCTTAGGTAGGAGAGTATACCTCATATCATGAGATGCAGTACATGGAATGTGTCCTGGTTCCGTCTTGATGCATTATGCCGCAGTGGCGTGTGTTTATCGAATCGACCAATCCGAGCCTCGGTAATTAAGGTAACCGGATTTGGATCCACGGACCTAACCCCGGAAAACAAAAAGAAATCGTCAGGTCCTTTACAGGCACCTTCACCTAAATCGTGACAAACAGTCCACAGTTGTCATACCTCAGGTAAAGACAGACAAAAGATAAAGGATGATAACAAATACACAGCCTGGTATATCCGATTAATGCATACGCCGCGTATAATAACATGTCACCGAGGGACGATGACTCAATACATACAATATTATCCGTAGCGAGTCCGAGCCATGCGTCCTTTTGCGGGATTACTCCGTCTACGCAGTTCTTCATCAATCTTCCACATTCCGCTGACAAACTCGTCTTTCGTTAGACCAGGTTGCGATCTAAGATGGCCCTGAGTACATTCCACCCTGAGCTCTCATGAGTGGGGCGACCACGGAAGGAAATGAAATCACGATGCGCACCATATTTGCGCCAACTTGATATCCTCCAAACAGGATTTTCTCCATATACGTTTTACTATATGTGGTGGGAGAGTAAATGGGGAATCGTCTTCTGAGTCAGACTCGGCGGCAGGCAGGTCATCTACGCCCGTTATGAGATCAACGGATAGTCCACGCCACCCAGCAGCCTGCCGCGACTTGCGTGGTGAGAGGAATGGTAATGTTGGCGGTGGCTTTGCTTTACGCTGCTGGCGTGCCAGTTTTCGTTGTGAGATATTAAGGTCAAAAACAGAGATATAGCGAGCACGGGCGGTCGGTGGTATGGGAGTGGGACGGGTAAGAGAAGGGCCTAAGGAGGTTGATGACGCACGAGACGACGGTCGTGTGGATGTAATGGAAGAGCGTGATGATGATGCAGGAGGCGGCGGCGGAGGTCGGCGTGTACTTGACGTTGTGCTTGTTGTCAATGTCGATGATGCTGATGGTGGTCTTTTGGGAAGCTTTGGTGGCGTCAATCGTACTGGAGACACATTTTCATATGACGAGTCGTCTATGGAGTCGCCGTCGGTCGATGTCTGGCCGTCGAGAGAGACAGAATGGAAGGACGAAATGGACGACGCTGAGGTATGTTTTGGTGGATATGTGTGCATTACTGGGAGCTTGAGGCTCTTGGAGTTGTTGCGGGGAGGTAGAGGGGGGGCGACGTCGACGATGGGCGTGACGTCGACGACCCAGTCTTTGAGGTCGATGAGCGATGCCGACGGTGGTGACGGTGACGAGGACGTCTTGGACAACGATTCAAAGGCATGTATGCGGGACTGCACTGAGGTCATGGTTGCTGTCCAAGTTTGGTCACGCCGTCATTAATTCTTCCACCGCCATGTCGTCGGACTTGTATGCTGTCGCTGATTTCTGCCTCATCCCTATGGTTGCCCCGGAGCCTTCAGTAAGCTATTTTTAAGCATATTCCTTCTGTTCTACTGTCACTAATGCATCGCAGGTCGCTATATTCATCGCCGAATGCCAGAGGGTCCTGGAAAAGTCGGGACTCACCTTCAAGGTGCACCTTCCTTTTGCTTTTGCAGCTGACGTTCACTGAGATGATCCATTTTAGATGCAGTAAGTCATTGCTACGCCCTGTTTACTGTTTGTGACGTCTTCCAGTGGGTACGGAACAAACTTAGGTACGGTATCAATCCTATCAAGATCTCCGCGGTATATAACCCAATAATTTATCAGAAGGACCCTGGTCCGACGTTTGCAAGGCCATTCATGACTGCCACGCCGCAGTGCATGCCCAGGGAATCCCTCGTATCGCAACCGACATTCGTATCGGTACCAGAACCGACCAGGAGGTTGTACCTGGTACAGGAAACACACATAAAGTCGAAAGAGTAGAACAGATATTGGCAGCAAAAGATTGAACTACGTGAATACTAAAGCTGAAGCCTGAAGCTTGAAGATTGGAAAAGGTATGTATTATGGTGTATTATGTGCGTTCGAGTTTTTTAAGCCGCAAGTTGAACACTTTACTGATGGATCTGATAGAATGTTACGTATGTAAACCAGTATATCTCATACCTTTTTTTCCAGAACACAGGCTGTCTTGAGGTATTTTGGAAGCAAGGACAAATCCAACCTTCTGAGTCTTGATTCCACACTGACAGTTTACTGACTGAGGATGCTTCTGCCCCAAACTCGACGAAGAATTCACTGAACATCAAGAACCACCTAACGGTTGTTGGCATGTTTCTCATATATTAGCCTAGATGCATTGTGTATAACCCATTGGCCAAAGAGTATTGTTGCAGGAGTAAATGGTGTTATCAGAGTGATTGCAGATGAAGCAACTCTGACAACTGGGACGCCAATGCCAGTAGCGCGTTGAATGGAGACCAGTTCAAAGAGAAGAAAAGGCCAACTGTGTCCCGAGAGTTTTCGACCATATCCTCGTTGAAATCTGTGACTTATCATTGTAAGTCCTGAAGACTGTGGTATTGTAGTCCTCCAGATCCTTGACTTCATAATCGAACGCGTCGTTGCCGTGTTTCTAACCTTGAAGTCGAATAAGTGTCTCGACGTGCGCGTATTGTTTGTCTGAGTCCGAGACGCCTGATTCTTGCCCTCCGAATCTGACGCATTGTCCCCTCGCTGGCATGTTCGTTCGTTTCTTCTCTATCTCTCTGAATATTATTGAGCATTTCGATTGCGTTGGTCAGAGAACAGCCCCCGCAATCTCTTCCAAGGTCGTCATGGCACAGAGCAACAACGCCAGCAAGGAACAAGAGAGGCGGTGTACCTGAAATAAGAAAACCTTTATAGGAATTTGATTGGCTATTCTACAGGATACTATGATATTGTATGAGTAAGTCCAGAAAGTAACAAGCGTCCAGAGCCATGATCCACTGGGTATCATATCTACTTCGAGTAAGTCTGTACTAACTATTAACTAACTCGAGTCCAATTGAAAACGAGAAACCAGGTATATTTAGGATGCGAATAGATCAAACCGACGGACTTCCCTCTCTATCTTTCTGCTTCCAAGTTTTGAGGAGCGCAGCCCCAAGTGACTTGCCTAGCGCCAGTGCCAAAGGCACGGGCACCGCGTTTCCGATTTGGCGATATTGCTGGGAAGCAAGAATGTCAGAAGATAGAGACTGCCCGCACACATAAGCAACATACATCATCAATCATGCTTTGCGAATCTGTTTTGTTGATTGAACAAAATGTGTAGTCATCGGGGAATCCTTGGGCTCTTGCAGCCTCTCGCACACTGATAATTCTTCTTTGCTGCGTTTTCCATTAGTACATCCTGAATTGTAATATGTAAGATACGTACATGAGGATGTAGCAATACGCTATGTTTGCTGTTAGGTGATACTAGGGTCATTGCAGTGCGGAAGTATCCGTTTCCATCGAGTCTACCGTAATATACTGCCAGAAAATGTCAACGACGGGTCATTGTCAATATCACTGATCCGAACCTGATTTTGCATTTATCATATGCTTCGAACACAGACGAGGATCTAGATCTAGAAGCAAGGATAAAGTCACTTCGCATCTGGTTCAACAAACAGATATCCACCTTTCTGGTTTGCATTCGGTTTCAGTGGAACAGATGTGGATCTATAAGAAATGATTAGCTAGCTTACACGAGCAAAAAAAGGGGATAACTTACGCCTCCACGACGGGCTCAGTGAAGGTCTTGGTGTGATGGTCGTTGACTGTCGACATGTTGGCTTGGCGCATCCACCGTTGATATGCGTTTTTTGGCAAGAATATATATTCAGCCTTATCAATGCCTGGTCTTCTGTGAGCAACACCCGTGGCGGCCAAATACTGCTTGATCCCGTCATCAATCCTACGCTGAGCCTCTTTCCTTGTGTGACTGCTCGAAGGGATAATCTTGTGCGGGTTGACCCTATACAGATCGCGTCAGATAAAACGAGATATCGAAAAGTTCATACTTACCAGTCCCAGGGAGGCTATATGTTTGAAGGATTAACCAGGAAATGTGAGCATCAGGCAATTAAGAATAACACTGACAAGGTCCCCGATAGCATCATCGATGGTCACTGGTTTCAGAGGCGCGCATTGATGGTCGTCTCCAGGATCTCGAGACCTTGTTGCACGAGACAATACTTCACCTTCGAAACTAGGTAATTTCCATCTCGATGCCAGCCGTTGGAAAGCATGGGTCGGAATAGGAAATTCAGGTAAGGGCCACCCTCGTCGGGCTCCCCAGATGAGAATCCGGTTGCGTTGTTGAGGAGCACCGTATGCGCCGGCTTGAAGAACCTTCAAGCGAACCTGATACCTGCGATGACCGTAAATGCAACCTACCAGCCGAAGAAAAGGAGATGCTTACCCCAACGATGTCAGAATCCTCAGGATGAGCTTGATTACCCCCATTTCCATCCCGCCGACGAGAGAGCGACCGTGTGAGGCAGATTTGGCTCCCAAACGAGCGGTCAACATGCCCACGACATTTTCCAAAAGAAAATATCTAGGTTCGTACCATTCGGTATAGGCCAGCATAACCATCGGCAACGTTGATCTGATATCGTCCGGTTTCTGGAGGGTTGAGGCCGCGTTTGAGTGTAACTGCGTAGACAAATGAACTTGACTTACTGGGTTGTGGTTCGCTTTACTAAAGGACTGGCATGGCGGTCCTGTAGAATACTGAATCAACATGCCTTCTTGTCATCCAAGTGCAAGTTAGAACCTCCGTAGATAAGATCAACGTCGCCTTTCTTCGGCATGTTCTCCAAGTACGTTCCATCGTGAGATTTCAGTTTACGAGGATACTTGCCACCTTCGGTTTGCACAGCATGATCCAAAAGGATGCTGGCATCCTGGTCGTAAACAATAGTATCAGGATGATTACGCCTAGGTAGAAATACCGATGAGAGAACTCGGAGAAGACGACAGTGAAATCACACCTGTATGTCTGGGCAGCTGATGGGGAAAACTCGACAGCCCACTTCGTTTCAACGAAATCGGAAAACATCATACCCGTACCTAGACCACCAGCGCCTGCGAAAGTATCATGAATGCATGACTCCGGTTAATAAATCTCGTTAGACCTACCACTGAAGAGTTCCAAACCACGTAATGGAGAGTTCCGATCCCGTAGTCGTCGCCCGTCACGGAGCTCTTCCTCGTGGCCGTCAAAACAGCCATATTTGCATCTCTTCCACGATTTCATCGAAAGGGGTATAAACCCTCCCTCAGGATCTTCGACTTGGCTCAAGTAAAAGTGGTCACCGTGTTTGATCCACGATCTGATGGCCGCCTGATCAACCAGGTGCTTGACAAAACAAAGACCTTGCAATCGTTTAATGGCTACAGATTCTGTCCTCTGGCTCATGAACAGCCGACGCTAAATAGAAAATCATTGTCAATATACTTGCATAGTGAAAGGGATATAGATTAGTCGCACCTCCTCTTGATCACATCCTTGCCTAGACTCGTGGTCGTCGTAGCGATCAAGATATACCACCTGTACTTCTTCCTTACCGACATTGATAGAACGTACTTGTACAATATCCAAGAGTAGGACGTCGGGGTCGGAATTGCGGACATAGACACAGTCGTGAACGTGGTAGTCTATCCCATAATGGGTGACACCCCCTTTGGTGGAGCTAGCCGTTCCAAGAGCCTCTTCTCGGGCCTTAAGCGCGCATGGATAGCATTTGAGCTGTGGTGGCTGATATGAAGTTGCCTCAAGAACTTCCTCTACAGACGGAAGATCCGTGAATTCATGCTCTTTGTCGTCCCAGACAAGACTGGAATCATAGAACGCCGTCAATGAGGTATATTTAGAACTCAGAGAAGATCCGTACCTGCAAAAATAATCCGTGGACTCGGGATCGCCGTCGTCGAGGTATTCATTGTCACGCTCTCCTAGCATTTTGACATCCACTTTTCGGATGATGGACGCAATAGGACTGGCATCGCAGGTTTTCATCTGAAAAAGGGCCTTCGAATGAGCCACTTCCTTCATCAACGTTCTGCTGCCGTGCTCAAACCAATGCCCGTGGAACTTCTTGATATTATCCTCCACATCATAGAAGAAATAGCAAATACGACAGAACCTATCTAGCATACATGTCAATCTCAAAATGGAGGGGGCAAAGTACTAACCAGTATCGGTTTCCAAAGATATTCTTTGATAATGGACGGAGAGGTTTATCGTCCTCAGTCCCTTTCTCACTTGAGATAGATGATTCGTCATCATCACTGCTCATACTTTGCTCATAATCAGTACTGGACTTTGTGTTAGAGGATGAGTCGTTTGAGGGCATGACCATCACAACGTCTCCTGCCTATTAAGAACACATCAGACATGAAGGGGGGACAAGAAATAGTAACAAACCTGATAATCCATACCATCAAGGTTTACAGTAGCATAATGATATTTAGCAATTCTCTCTCCCCATATAATACTTTCAGGGTTATCGTAGTGAGATTTAACATTCTCTTCGACTTCCTTGAGTGGCATATCATCCTTCTCCAGCATCCCCGCAACCTCCAATCTGTTTCGGTAAAGCTTTTCGGCAATAGAGCCCACGATGGGGGTGACGACCGTTATTGCTCTTCGTAGAAGAACTGCTTTCTCCTTGTTTGAAGGCATTTTGTGCTTTGGGAGATGTTGTACGTGTGTTTTCTTCTTCACATTAGGCCTCGGGGATGCTCGGGATGCTGTCGATGAGGGTGTTGTGGCTCTATCACTGTGAGATTCAGATATTGTATCAGAAGGTGTGTCGGAGGATGTGTATGATGAGTCTCCGTCATCAAAAAGCTCCAGATTCATGCCCACAGCATCAAAGAAATGCCTGATGAGGGGCACTCTTTTGAGGCGTTCGTCAACATTTGTACATATATCGGGGAGCTTAGCGAGTAAATATGCGATCTGAAAGATTGATGAGAAGTTGAAGTCACGATGAGGCTGTAATCACAAACCGTGTCATCAGAGACGACATCACCAACATCTATGCCACGGCCAATAATAGCATGAGAGGAAATATAGTTCGTGCTTTCATGTATGTCCTCCAATGAAGTCACGAAGTCATCGTAACTGGCAGTTCTATCTTGAAGTGCACGAGAAACAACTAGATGAGCGATGCGATGTTTGAGGAAAAAGGGGTGGAAAAAAGGCGCATAAGTGTCGGAAGGTACATGCAGGATATACCATGCTATGTCCGTACAAATGTATATATTTCTGAAAGGTTGTCAGAAAATAAGGACATAGCGAAGATCAGTATATTCACCCATCGAGTTGTCGCATCTCATCGGAATAGAAATGGATGTTGAAGTCTACAATACATCCTAATCTCAAACGCATACTCGACTCTCCCTCATCTGGGTCGGAAGGAACTTGGACAAATTCGTCTTCAAGACCCTCAACTTCTTTGGCTCTGACAATCCCGCTGGCATGGAATGTTCGCCTTGCTTTGTTCTTGCCTTTTCTCCCACCCTTTGGAACATTAAGCGTATTAAGTTCTTCAATATAGACAATGTTCTGCTGATCGTCATATATAACAAAGTCGTCCAGGATTCGGACCGGTATGTCGTTGCCGCTTTCGTCAGTATCGGAATCAGGCTCTGTTTCGCCGGGAATCGCAATCTCATCTGCTTCATCGAGTTCTTCCTGGAATTGATAGGTTGTAGCGCTTGTTGCGACAAGATTTTCTTTCATCTGATAAAGACCCCACTGTGCATTGCCATCTATTCATATGGAATGATCAGAATGGACGAATGCGAAAAATGTCATGGCGCACGCAAAGAAGGCTCTTTGGATGCATAAAGAGTCGTGCCCGACATAGCTACTGCAGTTGATAGGCCTGCCTCATTGTTGTCGAAGAAATCGGAAACCGTAGGAGAAAGGCGGAGCCCTCGCCCATGTATGGGAGACTATAAGGGTATTCAGTGACAATCCAAAGGCCTACACTCACAGGCTCACCGGCCCAAGAACTTTAGACATCTAGAAACGCGTCAAGTCACATTAATGTCTCAGAATGGGGAATACGCACTTGAGCTAGCTCCTCATCATTGAAAGCCGGCGACTCTAGGCGACTCTTCTTTTTTGGAGAAGGATTTGGTGTTTGTAAAATCGTCCTTGTTGGTGAGCTCGGAGGACTGGGGCTGGTTTCGGGAGACCTCTTCCCCAACCATCGAGCCCGACGTGGGCTGGCCAAATCTGATGCTGTGGGTTGGGTCCGTAAGGGTAGTTCCACATAAGGAACGAGTCGACGAACGTCCATGGTCGACGACAGCAGAACAAGCCTGGAACGAACTTCACCGTGGAAGAACAAAAGGGAAAATTCAAACCGCGACGCCGGACGAATGCATGTCTACCACGAGCCACCACCATCATCACCGTTCCGTCCTTGCACTTTATGTCTCAATGGTTTCGCATAAACTTTTCATTAAGTGTACCCGAAAATAGAAGGGAATCGTCCTCGTTGCTCCGTCGATGTACGTTGCTGTCATTTCTCACGGTAGCATTCAAGTATACAGTACCACAATCATGTCAGAGGATGATGTGTAATGTTAAAAGCGGGCAAGTATGCTGACTAGATGTAACCAAGCGGTTGACCGCAAAATGTGTCGGAAATCGGCTACAAAGGAGGTGCGTGACATTTACTCGTTTGCTCAGATCAACTGGTTTTGATATTTTTACGCCATTTGTCTATACTTATGAAGAGGATCCTGTTCTATACTTCCCTGAATTTCAAGACCAGCTGTTCTCCCTTCTTTTCCTGACCTTCAAGAACCGGTGCCATCACACCGCTTGTTGCGCGAATACACGTGGACCATCGCAGGGATACTTCCACTCGAACGACTGCACTATCTTAACTAGAAAGGCCTGAATCTTGAACACTCTGGAAATGCAATCTGGTTCAGTAGCCACGGAACATTGCGTCGAACTCACGCAAATTTCCACCTGGATTGGTTTTGGTTTTAGCGGGAAACCGCTGCTAGCAGAGATGGACTTACCCAAGGCATGACTGTGCGTCATTTACGAAGTTGCCACTGGGAGATGGCATAGTTAATTCTCACCCTTGAAACTAATACCAGCACACGCACAGATTGGAGTAAACACCGAAAGGACTGGTGGAACCATCTTTGTCAACACCCGTTGGGTGAATCCATCACTCGGGAACAATGTCATGTGCGTTATCTCCTCACACATCCCGGAGGCTACCAGAACGTGTCAAAGACCGGGACCTTGCAAATGAAATGGCTGTACCGGTTGTATCCTGAGACTGATGCATGTACGATCTGGCCTTTTCCCACAGGAATAGCTGATATTAATTTGCCATCCAGTGTCTTGATTGAATTTGAGAGGGGAAGTATATCATCTTCAGCCGGCTGTAAGAAAGGTCCATAGACTACGGGATGGAGACACAGTGCCTCCTGTGGGAGAATCATTTCCAGGCCGTGGCAACCAAGTGCGTACTGGCAAACGTACCTTGATAACAGCGACTGTGTACTGCATGCTTTCGAAGTGCTTGGCTGTTAGTTCCTCTTGTCTTTCAGCACACTGTCGTGTTACTCTTATAACCTAGACCGCACCCGCTGTTAGGCATAGGGATGCCTACCCAATCCGTAGAGCAGAAACGCTATAGAATTTCCCGTCGTCTCATCTACATCTCCAAGTATCAGAGAAAATGTCAAGGACAGAAGAAACGCGCTTACGGCCTGCAACCATGATTGTTCTATCGGGTACGTTGCAGTCAATATAAGTAATCCTGCTCGCCTCTGTCAATCACCTCATTTGTGCAGAGAACTCTTCTTCAGAGAGCCTGCCTTTTGGATCTTCTGATAAGTTCGTCTTGACTATGTTACAAGGGTATCAGCTACGCTTCGATAACAAACGACCACCCTTACCCATCACATCCATCACATCTTTCCCTATTTCGGTGCCAGCGAGTACTGCGGTAGTTCTATCCCTCACCAGAGCCATCGCTACACGATCTCCTTCAATTGCGACATTCTTCAGGCCTTGGAAACTTCGGGATGGAAGTTTTTCAAGAACGTGAAACACACTAATAGGTAAATATCCCAGAACATGTTGTGCGAATATTCTACCCTTAGACGCAGGCCAAACGTGCTTACGCTATAAACGGGTTCGAATATGCGTCAAGCAAAGAAGCGGCAGACGTACAGAAGATTTTTATATGCTTGAGCCAGCGGGTTCCTTTCGTTATCGAGCGCACCAAACTATCTTAGTTAATGCAGCTCGATGAGAGGCCTCGAAGCTCTTACTCGACATTTAAACCCAACTGACCAAAGGCATATTTTAGACACAGGGATGGCTTGTATAGAGGAAGAGACCCACCGTCTCCAATGGTGTCAAGTGTTGCGCGAGAAATACCATCAGTAACTTCAATCGCAGTCACTTCTTCTGAGTTGGCAATCATTCCTCGCCACTTTTCACAAAGCTGGATATACTGTTGAGTTGCGGTAAGCCCTTCCACGAATGGCACGCACACGTTCGCACTTTCCAGGAAGGCGGGTATCATTCCCCGACTTTCAAGATTGCCAAACGCTGGCGTGAGAAGCTTCCTGTGTCTCTTATGGTCGTCGTCTATATACATCAGTCCAACAATACAAGTGAACACTCACCTTGAGCCCATGCTATCCCTCTTCCCAAGTAAATGCGGCCAAATTCGCGGCGAATCTCTGGTTTGCGCCACTTTGTACCTATACTTTGATAAATGTATTGCAAAGCCTAGTCTAGTGCGATAAATATGACTGAAGGCTTCTCCTACCTTGGGATTAGAAATAAGCAGACGATCTTTCTATTGAAGGCACTGTGAGTTAACTATAGTAGTCGAGTATTAAACGATTCCTTTACCCCGAAAACGGCTTTAAACTGATACTCCGCGCCGTACTGTTCTTGCCATTTGAACACAAATTCACAAACGCCATAGTGATAATATTCCCAGAAGTTTCCTAAACAAAGTTACTATGAGGAATAGAAAGCTAGAAAGAGAATCTAAGACCTAGGATTCCCTTGGACGACACAGCTGGACCTGGTACATAGGTGATTGAGGCGCGCGCGACAGTATGCCAGAACAGCTTGCGATACACCAATGCGATGATGAGAAATGAAAGAAGCACAGAAACATAATGATTCATTCTCTTTGTCAATGGTAGTGTGAAAAGAAATGGAAAGAAGCAACGCTTTGGCGAGTTTTGTTTTACATCAAACCATAAACGCCGAGAGATCCGGGCTCGGCGGCTGGTAGCAAGAAAACATGCGGAAATCACGATGTGAGCGCCTGTGTGTGAGACTTTGCACACTACCAAAATCATAGATGGCTCATACAGAGACTCGTAAGGGGCAATTGACGAAATTTGAAGGCTTCTGACCACAGCCTAAGAAAATATCGTATCCAGCCCCTTACCCTCCTTCCAGAAGTTCAACAAGGACCAAAGCGGTGTCACAGGCAGAAGATCACCCCTACCCAGGCCAGCTCTAAGAGCCCAATCAATGTACCATGGAAAGGACATGTTCAACCAAGCAAATACCCAAGCGTAACCGATAGAACGGCACACCAGTGGGTGAAGTTTCATGTCCGCTCGGCGAAATATGCCAATGACGGCGTCCTCGGTCACAATAGCCACAGGCTGGGCCAGGAAGAATGACAACGATGAGCCCAAGTATCTCCATTCCACCATGGCGTCGCCGAATATATGCATCAGACCAGACACACAGAATCCCATGATCAGCTGCATATAGGAGGATCCAAAAGATCCTCTTTTGAACCCGGCTGCTTGAGAAACAAACTTTCCTATCGACGATGCGTACTGCAAATGGTGATGAATAAATGTCACAAGATAAGCAAAGAATAACATGCCCGTCTCAGCATTTGATGCCAGGTGCGGCTGAAAAAAGGCGCAAGTGTAAGGAACAGAAGTTTAGAGCAGAAGATTAAACTCACCCCCAAAAGTCCCGTACCGTATAAGCATCACTCCATCTTCCATAGGGAGCTGGCCAGTCTGATGGCATTGAAAAGCCAAGGGCAACACTGATGACGCTGATCAAATGATATTGTAGCTGTACTCCAGCATAAGGTATAGCCATCCACGCGATGATATTTGGACAACGCAATAAGAATCCCTGCGATGTGACTGACGCCGTTTCAAGCACAGCATCAGATAGAGAAAATAATGGATTGATGCGTCTGAATGTCTGAGCGGCATCGATAAAGAAGAAGAATACAAGGATACGAAAAAGTCGCGAGCAGATAAAAGAGCCATGTGAAACGGCAGGCCGAGGAGGAACATGGGAGACCTAGAGGTCAGTGTTAAAGATGTTCAAATGATGAAAACAAAACAAACTTCATAGTTCCATCCAATCCCACGAGGAGAGTGTATGATACATGCCGCCCAGTAGACCCTTCGTAGAAACGAGCGTTTTTGTGGATCATCAGTATCTGAAAAGTGGCGGTACTGGATAATGGGCTCTGCCAAGAGGAGGAGATGAATGGCAGTAAAGAGCTGTCCACCAAGGGTAGAACCCATTGCGTAGTCCTGCATCTTGTCAGGGCCAGTGGAATACTGCAAGCCTCTGTAAGTCAACCCAACGAAACCCAGGAGGTAGATAACCCGCGCCCATTTGGGCAGTCCTATGGCGAGGACAGCTGCCAGAAAGAGGTCGGGCAGTACAAGAAATTTCAACAGAGGAAATGGAGGTCGAATGTTATCTGTATGCATGGCTTGACTTGCAAGGGAAGCGCGGCAGAGCAACAACTCGTTGCGTGAGAATCTTCGGCATCACCCGTGGCGAGGACCCTGACCAACCTTTCACCACTGCCAACATGTCGCTACCCGTGCACACCGTGGCAATCGACTACGCTGAAGAGAAAAGTCCGTTATATCCTCCATAGCACATAACTTGCATACTGACTGACTTTTCAGCACTGATCAAAACCTTTCTGACCACCTTCAAATGTCAGGACAAAGACATAACGAGCGGATTTGCCGACATCGACATTGACGACGAACTGGATGCTTCGACGTCAGAGACAAGGGATATCAAGTACATTAATCAAATGGTGCGGTGAAATGACGTGTTTTACGCGTCTTGCTGACCGTGTCGCCAGCAACGGATTGCGAACCGTGACCAACAAAAGCTAGTCATTGACCTGGAAGATCTTCATACAGTACGCGTCAAAGTGCTATTTCTTAACTCACCTGACCATTTGTCTCTCTAGCATGATCCAGAACTGGTTCAGCGCATCCAGGGCAACACGCGGCGATACGTCAGCCTGTTCAGCGAGGTTGTCGACCAAATCATGCCTCTCCCTACAAAAGATATCAGCGACTATGATGAAGTTATTGATGTCATTCTACACCAAAGAAGAGAGCGAAATGCCCAGATGGAAGGAGGACAGGACGGTTTCCCAGAGCACTTGTTGCGACGATAGTGCGTTCACTACCACTTGAGCTCTGTATTTCATCCTGATGCGCACTTTCAAGTAATCTTTACTTACAACCTCTTCGGGGTGACGTTGCTATCGCTGTTCGTGAAGTCCGAGGCTCCCAGCTGGGTCGGCTCATCACCGTTCGTGGAATAGTCACCCGCGTGTCCGAAGTCAAGCCCCTCCTTCAAGTGAACGCGTATACCTGCGATGTCTGTGGGTCAGAAACATTCCAGGACATCTCCAATAAGACATTTCAGCCTATCGCAGACTGTGAAAACGTCAACGAGTGCAAGAAAAACGGCATCAAAGGCTCGCTTCATATGCAGACGCGTGCATGTCGCTTCAGCCCCTTCCAAGAAGTCAAAATACAAGAAATGGCTGATCAAGTTCCCGTCGGACATATCCCTAGGTCTATGACCGTCCATGTTCATGGCGATTTGACGCGGATGATGAACCCTGGCGACGTTGTCCACCTTGGTGGAATTTTCCTCCCTATTCCATACACTGGCTTTCAGGCCATACGTGCAGGTCTCCTTACTGACACTTACCTCGAGGTGCACCATATTCACCAACTCAAGAAACAGTATCACGATATGGAGACGACGCCTGAAATCCAGGCCGAAATCCACGAGTTGACCAGGGATCCAGCACTGTATAGTCGGCTAGCGACGAGTATCGCACCAGAAATCTACGGTCATGAAGATGTGAAGAAGGCACTTTTACTTCTCCTGGTGGGAGGCAGTACGAAAGAGACCCAGGATGGCCTGAAGATCAGAGGAGATCTCAACATCTGTTTGATGGGAGATCCTGGTGTTGCCAAATCGCAGCTGCTGAAGTTCATTTCCAAGATTGCTCCTAGAGGTGTATATACCACTGGTAAAGGTTCTTCAGGTGTGGGTTTGACCGCAGCCGTTATGCGAGATCCCGTCACGGATGAGATGGTTTTGGGTAGGCGATTCTCATGGCTTTATCCAAATGCACTATTGACTTATTCTTCAAATAGAGGGCGGTGCACTGGTCCTTGCTGATAATGGCATATGCTGTATCGATGAATTCGATAAGATGGAGGAAGCGGACCGGACGGCCATCCACGAAGTCATGGAACAACAAACGATTTCGATCTCAAAAGCTGGAATATCGACGACCCTAAACGCACGGACATCAATCCTGGCTGCTGCCAATCCTCTATATGGGCGGTACAATCCTAAAGTATCCCCAGTCGAAAACATCAATCTTCCTGCGGCGCTGCTATCTCGTTTCGACCTTCTCTTCCTCATCCTTGACAAGCCGTCTCGAGATGAAGATGAACGACTAGCTCAGCACGTAACCTATGTGCATATGTATAACAAACATCCCGAACTAGACCATGAACCAGTGGATCCTAATATTATGAGGTATGACCATGGTCTCGAAGCTATACACGTTTTCTGACCAACCCATTAGACATTATATTGCCCAAGCCCGGACAATCCGACCCACTGTATCAGCCCAGGTGTCCAAACATGTCGTGGATTCATACGTCCGTCTGCGAAAAATGACCAAAGACGACGAAGCACAAAACAAGTCGCATACTTACACGTCCGCCCGCACTCTCCTCGGTATCCTGCGTCTCTCACAAGCTCTTGCCCGTCTGAGGACATCACCCATCGTTGACTACTCTGACGTCGACGAAGCGCTGCGGTTGATGGAATGCAGCAAGGAGAGTCTCTATGAAGATGATGACCAGGAGCGGGAACCAGACAAGTCGGCTGTCAGTCAGATATACCGACTCATCAAGAATATGAAGGACAACATAGATGACGATGAGCACACACCGGCTAAGAAGCGGAGGTCAACGAAGAGGATAGGGAGAGGCCCTGATGGTGAGCGGGATATGGATGTCGATGAATCCGAGTCCGGTCCGGTATTGTCAATGGTAGATGTGCGTGCCCGTGTGACGACTGCTGGATATACGGAAGCGCAGCTAGTGGAAACGATAGATAAGGTCGGTGTAGGTTCTGGTGTAGTCTATTATACGACGCTGACTTTTTTGCAGTACGAGGAGCTTGGTGTCTTGGTGAGGGTATCGAACGGTACAAAACTCATGATCATGGCATGATTCATCATGCTCCTCCGAGCCTCAGACTGTTACTTATGCTCTTGTTTTTGCCGCAGTGTTTTGTAGTATATCTCTATTATATTGATGTTGTATTTCACAGTGACGATCGATATTTCAAATCATCTCATGAGGATTCAAGGTGAACGTTGCTACTACCACGCTTCACAAATCAGTGGGTATTATGATCTGCCGTGTGCCCCAATTTTTACTCGTTTGAAAGGACCAAGATAATACAGCAGGTTAGCGCTTTGAGCCCAATTTGGGCCAACGGCGTTGTCACTGCATGACCGTGTACGTGGAGCCACGCGAACTTCATCAGTGGCTGTGCTGCACACTTCAATGCATGGTGGCAGTCTTTCGCTTTCTTTTCCTTCCCTTCAATAATGTGGCTGCCATGGTCACTGCTGGCCTTGTCTACATATTATTCCTTTAGCTTTGCTCTTTTATCCACCAGACCGCAATATGACACTCACAACTACTATGTCCTCGAGCACGATCCCCGCATTTCATCGCTGGACGATGTATCACACCTCCTCCAAGTCCAAGTCGTGGAGCCTATAAAAGACCTCGAGAATATTTGGTTGGTTAGATCAGAGAGAAGTGAGCAACAGTTGAATAGCAGGGTGGTCGGCGGGGACCATGTTCTCCAGAGGTATAAGCAGCTCCGCCGTGCTGCCGGGGATTCGTCAGTGTCACGTCGGTCGAGTACGGTGTCTTCTGTGCGACATCTGTCGCGACAAGAGCCTCGCCAGCGTGTTAAGCGAGCACCACCAGCTGTCAGACCACCTCTAGAGACTTCTGCCCGGAACGTTGCCAAGCGTCTAGGCATACAGGATCCGCTCTTTGACCAGCAATGGCATCTGGTAAACGACGAACACCCAGAGCATATGATGAATGTTGTACCAGTGTGGGATATGGGGATCACAGGCAAGGGCGTCATTACTTCTCTCGTGGACGATGGATTGGACTATGACCATGATGACTTGAAAGACAATTTCGTACGCCGCCAATCCTCTTTGATTGTTCTAGAATTCACTTTCCTGTTTGCACAGGATGCGCTCAACTCGTATGACTTCAACGACCATCAAGACCTTCCTACACCAAAACTTATAGATGATCATCATGGTACGCGGTGCGCCGGACAAGTTGCTGCGGGGAAGAACAATGCATGTGGTCTCGGTATTGCTTATGATGCCAAGGTCGCCGGCGTTCGTATCTTATCTGGACCGATTTCCGACGTCGACGAAGCAAAGGCGCTCAACTACGGCTACCAAAATGTATCCATATACAGCTGCAGTTGGGGACCTCCAGACAACGGCCAGGCCATGGAAGGGCCTTCCTACCTCATTCAGAAGGCGGTGGTCAACGGTATCAACAAGGGCAGAAATGGCAAAGGCTCTATCTTTGTTTTTGCTAGTGGCAACGGTGCAGATCATGGCGACCAGTGCAATTTCGATGGTTATACGAACAGTATCTATTCGGTCACTGTGTCTGCCATCGACTTCATGGGACTCCATCCATATTACTCAGAGCCCTGTGCAGCGAACATGATCGTTGCTTATAGTTCAGGGTCGGGGAAGCACATAGTACGTTCATATTGGGTTTTAATTCCCTTAGACCTTATCGTACGCCAAGGTGACTACCGACAAAGGTCAAGGAAAGTGTGCAACTAGCCATGGAGGGACCTCAGCTGCCGCGCCAAATGCGGCAGGAGTGTTTACTCTTGCTATAGAAGCCAGGTATATTGATCTTAGTCAATCCATTCCACTGCTTCTGACCCACATGATAGACCCGACTTAACCTGGCGTGACATCCAACACCTTTGTGTTGAGACAGCACGCATGGTTAACGAAGACGACGAAGACTGGGAGACAACAGCAACAGGACGCAAATATAGCTATAAATATGGCTACGGCGCGTTGGACGCATACCTCTATGTCAAGGCCGCACAGGAATGGGAGCTAGTGAAGCCACAAGCGTGGATTAAGACACATACCGTGCAGTTGGAAAACGGTACGATGGAAGAAGAAGGCAAATATTCTGGAGGCCAGTTTATCGGCGAGGGTGGAGTGACTAGCACAATCACGGTAACGGAGGACATGGTGCAACAACACAATTTTGAGAAGCTCGAGCACATTGACGTCAAAGTCTGGATTTCTCATCGTCGCCGGGGTGATGTTGAAGTAGAGATAGTGAGCCCGAATGGAATTAAAAGTATACTGGGAGGTAAGCGCAAGAAAGATACAGATCACACAGGATACCCAGGATGGAGATTTATGACCATAAAGCATTGGTGAGTGTTTTTTTTTTTTGACAAGGGCCTGGAAAGTGACAGTGCTCGCAGGGGAGAAAATCCCATTGGCCATTGGACGATCAGGGTTTCTGACCAAGGGAACCCTGAGAACAACGGTAGTTTCCTGGGCTGGAATATGATGTTCTGGGGTTCCGCCAAGGATGTAGCTCTAGCAACGCCTTATGAGCTTCCACCAGAAGTGACCGCGTTTCCCCCCACTGAGGATCCAGACGCCGATCTTCCTCCTACGACCACAAAAATTTACGATAAGCCTACCGTTCCGCCGCAGTCATCTCCGACATCTACTATATCCGAAAGTGCTAGTGCCTCGAGCACTCCGACAGTCGATGAAGGCTGGTTCAATAGCCTGTCGAACCTTGTGTCGCATCCCAAATGGTTCTTTGGCGCTATCGGGGCTGTGGCCATCTTTGGCATCGGTGCTCTGATATTCTTATGGCGGCGTAGGCGTGCGGCGCGCAGAGCCAGGCATGCCGATTACTCTACCATCCCAGGTAACGAAGAGCTACAGATGAGCACAGTTGGGTCAACATCACAACGGCCACGGACAACCAAAGAATTATATGATGCGTTCGGGGAGGTGTCGGATGACGAGGACGCCGATGAGGAGACGCATTTGCGTGGAGGGCACCCATTATCTGAAGGAATCGGGTTCCATTCCGGTTTCCTGGATGATGAAGAGCCTGAATCTGCTGGTGGGTCGGGGCCCCAACAACAGTACCGCGACAATCCTGAAGACGAGAGTCGAGTTGACGTAACAGAGAAGGAAAGGAAGCCTTCTCCTGAAAGATCTGCATCCACCAGTCCGAGTCTTAGCGGGGATGGTAGTTGGCAACATACCAGCGAAGTATAATATGATACCTTGAATTGCCCACGCCAGAAAACATACTTACGCATAGAGGATCATGATATTGGTTTGCGTGTTATTCATTCACAGTGTCTCTCCGTTCTCTTGTCGTGAAACTAATGGACCATGTCCGTGGGTGCCTGGAAGCCCGCAGTTCGAACTGGACGACGATTTCGAGCGATTTGCAAAGTCGGACCGCAGCAACTTGGTACTCCACAGATAGTCGGCGGCTTTTACGATACGGTTGTTGTTCTTGCCGACCATGTGGACTGGCATATTGGTGGGGCCCATCACAGATAAGCTGACTGCCTGGGCTGGTAGTACCAGACCAAATCTCACTCCTCATGGTTCCCGAATGACTTATCGATGCTTGTCGGATTGCAGCTCAGTCGGACTATCCGTGCATATTTCAAATGGTACGACTGCTCAGATCTCTTTCCTGATCAAATCGATCACGATAAGTGCCAGTCAGCTAGTAGTATCTTTACCTCTCGTCACCGCCGCGGCTGTGCCATGTGGTGCCTCCGAAGGTTGGGTATATATACCGCCCTCTCATATCCTTATTACTCGACGTTTTCTCACTCCGAACCATGACAGAAACCAAAAAGGATTTCAGTACTAGCGTCTCTGGGGCACCCATTCAGGATGATGCTCGCAATGACATGAAGGTACACTGGTTCCGTAGTACTATATTTCAGATTCTCGTAGTTGGCGGGGTGTTTTTCTGTGTGAGTGCTTGTCGTTTTTCCTTTATAGTGAAGACATGTTTAGGTTATTTTTTCTACCATTTAGGCCCCGGTGTGTACAATGCTCCAGTGTCATTTCTCGTCTAGCAAGTTTATAGAGCATGGCAGGGAATGTACAATGCCCTAAGTTCATTGGGTGCTGGTGGCCTCGCTACACCATGGTATGCCAATGCTACGGCTGCTGCTGGATATGGTTCGTCTCCTCCGGTCGTCCCGAAGATGTATGTGTTGACATTGTTTTAGTGTTCATGGCGGTCCTCTGTATAGTTGGTGGTATTATTGTCAGTAAGATCGGTGTTCGATGGGCTCTTCTGGTGAGTGTGTCCCTCTCCTGTATCTCCACAGCATGGAACTAAGTGTCCACGAGATTGCAAGCACTGGTGATATCATGTAAGTACTCTTTCTTGCCGTGATCCATGCTCCGATCATCCGATTGAACATATCTCTAGTTACGCTGGAAGTCTTTATCTCAACTCAAAGAACGGGACGCAATGGTTCTTGATGTTCGGAAAGTTCATCTTGTTATGTCTGTCCTGCTTTACTTACAATTACACCGCAGGTTCCATCATTTCCGGGATGACTGATGGTCTCATGTATTCGGTAGAAGGTCCCATTATCACTTGTGCGCACTTCTCAGTATATTTGTTTTAAATGCGTTACTAACGCTCATTTCGCGAATTACAGCATACCCCGAGGAAGACAGACGAGGGCGTATGCTCGGTCTATGGGTGTTCATGCGCAATGCCGCGCCCGTCATCGGTGGAGCTATCATCTTTGGACTAAATTCCAGCATCAACTCGACCGGTGCAGTTTCTTTGAAAACATACCTTGTCATTATTGGTATCATGTGCGCTGGGCCGTTCATCGCTCTTTTGCTGTCAAATCCCGAGCAGGTACAGCGGAAGGACGGCGTTAAGATTGCGCTAAGGAAAACTGGGTGGATCCAAACTTTCACTGAGTAAGGCAAATCTTCATCTTGTCAGCTGGAAGTCCTTAGATCCCATTACATAGATGGTTCCGTGTCGTCTCCAACAAACATGTGGATCAGTTCTTTCTCACTGCTCTGCATCCTCTCACCTTCAACCTTTATAGATGCTACTTTTGTGTCCGCTTTTCTTTACGTCATGGTTCTACGGTTCATACATTAGTACTTTGCAAACACAGTACTTCAATGTCCGAACCAGAGCTCTCTGCGCATTTGTCATCCCTTGGGGTGACATTTCTGGAGGCTTCATGATCGGATATTTCCTCGACAGCAAGCGTTTTACTGTCAAACAACGAGCGCGGTGGAGTTTCATTGCCTTGATGGTCCTGAACTTGGCTCTCTGGTTAGCTAGCTTTCATATCTCTGATACATTACTCACTGGTACACTTTCAAGGTTATGGGCAGCCATCGTTACTAAACAATTGGAAGACACAAAGCCCGAAATTGATTGGACTTCAGGGTCTTTCTTTGGCCGGACCTTTGCGTTGTTCCTACTTTTTGATCTAGCCACTATGGCGACACAGACCAGTTTGTACTGGATTATTTCACATAGTATGTTCCTAGTTCATCTGTGTTTTGTCTCTTCACTCATTTCAATCATTAGTGTCTGGCGATTTTCTATCTCTCTCGTATATGACGGGAACCCTTCGAGGTGTTGAATGCGCGGGCCAAGCCGTCGCATATGGTATTAAGTCGAGTGACACAACTGATTGGCTATCCATTGGACTTAACGTTGGACTGAGTAAGTCCTCTTTATCTCTTACGTGAGGCATTATTTAAATCGTGACCATCTATAGTTGTTTTTTCGTTACCATTTGCATGGGCAGTCATCCGTAAGGTTGGCGTTGCCGAATTCAACATTATTCGGATCGCTGAAACTCAGGATCGGGAATCAGTAGTAGACTCAAAGAGTTTGTCTGATGATGAAAAAGATAATGTATGATGGCAGCGACTGGCTATTCTGGATTACGAGGCTGTGAACGCGCACTGCAATCATATATAGTGTACGATACACTACTGATAAAGCACATTCTTAGAAAATTAGTGTGGGAAAATCAGGCTACCAGTGAATAGGCACGTAACTCATAAACTCGGTCCCCGCGAACATTGTTCCAGGTTTCAATCATGAAGTCCAGTATCGGAGAAGATGGTTCAATAAGTCTCCTCCGCTTCTCTCTTTCTTCTTGGACATCGCCAAGATTACCTAGGAACGGCTGTACGAGATCCATAAATGCTAGATAGGCATCATGATCATCACGCAGATTGACGCGCTTGAGGTCTTTCAGGAGCGGACCCTTTTCAATTGTTAGTGACACAGCAACAGGAGAATTTGGTCTACTGACCTCGTTTGTGACAACTACCATGAGATTGTCGCCTCCGTTCTCCTCGCCCAGTTGTAAGAACAGACGGTATTGATATTCTAACGCTTGATCATTGATATCGCACGCTACGCATCCCTTATACATTGGCAGAAGGCTGGAACCAGTGTCAGTATACTATACAGTCCAAAGGAGCGCAGATCTCTTACTCTTTGTTACATCTCGTACATCTTGTCATGACACAATCTTGGAGCAGTTTGGGGAAATAACTGGCTACTTTAGCCGTCAGGCGGAATCTGTGGGGGCATTTGGCGCAGGCCTGCATCTCGGATATCGTAGCTTTCTGGTAACCTTCAAAATCCTCACCCAGCTCATGGTGAGTTTCAGTCGACTGCCTGGCTTGCCTTGAGGAAGAATGTCAATATGTTATAAGCTTGAGATGAAGAGGTAGCATACTTCGTTTGACCCGTAGCTTCTGACTTGGTGGTTAGTTCGCCTGTTTCTTTTACTGTTGTGTTCTCAGTCTTCAGCCGGACCTCTGTCTCGACTGCTACTGATTCGGGCTTGGAAGTTGGTTCGCTTTTCCCAGAGTCCGAATCGATAGTAGGGTTGTTTTGAATATCGATCTTTCGTCTGATGTACGCCAATATCAGCGTTAGCCTGAAGAACATCAGGTAGTAGGCTTACTCCAACAATTGTGTTTTCATCTCCATTTGAACAGGATTCCCATCTACCAGCTTTTCAATCAGGCGCTGGTTACCTCCCAAAAGTCCCTGAAAGTTCTCTCCACTATATGACTTCCTCAAACGCAAATTCTTGATCGATAAGATCGCCCCAACCTCAAACCTTTTGGCCATTTCAACCTGCCCTTCGGTCAACTTGATCGGAATAATGCAGTGTTCCAGACCGGAGGCCCAAGGTTCATCTAGTCGGGGAAGTAGGCCAAGACGAGTATAGTCCGAGACGTAAATGAATGAACCATGCGTGAAAGTTGCGTGAACGAGCTACTATACTCATAAGTAAAAATAAATAAGAAGACATAGACCCGAACCTCGACAATGCAACAGAAGAATTCATCTGATTTCACTTCTTGTACTAAATCGTACTTGGACTGATACTCTATGGTATCATTGCCGCTCTGCCAGCGCTTCCTGCGCCTATACGATGAAATAGGTCAGGAAGGGAATCCATTCACAAAGGTGATGCTTACTCTAAAAAATCTCGTAGGTGTATATTGTTTTCGGCGTCCTGCTCGTTGAGTGGGGAAATTTTTGACTCCTGGATTTTTGCTTGGAGATATCCCCCTTTGCTGATGATCATCCGTACGTTCTTCATACTGAAAAGTTCTCCAGTTTGCATCCCCTTCCCGAATTCACGTGCGCTATCCCACATCTCGATTTTTAGCACGGTTTCTGACAGAGCTTTTGAAGGACACCATTTATATTGTACTGGTGTGAGCTGTTCATTCTTGGTGTAGTCAGTGACATAAAGATCGTATGGCTGATTGGCCGCTTCGCTTGCATATCCATAGAGCACCTAGAAGCCTGTTAGCGATATCCAAGCGGGGAATAAATACAACTACTTCGACTGTACAATCAAAGTAGCCATTCGGTGAAACAAGAGGACCTGCATCGCAGATGAGCCTGTGCTGACGCTTGGATATTTCAGCAGAGAAATTTTCGTTCTCCGTCATCTCTTCGCCAATTTGATGAATGGTGCCTAGGTCTTCACGCCTCTTCTCCAATACTGCGCGCCACCAAGCTGTAAGTTTAGAACAATATGCAATTTCAAGTGGCTGGGCATCGTAGAAAGGAGAAAATTGGACACCCGCACCATCCTCTGCTAGACCTTGAGAAAGAGGTGCTCCCTCTCGGTTGTGATCTATCTTTCCCGTCTCTGGCTTGTACACGGCCCACTGGAGCTTGTCGTGATAACCTATAGCAGATGGACTTTCCATATATTCTTTCAACTATACCAATCTCAGTCACACATACCAGTAGAAATTGAGATATACATCACCTTGACGTTCCGAAGAATTATCACGTCGTTCACCTCAGGGCGCGGAAGCCATTGTTCATAGGTCCTCGCAAAACAGTTGACTCGGTATCTCTGTGGATGCATTAGACTGCCGTCTTCAGGCGAGCAGATGCTCGGATCCACTATCATAAAGGAACTGGACCAATCTGCAATGGCTCTGTCAAAGTGAAAATGCTGTGTAGGACAACACCGCACCTCCGGAGTATGTCCTAGATGGATTGGTCAGGGACCATACAACGCCTATGATGTTACGCGTTCCCTTTGTTGCTTGCTTCAAGGCCGTGTATCGTTTCTGAGTGAAGAAATTCATTATATAGCATTAGTATACCATGCTTATTACTTACGTCTCCAAAGCGCAACCCAGCGACCATGGCGAGAGAACCGTCTATTAGCACCTTGGCAGTCATTTCTGAGTTGGGGGATCTCTCTGGCGCAATGACATGTGGGTCAGTTACGGCTTTCTTATAATAATACAGAAGCTTCACCTGGAGAGACGTTGGTATCGACAGTCGAAGTTAGCCCCAAAGAAGCTACCTTGGAACTATCTGATTGAGCAGGACCGGTGCTGGTGGCATTGGTATGTGATTCGGGCTTTGAAGACGATTCCCTAGATGCATCGTTGTGTTTGTGTGTCGCAGGCCTTGTTTCGTCGTCCACCTGAGAAACCTGTCGATCATGATGCTGTTGGGCTCTCAAAGCTTTCCTTTGTTTCTTCGTCAATTTTTGGGGTTCCTTCTTCTCAGGGGGCTCAACAGCTGTATCGAGTTTAAGCTTCTTCACAGGAACTGGTGTGGTAACCGAGACGGTTGATGCACGCGAGCGTTTTCTTCCAGCGAGAAGTGTGGGTGTGTCTAAGTCAATGAGCTTGGGTGTCTAGACACGTTGTCAGATATTTAACACGAAGAACTTGATGATTATGCTAACCTTCGGAGTTGAAGGAAGGTCTGCCTGAGAAGCTGGCGTGCCGAACCTCTCCCAGTTCTTGTTGATGGAGGGCGGGGCGGCTGATAAGGATGAGCAAAGAGGAAGCACTACAGAAAAAAGAAGTCTCACGTTTCCACAGCCAAGTATCAACAACTCGTCCGTTGTTTTTTGCACCCCGGTAGGACTTGACCACCTTCATATGAATTCCTGCTGTGTATTCCAACCGTATTGGAAGTGATCCTGAAATACTAGACTTCTCTACATCGGTGCGAACAGTTGCCCCTTCCAGAGCAAGCGTCAGCTCGTCCCGGGCGCCCAGCTCAAGCCCCTGCGCAGAAAGAGTGTTGAAGCACTCTCCCGTAAGGACAACTTCGAAATACGCCACACTTTCGCTACCAGGACTTGCACGAATTTTGAACTGCATTTTTTCCTTATCTTTATTGTGCCATATCATGAAGATGCTCCCCGATATATAACCAGAGTCGTCTGGACTGTTTTGCAGATCCGTAGCAAATCTCTGCAGCGATGTGTCGTCGAATAGCGAAATATTACGCTGGCGCTTTACGGGCGTGAGGCACTCCTCGACTGAACGCTTCATGGTGAATTCAAGGCAACGAATATGAGGACGAGGGAAGGGTCATGGATATACATAAATAACGCGGGACAAGCAAAAGCAAACAACTCGCGGTCATCGTGTCAGTCACCTGACCGGAGCTGGATGGGCTTCCAGAGGTGGCCAATTCATACAGTCATACAGTCCTATCGTGCGACGGAGGTACTGTTCCTCTTGGTGAGTCGCTGAGCACTGCGGCTGGTCTGTTCGAAACTTCCAAGTAAATTTTGCCCCTCGGATCCACAAAAGGTTTATCCCGTGTTGTCGCTTCTTCTAAGTTTGCTCCTAGTGTTTTGAGATTAGATTCGTCTGAGGTACAAGCCATCCCCGTTCTGAGTTCTGAGTTCTCTTCCTAGTCGATCAAAGATGCAGGCCAGCGTTATCCGATACATACCAATACCCTCAACCTCACTCCCTGCTATTTCGGTCTAATCCGGATTGCCATCGAAGGACGAAACCAGAGACAGCAGATTTAATCCGATCTCACATATGGTACAGATGCTTTACTATCATTCTGTCCTGTATTCTGCTAAGGAAGCCTATTCTTCGTCTTTGTTTTCTGAAGGTACAGAAGGAGGGAAATATTCTGGAAGTAAGTCCCTGGTAAGCAGTCAGCTACATATGATGCATCTAGTACGAAAGAGCTCACTGATACACGTCTCGATCTTTGTTACTCCACACTACGAATATAACCCGTTCCAGCTGATACAGAAAATGAGCCCATTTTTTCATGTCAGATGGGGGATTCAAGACCAACCGTCGATCCAGGCTCCGTTGCTACAAACTGACGAACCTCGTTCAGCGCTATATGGGTAGCATCTTTGATGGGATAACCATATATGCCCGTAGATATAGAAGGAAAGGCCTATACACGGGAGAAATGTCAGTATTTGCATCCAACGGGACGACAATGCCACACGATATGTTTCAAGGAACTCTTCGCAGCAAGCTCCAAACTGGTCCTGTAGCACGATGCCAGTTGCGCTGCCTTTGTCTCGATATCCCTTGAAGAGTATATTGGCCCAACGGTATGTATGATATGCTTTCTGTAGATGTAGCGTTGCAGACATTATGTGGTAGAGTTGATGCTACTGACGACGGAAGCCTGTATCCTTTCGTAACCTTCGATTCTCCTGTTTCGCAGCCGTTCAAGCCTCTACCTATACAAAAAGTCAAAGTCGCCATCAGCGGCAGATATCGAGTTCAGGAGAGGTAACGTACACTCGTCCAAGAGATCCTTGCCTGCTGCAGCATGAATAGCTCCATCCACTAGAAACACAGTGTCAGCAATATTCGAAATCATTTTGAATGTTGCAACTACCGCCGCCACCGCCTGTAAGAGAAGTATAAGGAGACCTTGAGCAGCAACTAAGATCGCACACGGCCTACCTAGGAGGCTTTTGTTGGCTGCGTTCACAATCGAATCAACAGAAAGCTGCGTTATATCTCCCTGGCTTTGAGTCATCATTCAGTGTCACCATTCGACTTTTCGAGGCCAAAAGCACTCACAAAAGAGATATCCTATCAAGTAACATTGAATCGATGGGAAACTTTGGCTTCTCCACGGCCTTGATCACTGCCAGTTTGAATAGCTGGGCCAGAGTAGGAATCTTTTCGAGTGCGATGGGCATGTCCTCCGTATCTGTATCGGATCCGTCACTAGGCGAGGGCGAGCGAGGCATTGATGTCGTGAGTCAACAAGGTGCTTGCCCTTTTTAGGATCATCAACTTGCACTCTTCACTCTTACCACCATGTCACTCATGTGCACTCCGACCCCGGAAGGTAGCCGAGCCAATTTTCTTCCTACGAATAAGGAGGGGTATTCTGAACTACAGTCACTTTATACGTGGGATTCTATTTCTTGAAGTAATTCAGCCATCAATAGGATTCCTGGTCGACCGCCTCTGCGTTCCCATACACGACCGATAAGCCCTTCTCACAGAGTTCCTTCCACTGGTTCAAAAGTATTTGGTCATGCTCAATAACCAACGGAGCTTCCAAACAAACCTCCTGCAGCAAGACACACGGAACCCCAGGAGTCGATATTCTTTTAGCGCGACGCGGAGTGCCGGTTGTCCTACCTGCTGATCCTGTTCTTCTTGGCCAAATCAACGCAACAAGCCCACCCAGGGCCTCATCGTTATCTTCTAACGTCGAACGGTGCAAGTCAATCCTTTGCAATCTCGGCAATACATTGGTCCCTTTGTTTCCTCGCTGGGAATAAACGAGACCTTTGAAGAATGCAGAGGGAATATCGTCGGCGCCGATGATCAGGTTTTCGAGCAGAATGAGGGACCGTAGGAAGCGCCCAAAGTCCTGGCAGTCCTGTAGGTGTGACAATCAGCAACTGATATCAAGTGTGGTGATAGTATAGGAGGCGCTAGCTGGGAATACTGGCCCCGCGGTGGGAACAAGGGACATTCGCAGCGCCTCGGGCACCGGCATTTCAGCGTCACGCATGACCTGAGTGGCGCTCCCACGACCATAATCGATAGAGAAACGTTCAGTGATATCGAGGTTTCGTAGATTGCGAAGAATGACCGCGTCTTGGGTAAATTTCCTTGATTTGTCGCATTGAATCGCGAGGCTTTCTACTAAAGGCATAGGTATCAGGGCCGAAAGGTGGACATTGTTTGTCCCATCCAAAGCCTCAAATCTGAGCACGCCCTCCATCGAGAAGAAAGACTAAATGGTTGGTCCACGCCAGTTGCGTGCAGCTCGCTCAGCTTCGAAGCCATGGAGAACGCGTCGATGGTCGCTGATCCTTCCGATATTTGCCTTCTGATATAGACCGAAAGACCTTTTAATCCTCCCAAAAATCCCTTCTAAGGGGACAAAGCCTAGAGCGATCCGTACAGCATGTCAAAATCGACCTCTCGCCAGCGCGACGCAGTGGGTACCAGCATCCAAAACAATTGATCCTTGGAGATATTCCGCGCGCTCTTAATTCTCAGAGAAAGAGGGTGATCGAGAGCGCGTCCCAAGTATAGCCCCAGCATGAATGTAAGCATGGCATCTTTAGTTGTGTTGCCGACAGCAGAAAATGATAGGCAGATGCAAGACCACATCGCCGGAGTGTGCATCGCAACTCTCCTCCACTTGCGACAAGGTCCACGGACATGCCCCCGAATCCAACGAGTTCGTTTCTGTGACTGGGAATCGACGCAGTACTTGACTATTCTTCTCAGGATTTCCTCGTTGGGTTTGCGACTGGCATGAAGCAATGACTGAGCATCTGTAATATTCGAAATAGCTTGATTTCATTCTTTAACCAAAAAATCCGGAGCGTCTTTCGTCCCTTTGATTCGTCGATCTAGGTCGGCGCCGCCCCTTTGAACTATTGATGGCAGGCCTTCTTCTATCTTGGAAGGTGGTACGTTGGACTGGGGCAATGCTTCAACATATCTGGTCCGGACTGGATGTGTGAAGGCTGGGATGAATTCTACAAGATCCGCGTCGAACAGCGATTTGTCCGTTGGAACGCTGGCGAACATGGAGGTGAACCTACCTATACTAGGTCAATAATGAATAGATTATAAAGGTATAACAGTGGGTTTACGTTGTTTGTGGCCTTTCGGAAGGAAAGTTGGTACGATGACTCGGAGAGAATTTAAAAATATGAAATTGAACGCGTTCAACTTTGAATCACGTGAGATTATCTCTCCGCGTGGCTGCTTTACACAGCCATTGATCGGTCCCTGACACCAGGAACCAAGATCTTAGAAGTTAGATCGATGGTTGATTTAGGCGGGTCACGACTGGCAAAGAGCATCAAAGTTGTACTACGAGACAAGACAGGGAAACAGGGGGAAATGTAAATCTTTTCTCCTAGATTCTTTCATTTCCCCTACTCGTCATTATCCATCTTCGACGACAAAATCCTTTCCACAGTCGTCTGCCCACTAGGGCCTGCATGTGCAGACGTTAGACCAGCAGCTAGAATTCCAACCATTCCAGTGCCAAGCTTCTCATCAGAGTCGCGATGTCCTCTATGATTTCGTCGGCCACCCTCTCCTTCGTCATCAGAATCAGACAACTCTCCATCGGCCTGCCTTCTGGAATCTAATAATCTCTTGTGTCGACGGACGTCAGGAGGTATAAGTTCGTCATCATCGTCATACATATCGTCATCGTGAGGTAAAGACGGTATATCTGTGGGTCTAGGTGAGTACTCTGCCTTAGCACCTAGCCCCTGTGCCAGCTCACCCTGCATCTGCACGCTCGGAGGGCCACCCATATGTCTCAGGTTGTCAAAAATAATTCGCTTGACTCTATCCAGATATGTACGCGTATTGAGATCGTCCGCGTTTGAAGGCTTAACATTCAACTCATATTCTGGACCGAAGTACTCGTAGTATTCGTTTACCGGGATTTCTAACAAAGGTGAGACATGAAGCTTGAAGGGCGACCAGAACTTTCTCAACGTACTCGGACTCAACTCAACGCCTACCGCTATGCCGGTTTCGTAAGCCCATGCGCGGCTCACATTCCGCATGGTGTATCCGCCGCCACCAACAAGAAGTAAAGGTCTGTTAAACGACTTCACAAATTTTACGCAGTTGGCATGTCCTTGAGGCCTTGCTCAGTAATGCTCAAAGTATGGAGAATTTCTGCACCTTTCATCGAGAGATTGAAGCTTCCTATCTTATCTCCGGACAGGGAATCGGTCCCACACTGCAGTACTATCGCCGAGGGGTCAAAGGTTTCAATAACCTGTCTGATCACCTAGTCTCCATCATGGACGCGTGTCGATCCTCAACGATTAGTGGACTTACTGGCTCGAACACTGACTTGTAATTCTCGTCTGATATACCATCCCTCAGTGGGAAGTTCATGGCATGGTATTTCCCCTTCTGGACACCAATGTCCTATAGATATCATGGCGGTTGTCATATGTCCCAAAGTTGATTCATTAAGCACTTACCCTGAGCTCTCCTGTTCCCGGGAAGAATTCACCATATTTATGGAAGCTGCACGTCATGACACGGTCGGTAGTGTAAAACGCTTCCTCCACACCATCACCATGATGTACATCAATGTCAATGTACAGCACGCGTTGATGATATCTGCCCGTGACCTTAAGACGGAAAGAGTGAAAATAGGCTAAGTGATACACACCTCAACAGCTCGAGGACACCCAGCACAATATCTACAGCCGATCTTCGAGTCTGGAAGAGACCGACCCAAAAACGAGATACATACCGTTCACATAACAAAATCCACTGGCCTCGCCTTTCTTGGCATGGTGGAGACCTCCGGCCCAATTAATGGCTATATCGCACTTGTCACGACTGAGCCGAGCAGCACCCTCTGTTTATTTGAGTGGGTGTACCAAGCGGCAACTCGAACGCCACGTAAGCGGACTCACCCATAGAGCCACCTGCCGATATTGAGCAGTAGTCGAAAAGTCCATCAAAGATGGGACAATCGTCCCAAACGTTGACTGGATTCCCTTATTCGTCAGCAATCCAGAGAAGTGGGTATTGAAAATGATTCCAACATTTGTGCTGCTGCTTAACAAACGACTTCATGTTGCTAGGCGTAACGCGGTTGAGGAAGTCAATATATTCATCAGAATGAAACTGCGTCATTTCGCGTTTTGAAGCTGGCTTTGCCCGCTGGTATTCTTCGAGTGAGGAACCGCTTCCATCAGAGAAATTTAAGAAGTAGCGACGTACGAAGATTTCCATTTTCTTATAGAGACCATAGTTCATCACCAGTGAATGGCACATTCGCACCCTTGTAGGCTTCATCCTGTATATAAATCTGGTCAATACGAAGCCGTCTCATGTTTCTAGGCACTGACGGATGACCCGGACCATAATGAAACCCTCCGATGTCGGAATCAAAAAAGTAGCACTACAGCAATCAATAGCCAAGGTCAGAAGAAAGGTTTTCTAGCATGCATATAAGCAGAGGAGCGTACGACGCGTTTCTTTTGTGATTCACCGGTCAGAGATTCCATGTTCGAAGTATCAGGGAAGAAGAGTTACTAATCAACATGCGGAATCAGAATCGAGAAATAATGAAATGCCGACGAAGCGGCCTAACCAGAATTATGTCTGCCACTTTATGCCGGAGCTTATGTATTCGTTAGGCGCACTCAAGTTAGGATATAGCGCTGCTACCCAGAGTCTTCCGACTTGAGAATTGAATACGAGGCCTCGAACTGATGATTGTCCTAACTGGCGTATGATGAATCTGCGCTGCGGGAGGCCTTTGCTAGGCCTATTTATAACCATTCCATCAAGATTTGCTCAAACAGCGCCTCACTGCTTGGACTTCAATGGAATCCATGACAGTGACGAATCTTTCGTCTTCTTCAAGTTCTCTTTCTCAATCACAGAGCACCGTCTCCCAATCGCATTTTCATTTCCGAGATTTATACTGACTACCAACGAATTAAGTACGTAACAGGTATCATTAACACACCTTCAAGTCGGTATCAACGATTCATAAAAACCCTTAGAAGTACTCTGGAACACCTCCAATCTGCCTCCCAACGCAACACCATTTGCCCTTAATCTCAGGATCCCCCACTGCACCCACCAGTTATCGGCGTCATCTTCCGCATCATACGAGAACATGTGCTTGATTTCCAGCCACCATTCAGCTTCCTCAGTGTTAAGAGCATCTGCGGCTGACAGTACACTTAGTCCGGCATCCCGCTTCGCCCTCATGGTTTCATCGCGCATGATCTGTTCCTCTCCAGGAGGAAGCGTCAAAAAGGAAAGCAATTCCTTTTCTCTCTGCATGACGAAACTGCATCGAGAATGACGCAGATCTTGGAAAGCTTCTAGAAATATAGGTATCTGATCACTTGAGTGCAGGTGAGAGAACAGCCTCCCAAGCGTGGCACCATCTTCGGCACACATCGCATAACTCTGGACCGCTCCGGGCTAAGAGCGCAGATGAGAAATGAATTATACAGAGTAGAAGGAGGAGTATTACCAAGACGGGATGTGCTGCATCACCAATCACGACCAAGCGTCCACTCACCCATTCGTCGAGAAGCGGACAATCAATGATTGGGACGTATGTAAATGAAGTCGCCATCCTTGCTAGTTTGCGTAGCCTATTATCGACTGTTCGAACTCTGCTCCAGGTGGTAATGATATTGACCCTACCTTTCGTCTGCCGTAGAAACGAAATCTTGGATATCTTGACATGCAGCCAATGAGGGCTCTTCAGTTGGACCGAACACCAACATAGAATAATCGCTGTCACCTCCCTGGAACGACATGTGAAAGGGAAAAAGTCGTGATAGGATATGATACTCACTGTTGGATAGAGGGCAGAAGAGTAGCCATTACCACACCAGTTCGCCATCGTGACCTGTTCGAAAGAGAAAAGGGTGAGCTCTAACTGGCATCATTGCGCAGCGCACAAAATTACAGGTTCATCGTAGAGGTAGTCCAAGTCGGGGTCATTGATAATACTGTTCCGATGTATCGTGGCGCTGGAAGCGATCAGAACGACAATTTATAAAGCAAAGAGGAAGAGGCACCTGAACAACGACATCCCGCTGGGTCGCTCCTCGCTCTTCGGAAACACGCGGCGCGTTATCCCGGATGGACCATCGGCACCCACAACCACGTCCCCCTGCAGGACCTCGCCAGAATGTAGGGTTACGCGACCACTTACGGGATCAACGCTTGTTGCTAAAGTATTAAAACGAATTTCTGTTCCGCGACTTATGGCAACATCGTAGAGAAGCTGTAGAAGCGCAGAATACTAAAGACGCAGTGATATTCAGACAGATCCATTTGAGATTAAATATGTTTAGTGAACGCACATGGACGGTGAGAAATTCACCCTTGGTCTCTTTCAAGACTTCGGTATCCCAGATATGTTCTCCAAGCAATTCGCCGGTCTCATCTGCTGCAACAGTCAGATGCGGGGATGACCCAACAGGCAAAAAGGGAACACACATATGTACAGCCGTAGAGCTCGTGATGTCGCCGCAATTTTCTTTACTTCTTGTTCAAGACCCCAATGATAAAGAATTTTCGAAAAATTTGGAGCCATTCGGATCCCACCCTCTGTCTTCCCCTTTGTCAGTACTTGGATGGGCACAGTCCTGCGCACTCACTCCTTGTTCTAGTGTACCGCGTTTCTCTATAACAGTAACCTTATGGCCGACGGAGCTCAAGGCTAGCGCCGCTGTTAGCCCTGCTATGCCGCCTCCAATGATAACAAAATTGATCGTTAATTCGACCTGTGATCGTTGAGATGTTAAGTAGTTCAATAGCAGCGATATCTCGGACCGTACCATGTACAATGAATCTTTTTCTTGTCGACTTGAATAAATGAGAAATTGTGGTATGTGGGGAGAGAATAAGGGTAAAGGGCTTGCTACAAAGGGATGCTGCTTCCATCAGGCCTCAAGCATGAATATATGAAGGTTGGAGAAGGAAGCACGGGCCCGGGACTTCGAACATGATGCAATTGAACAAGATATCAATGATGCTCCCGGTCAAATCGCAACAGTCGTAAAAGGGTCATGGCCAAAAGTAGAAAAAAACGATGCTTTTTGGCTAGAAAGGGCCATATTTGATGGTGCAAATGAAAGTAAAATAAGTACAGCTCAACGTATTAGTACGGAAGCAGAGCAGAGACTCCTCGGAATCGAGCGGAGCTTCTCGGCACCAGCGGCATCGGTATGGCCGATCATCTGTGATCTCTTCTCGATTCCTTGATAACCCAAAGACAGCGATGGGTGCGCCTTCACCTACGCTCATGAATATACACGTACTAAGAAGTCACAGGTATAACACTATGGATAGTACCATCTTCTGCATGTGTAGCTAAACTGAAGCGTATCATGAATGTCCGCCCGGTACCGCCTACTGCATCATCCTCATCCTATCTTCGATTCGATCCACACATTACTCTGCTATCCCTCCCTGCAAATTCCTCTCTCTCTGCGTCTGTCTTGAGAGATGCAGTATCAAGTATTCAGCTGTCTCTTGACATAAAATTCATATCAATCGATATCGGGACGCACTTCTTTCGATCCGTGTACATTGCCGCGCAATTGACGCCAGAGCTCGAGGAACTGCACATGCATGTACATAAGAAGGTCGGCGTGGAACCAAGGACACCAAAGTATCCACACGTGTCGTTGTGCTACATCACAGACGAGGATGCGCAGCAGGGAGAGAGAAAGGCTTTTTATCGGGCAATTGAACCCAAGATACGAAAGGAAGACGATGGCGTTAGCATTGACTGCGGGGAGCTCACCGAGGAATGGATGAGTAGATTTGTAGCAAACGAAATTTGGATTGCAGAATGTAACGGTCCTGTAGATGACTGGAGGATTCTGGACAAGATTCCATTGCAGTTCGTTTGACAAAAAATTCTCTATGTTGATATCTATCAGCGCTCGGAAGGCTTCAACCTTAGCACTTAGCACTTGGCTTCGAGCATGTTTTTCCTCACCTGACTTTACCTCACCTGACTTTAAATAGCTTGTCTAGCACCCATTGTCAGCCAGATAAAACTTACCAGATATTGCATCGGGTATTTTATTCTTCAGTTTATACCATTTTTGCATCTGAAAACATCTACACCATTTCTTAGCAATTTACCCTTAAGCTTGTTACCTCGTCGATCGATTTGGGCCTTTATCAAACCCAAGATAAGATTTCCGAAATTTGCAGTGAATTCGCGTTCTGACTCGAACTTCCACGGCTACTCAATTTCTTGCTCTGAAACTAAGGACATTTTTCCCGGTTCTTTCGTACATTCGATAGCTCTGTCCGATATCTGCCTCACCAGTCCCAGCACCAGCGATTGAGTAGCTGGGATCTTCACTAGCAGGTACTCAAGAAGTATGTGGTACAGCAATGTCGTCTCTGGACGCCGATCTGAGCTCTTATTTAGTACAGTATCAGTACGAACGATAAGAATTGATCCGCCGATTTCCTCGCATGAGTAAGTTGTTACTCCATGAGACGTACAAGGAAGCATATCTTTCGATGGAAAGCAGCAAGCAATCGATTACGATAAATTCATTGTCCAGTTTGGTACCCGAAACATAGACAACGTCATATTAGAGAGGTTCGAAAATTTGACTGGGAAGAAATCGCAAATCCTCCTTAGGCGTGGATCGTTCTTTCTCACATAGGCACGTCGGCCCTGCATATGTTCTTTGTCGAGCACTAAAAGTTAGTTTGACAGAGAATTTGACAAGCTTTTAGATTGATATGAGCAGGGAAAGCCCATCTTTTTGTACACACGGCGTAACCCCAGTAGCGACAACCACGCATCTTGGCCACATGATACTTTTCGTGTTTACAAAAAAGTGCCACGGAGCTTTGGCAGACGTCCCCTGTTTGTTCGCTCAATTGCGGCCAGATGGTTGTAAGACGTCTTTGATGTCCCACTGGTGGTACAGCTCACAGGCACGCATCTGGCATGTTTTACTTGAATGTTTCATCTGATTGACGAAAAATTCCTATTCAAACAATCGCTAAAGCCGTAGCAGACCAAAACGTTTGGAGGACAGAACGCCCGAGATATCGTCCCTGTTGGCTTCGACCTTTCAAAAACATTCATATTTAGCAATTACGATTACACCTCAGGTCCCTTTTATGAGAGTACCTGAAAGATCTCCCTATAGATCACTTACAGCCTAGCCAAGGCTACATTCGGGTTCAAGTTTACCGACTCTGACAATGTCGGTCAAATTCATTTCGCTGCCATCCAACCCCCTACCTTCTCCACTTTTTTCTACATGTATATGACACTATCTCCGACATCCCTTTCCTTATTCCTTGAGCGATCAACCAGGATCTGTATTTCCGTCTTACAAGATACGTCGTGCAGAAACTCAGGTACCCGAAACCGATGACGCTACGTTCCAAAAATTGCTCCGCGCTACAAGGAGCCCAGACCAAGAGAAGCGCCAGCGATCCCAACTCCTCTAGCTACGTGGGTGACAAGCTGGTGCAGATCGAAAACAAGATAAACAAGCACGGGGTTTCAGGTGGCGGGAGAGGAACATCGCCGGTTGGGAGGCAACACCGATGTAGATGTTAGCTACCAATATCTGACGGGCTATTGGAGGATGATGATGAACTAGCAAAAATTGGAGGTCATCTCTTCGGAAGGTTAGACCGTTTACGGGATACTTCCTATCGGACTACCGGGACGTTTGTTGACAGGAGAGCTAAAAACTAAGTGTATCGAGGCCTTGCTGCAGAAGTTCGTTGGGGAATTCCAGGAGAAGCGGGCAAAGGTCACAGATGAGACCGTCTCAGCGTTCATGGACGCCAGCAGTGAGATAGCTGCTACCACGGGGAAGGTTCAGACCGTGAATTAGAAATAGATCAAAAAGAATATACAAGTGTTGTAAATCGTCTTTCTCGTTGAAAATCAAGGTTGGATGCCTTGCATACCTACAGGCACTTACATGCTTCGATGAGTATCCGTCCAATACATTTGTAACAATGTTTCGACACAACTTATTAGTGCTAAGTATTACTTATGTAGCTGTTTGGGTATCGATGAGAAAATAGGCTACTTTACACCATGAAATACAAAATCGGAATCACGAGAGTCGTCAGCGCTATTAATACCTTTCCGAGGACCAGAATCAGTGTCCCAGTCAATATAGTTCTCAAAAGCCTGATGTATTCTGGGAGGCAGAGGTGGTTTCGATGAATGTATAGGGCTCATAACGGTTCCGTGACTCTCGTCGTCTAGCTCGTCAGAGTTCGTAAGACCACGGATTGGCACGATCCCTGGTCGAGTGGTGGAGAAGAGAATGACGTTGAATAGGCCAGAACATGAAAAGCAAACACTTGCAAAGGCAGTGGCGCTAAAAGGTACGTTCGTCCCTCCAAATTCAAGCCACCGAACAACGGAAACAGGAGTGACGGTGCTGATATAGACAGCCGGGTAGCTGTAATGAAGGATGGCATTAGCAAAAACAATGGACATTCTCGGGGCGACAAACACTCACAACAACATCTGTGTTGCAAGGCTCTTGGACCGTCGAGCTATAGGATTGTTTACACGATGGAATGTCTCCACGATCGCCGACCTGTGTCTGAAGGTAATCTTGTGTCCATTGACAACAATGAGGCCTAAGAATTTCAAAAATCAGTGTATAAGATCTCAGAATAAAGGACGGTGTCCATACCTCTGATCATCAAAGCAATCAAAATGTAGCACACAATGTTCAGGACGGCCGTAGTCCATACCCACAAATATTCCAGCGTAATCCTCTCCGTATCAAAGGCATCCGTAATCCAACACCCTGAAGAGACGAGATCAATGTGGCCCGGGGGAGACAAGGCTTGGGAAAAACACGCACAATACTGAGTACTTCCATAATAATTTTCACCACGATGAACCCCTAGGCTTATCCCAATAATTAAAGCAATAAATATCCAGATCCCAGCTATGACAAAAAGAGCAAGTTCTGGGCGCAAATAGAACCTGAAAACAAGAACCAAAGAAGTGTGAATAGCGATAGACTAGGTCCGTTAGTCCTAGTTGTCACTAGATGAAAGTAGGTGCGCACTAAAGTCCTGAAAAATGTGGTAAGAATAGTAATAGTAACGTTAGATCGACGTACGAAAGGGCCACTCCAACATCCCCTATCTGTTTTATGATCCCTGGCACAAAAATCAGAACTGTACGAAAAGTAGGTCACACTTTTCTCACCTTGGGCAGTACAAAGAGGACCGTCTGTGACCCGCTACGAAGCGGTTCAGTATCGGTTAACGCATGCCAAAACCAGGCAGGACCACACACAGAGTCAGAAACCCATTTGGCGTTCATTATAGAGCCTATCACAACTACTCAGCACCGAGAGGTACTGGTTGGGACTTGAGCACACCTATGGCTTGGATAAAATCGCAGACCAAGAGGTTCACAAAATAGTAATGAATGTGTGTCGAGACATGCCATTTTCGAGTTGCACCTGTCTTAGCAGTCACAACAGAATACTAGGCGCGAAACCACCGTCAATGGAACGGGCAAGATACATGGCTACTTAGCCTACCCCAATAAATGCCAAAAGTGAGGAGACCGCCGTTGCTGACAGACATGCGAACGCAACGATTATAATGAGCCCGGTCCGTACACCAGAATCAAAAGGGAGATTCGAAGATGACATCCTGCCGCAGAGGCAGAAGTCGAGGCGACGACCACAACAGTGGGGGGAGGAAAGTGCCAAAAGACTCCCGAAGATCGTTATGCAATTCTTTAAATGACCACTGATCTAATCATTGGGTAGGAAATGCATGTGCACGGCTCGTTGCCACACAACGTACCTGCCCTTGATGCTGTGTATTTGCATTCTTGAAGTGGCAGTCGGTGACTGATCCATGCGGCCAAGTCTAGAAGTGCGGTAATGCGTATACCCTTCTGTGGAAAGCTCGAAAACAAACTCCACGCACAAAACGTCGGAATTGAAGTTGCGTGCACCACGTACATCATAGAGGAACCTGGAAACATTTATAACATTCCAGGCGTTAGCTGGATACGCATCAATACAGCGGTCAGCGTCTTACGCCTCGCACGTATGGCCTACGACGCAATCATGTAAGAGCATGACAGGTCACTAGACACAGTGAACAAGCGTGCAACAAGTAACAGACCGTCACGATCCCTGATGTGTAATGATTGCTGATGAGGGTCGGCCAGTTTCACAGTTCACCCACCTCCCCGTAGCAGTAGCTCGTGGAGATAACGATGTAAACTTTTATTCGCAGAGACGATGGGCGCCCGGGCCCCATGGACTGCGCTGAAGGCACACTTGTCGCCGTTCCTGGATCCAGAAAGTCCTTTCACCCAAGAGCATGTGTCTATCGAACGGTCGGCATTCAGCAAACGTGACGGCGTATTTGGATACCAGTCAATACGTACTTGTCCTTTGGGAGTCAGTTCTAGTGGAGATCTAAGTCAATAAAAATTTGTGCTTTTCCGTGGTGAAAGACATGATATTTTTGGTGCTATTCCTTGAGAAATTTCTCACTGTAGGACCGTGCGCTATAACGGGGACCTAGGAATCTCGAGCTGAACAAGTTGTGTAAGTCGACTTGACTATAACTGCGGCAGGCTCTAAGCGGTAGGCTTGACAGACTCCGCCATTAGCTCTGTCGCTTCCGAGTCGGGACACTCGGAAGAACTTTAAATTCAGCCGTATGGTAGAACCTGACGAACAGAGAGGCATGGTCGCAGTTCGACCTGTCGATTATCAAAAATGGACTGCTGCTCTTGCTTGCCCTCATCTCCAGTTGAACACCTTCAAGTTTTGAGGAGCCCGGGTCAGAGAAGAATTGCAGAAGTTACCGATAGCCTTCTGTTTGACATTACTGAAGAATTTTGTTCACTCCATTTCTAATGCAATTTGACTCCACTTATACCGTGCCCAAATATCAACTATCATTTAGCAAGGGTTGAGTGCACTAGGATCTACCCATTGCACGGTCGTTGGAAAAGTAAAGGGAGGATCTTAAAGGGTGTAACCAAGCTAAAAGCCCAGTGTAGATAACAAAATGAGCTGGTAATGGGAGGGTACAGTTTGCCGGTCAAGCAAGATTGGCAGCCGTAAATCTGAATCTTAACAACACTACGAAAAAAATGCGAACACAGAGTTGACCATCGTCTATTCCGTTAGACGTTGCGCATGGTGATTTGAGGAGTCTTTACCTTTTGATTCAGAAGACAAGAAAAATTGATAGCCATGAATCAACCACTGAGGCGTATACGGACATATTGAAACAAGAAAAGTAACTAAAACATGGTGATAGCAATTCAACCAGAGCCGTCGGCATACCAGCCTACCCTACCAATCACCAATGTTCGCTACACAAAGAAAACGAGTTAGAATGCATCCGAATTAACGATCAACTGGTTACTACTCACTCGTATTCACCTTGAACGTGCACTCTCCTGGATTTAAGGCGTGGGGGTGGCTTTGGCAACGACAGAGGTAACGCCGCCAATGACAGTGGTCACACCTCCAACAACGGAAGTGACTCCTCCTACAACAGAAGTGACTCCTCCTACAACGGAAGTGACCCCTCCTACGACTGAAGTGATGGCAGCGACTTCAGCTTCGATGGCTTTGGACGCCTCCGACAAACCGGACGATTCAATAGTGAAGAGGCCTCCGAGGGTAACTTCTCCACCAAGGGAGATGACCAAACCATCTCTGGCCTCAAGATCTTGGGACTCAGCCACAGCACTGGCCGTAACAGATGGTGCGGCGGCGGAGGCGGATTCTTCGGCAAGGACGCCCCCGATGAT